TTATATCAGTGTGTCATAGTCAAGTGCATCAAAGTTATCTGCATACTTATCATATTCAGCACATACTTCACTGAGCATCTTTAAATAGAGATGTGACTTTCTCTGATGTTCATCATATTTGTGTTTCAGTCTGTGTTCTAGAATTTCTAATTGCATGGCAAAGTCATGCACTTTTTGATTTTTCTTCTGCATCAGTGTCAGATATTTACATTCTGCATTTCTAAGAGCACATTCTGAGTTCACAATTTGACATTTCAATCATGCTTTTAAGTCTTTCCATGAGGTTCTTTTCTCAGAGTTCTTAAAGTTATGTGATCACTTGATCAATAGCTTTGATTCAAAGTGTTGAATGGCTTTCAATATCTTGTGTTTATCATTGTTCTTGAAGTATCTCTCTTGATAGAGATGGAAGACTTCAGAGGCAGTGATAAACTCTTCTAAATTCTTGAGAGTTCAGGCAATGAATCTTTTTTTCACTTTTCAGATTAGAGTACACACAGAATCTATGTCTTTTGCACTTCTGTTGCAGAAAGAGTTCTTCTGTTGCACTTTCAGTGCTGTCACTCATGCATCTGTTATGCCTTTGGCATTCTCTGTGATTAATTCTGGAGAAATTGATTGTGTTCTGAGTGTCAGATTGAAGAAAGATGTAGGAGATATTGTTTCTTGATTTTATTCAGTTCTTTTCTTCAGTGAAGAATTGTTGAAGATTTCATTATTCTTAATGAGATTTTCCAATCTTTGAATCTCTTGTTTTTTCTTGATGAGATTGAGCTTTGTCTCAAGCTTCATGATGATTTAGTCTGCATCATGAAGAAGATTCTGAACTGTAATGTTCTTTTTCTGATTTAAAATGACAGCTTCTGATGTCTGTTCTTTTGAAGTTACTCTCTCTGAAGTGTTAACATTCATTGACTTACTGAAAGTGTCAATTGAGTGTTCAACTTGCACTACTGACACTTCTTGATTATTCATTGAAGAAGTTTCAGCTATAGTCTCTGATGCTATAGTCTGACTCATTTGTTCTCTCTGAGAGACAGTGATAGAGGCTTCAATTTGTGAATTGTTGTCAGAGTTTATATCTATTTATCTCTTTCTGTTTTCACTTCTGATTCCAGCCATAGTATCTAATTGTATCTAACAGTGTGGAATTGTGTTTGTTGTTGTGTAAAATGTGTTGATATTGAGAAGGTAGAATAGAAAGAAGTTTTCTAACAGAGTAGCTTAATGAACTGTTTCACATTTTTAGTGATGAGAACTGTAAGATGGCAGCCTATAAGATAGATACTAAAGAACAATGTATCAAGTCTACAGTGTAAGAAAGATAACTAAGTTGCACTTATAGTATCAAAGTAGTATTGCTATATGCACAGTAAGAGAAGAACTCATCACTGATCTTCTGTGGGAGAAGATCAGCATGGCTTTAAGTACTAGTGAGATTAGGACTATGCTAACTAATAAGATACTAGCTCTTAGGGCAGGTCTAGCCTACAGTGAGCATGACAATTACAATCACAGAGAAGCTGTCACTCTTGCTGTGATCTTACTGTCACATCTACATCTAGAAACTGAGATTGAATTAAGACTTCATGCTGTGGTCTCCAAACATTCATCACATTAAAAAGAGATTTTGTACAAAATTGTTACAATCACAGTGAAGCTGTCACTCTCACTGTGATCTTGATCATATCAACATTTTGAGAATCAAAACTTGTGAAGAGAAGGGAATCTGTAAGACTTTGTGCTGTGATCTTCTTACATTCATCTCATTATCTAAAAGAGATTTGTAAAATCTTCTTGATGTTTAGATGATCATGCTTCATGGCATCTGGGGTTTATAAACTCTGTAACTAATCACATAATTTCACTAGCAAAGCTGAACACACAAAATCTGCCACAGATTCTTCTTTATAAAGATCAGTGACAACATATCTAGAGACTCTAGATACTGTTGTAGCAATATAAGTTACCTCTCTCTCTCTCATGCTTAGATCTCTTTGTAACCACCTCTCACCCAACCCAATCTCATTTATGAAGACTGTAAGCCATTGCCATGTTACCTGCAACCATCTAATCCTCACAGATGCCAAAATGCAGATTGAATTGACAGATGAACAGCTTATACAGTGATTCTGCAGCAAACAGTGCAATTGAATTCATTTTATAGAGACTATTTAACAGCTTTTACAATTATGAATTCTAGACTTCACAGAGAGAATCTTCTGAAGTCTTCAAAGCATTATTTTTCAATGTTGCAACATCCACATGCTGATGGATTTAAGACTGTCATGGATGTGGAAATGGAGAAGCTATGAATGAAGAAATGCTTTGAAGAAGTAGAGAGCTTGAAAGAAATATGTCCAATTTCTTTAATGTGAATTTATATGTACAAATTTGATGTTAACAGTTTTTTGAAATGTTATAAGACAAGACTTGTTTTTTGTGGAGATCTGAATATCAATAATAAACATGACATCTATGCTGCTACTCTTGCTGTGTGAATATTTTGCCTTTTAATGACTATAACAGCTTATTTTGAAATGAGAATCTTTCAGATTGATGCTGTTAATGTGTTCATTAATGCTTCATTTGATAAATCTGTTTATTGCAGATCTGCAGAGAATTATGATAAGAAAAGAGATGTTTGAAGAGTTCTATAAGTTTTATATAATCACTCTAAATCTTCATGACTTTGATATGAAGATCTTGCTTCAACACTCTAAGAACTAAAATTCTGTCAGATTTGTGAAGAATCATGTCTATTTGTTGGTAAGAATATTATTATCTTCTTTTATGTAAATGACATAGTATTTTTATATCACAGAAAGAATGTTGGAACATTTAAGCAGTTATTAAAGAATCTACAGACACATTATGAGTTTTGAGAGATTGAAGAGCTAGAGTGATTTCTAGATATCTATGTCTTATGTGATAGAGATGCTCAGAAGCTTTGACTGTGTCAAAATAGTTATATTGAGAAGATTGCTAATAAGTTCAATCTTATGAAATTGAAGTCATCATATATATTAATGATAACTGTGAATATAGCTTCTTATATGAAGACACAAGATAAGCAATGAATACATATCTATCAACAGAAGATTGATTTGACTCTCTATGCTGCTATTATAACACAGTCTGATATTTTGTTTGCTACTGCAAAATTAAGTGAGACTTTGATTAACTCAGAATCAGAACATCATACAGCAATTGAGAGAGTTATCTCATATGCTTTTTCAATGAAGTATTATACTTTTGAATTTCATGTCAAGAAGAAGTTGAATATTCAGAGTAATAATAATATTAATAATGCCATGAACATTCATTTAATAATTGTCAGTGATTCTTCTTTTGCAGATGATTTAAACTTTAGATACTTCTTTCAGAGCTCTGTATTTAAGCTCTTTAAAGACTGAATTAATTGAAAATTTTTCAGACAAAAGACTGTTACAATATCTTCAACAGAAGCTGAGCTTTTAGCACTATTCTATACAGTAAAAGAGATCATGTGATGGAAATGCTTATTTAAGAATATTATGTTGAAATTAGAAAGAGATTTTGATATTTTATATGATAATTTGCAAATGATTTATTTACTGATTTCAGCAGCTTCACAACTAATTATTAAGCTTCATCATGTTGATATTCATCATCACTAATTATGACAAGCAGTTACTAATAAGAAATTGAATATTAGCTGAATTGAAAGTGATAATATGTCTGCAGATGACTTAACAAAGATCTTGTCTAGACAGAAATTTAAAAAATTCATTAAGTAATTAAGACTCATGAATATTAATTATTTAATAGAAGAGAGTTTGCTGTCTATGTCACTGTCAAAATTATGAAAGCATATTGAGCAGAAGTCAGATGACTTATTAGATGATCAGATTTTTGAAGAAGAAACTGAAGAACTATAGATTCATTATCTTCTCTTCTTGATCATAATACTGATTTCATTATCTTTGTCTATCAGACTGACAGAGATTTGCTAGGGGTTTTTCATATGTTTTTTCTGTAGTCTTGGTTATAGCATGTTCATCTATAAGTATCTGTGTCTTGTTTGTTAGGAGCAAGACCAGACACAATATTATAGACACTCAGTCACATGATCATCACGTGCTCCTGTGTCGTCCGATACCTCCATTTGAAGATGACCTGACCAGCCAATTAGAGTTTGGCTACCAACCCAACGGGCTTGGCATAGTGTTTATCACGTGGTGATAGACATCGGCGAGCCAAGACCCTTAGTCACAATAGTCGGTTTCGCGGGAATGTGACGAATCAGAGATCGCCGAACTCTATTGGGCTGATTATCGAGACATAGTCGACTTGGCGAGGCTTAGCTCATCTGCCCAGGCTACAAGAGATAGCCAAGTTCATTAGTCATACACCAGCGAACTTTGTTTCATTGGTCGGGTCAGCCTCCTGGCTTCTCAACCAATCCAGATCACCCGGCCAATCAACTTGGAGCTCATTGACTTACGGAGAACTCCGTATTACTAGCCCAATGGGATGAGAGGAAATCGCGGCGTACTGTAGCCAACCAGATGCGCGAGACACTGCCTGTTTGGCCAATCAATGCCCACGGGTATTCAATCAGCCTTATGGAGTGGCTCTCTTGGAAGCCGTGGTAAGAGGAAATATCGGTCTTAGTTATGAATAATATGCAGGATAAATTACAGTGCAGCGCCTGGCGTTCATTATGATACACAGAAAGGAATGTTGGGCATGGGATGAGCTCCCATGGGATGAGAGCAGATGAGAGCACCGAAGGGGGTATCAAGCTGAAAATATATGCGTTGCCAAAAAGTGCCTCCCCTCCGGCCGCCTATTCCGCCCCAGCCAGAGGATGATAAACGAAATGATTGAAAAAGAAACCCCGCCCGTTTGAGAGACCAGAAGCAATTATGGATTACGGAAACCTGGTCCTGGGGTTTTGAGACGAGGGCAAGCTAGGTTTGTATATATGCATTAGAAGATTGGGGCCAGACAAAGCGCTAAGCCTCAGTGTTCGTCCGAGGTTCATCACCCGGGCTCAGCGAGTTTTGTTCCAAGGCTTCTCGCTCCCCCATCGATGTTAAGATGCGAGCTGCTTCGTGGGCTATTGAAATGCCAAAGTTAGTGATACCCGGACTGTAGGAAGGTATAGACGTAGGTGTTAGCTTACATATTTCCCACGGTCGTGCCGTCAAGCGACGGCAGACAATGCCAATCAATTGTCGTAGCTCGCTTTTCAATGTCTGTACTTCCTCTCGAGAAGTCTTAGCGCGGGCCACCTCACGCTGGTACATGTTGCTCAGCGCCGACATACCCGCACCGGGGACAGAGTTCGATGATAGAGCGGTTAGTGCGGTACTCGATTCTGTTTTTGCAGTTTCCTTCTGTTCTAGTCCCAAGGCCCGAGTCCACAGAACTAACAGGCCGAGGAATGCGCCGTACGTCTGCCATAGGGGCCGGGGCGTCGACGAGGGGAGAGTTATGCTACTGGGGCCCGAACTCGAAGGAGGAGCACTCTCGGAATCTTGTAGACATAGACAAACTACTTGCAAGCCGTGCAGATACGAATCGTGGCTGACAGGGTCCGTCGACACTAATCGTGAATACGCGGCCTGCGCGCATTGCGGGGTAACAGCACGGCCCGAGGAGTAAGCACTGCCTGCAGCCATCTGGATGTCTGATAGACTGTTTCGGAGCAGCACCGCAGAGAAATGATACATCACCTGTGAGCACCATGAGACCCGGGATTGCTGGCCCGTTTCGGGGAGCTTGTCATAACAATATCGCCAATGGCGCAGAGCCTCGTCAAAATCTGCCATCTTAAGGCTCAGGGTGGCCGAGGTTGCGGATGAGGCAACCGAACGGTACTGGGTGTCACTGATGGCGGCGGCGATTCCATGGATGAGTAGGTGTATCGATAACGGATTCGAGACGTTAAAGCACTGCATGAATTCGCGTTTATGGTCAGGGTCCTTCATCGACATTATCGACTCGACAGCTGAGTCCAGACTGTAGTAGCGCGATCGCGTAGACTTTTTGAGCTGTCGTAGCTGTGTCTCCCATTCCATGGCGCTCGTAGCTTCCCAGACTGCCGGGGGGCTTGGAAGGGGGAGTTTCATCATTCCAACAGAGAGAAGAGCGTGATGCGAGAAGAATACGCTATACTGCACATCATTTGAAAAGATAGTGTATGCAATTCTGCAGGGTGTGAGGAATTGTTGGTGACAAGAAATAAGAAGAAAGCACTTACCTGATGATGGATTCTCGCTGGGCCCAATCTCTCCATTTCATGTCAAGAGACTGCCGCGAGCCGCTTTCAGGGCGACAGCTCTCTGTTAATAGATTATTCCGCCGAGCAAGCTAGGAACATTAGTGATACAGAACGTGCAGAAAGTTTGGAGCTCCCTACTGTTACAATCACACTATGGGCAACCTCGGCCATTTCGTGTTCATGGCGAGCCATGGTGTAGGTACCAATATGCTCAACGAGCACTCTGGGGAGGAGTTAGTAGCAGCATCAAGACGAGCAGATCAAAGGCTTACAGCGACTGGAGAAACCACATCTCCACACGCGGAGTGGCTAGAGCTTTCTACTGAACGGTTAGCACTGTTATACAGGCTAAAAGAATGGTGTAACAAGCCTCCACAGTGGAGCTCCATATGTGCTTTTGGAGCAGTTTGCCTGTTTCATATAGTTCTGGAGCACCACTGACGAACGTGCCCAAGCTGCAGAGGGCGAGAAGTAACACTGGAGGACACGAGGCTATCTCGAGGGTGGGGCGATGAAAGAGAGGCAGATAAACGTCGCAGTAGTCCAGGGCTAGGTGGATGATGCGGTTGATCTGCGATGGGTGCTGGAGCGGACTGGTTAAGAGAATCTAGCCTGGACGTTAGATGTAGCACAGAGAGGGCTGCCAGGGACAGGGTGGGCGCACAGGGCAGTCTGTCAGAAGCCGCTCATGATCACAGACGGTAGGTTTGGGCGGGTCGCACGCAGCAGCAACGGCGGCGGCGGCAGAAGTGGGTTCGAGATGTTGGGCGTAGAAGGGCTGCAGTCATGAGGAAGAGTTAGTGAGAGATAAGAGAGATGACAAGGATGAAGGGTTAGATAGGAAGGATGGGCGGGCGAGGGAGGTAGCGCACGGGAGGAGAGTTGGGCACGATGCCGGCGCCGAAGTGCAGATTGAGGTAGTCATCGGGGGGAAGGTCGAACAGGCTGGCGCCGTGGAAGAGCCACGTGTAGTCATCTTCGGGCGGGAAGGACTGCGCGGGCGGCGGTGGTGGAGGCGGGGGCGGGGGGGAGAGCAGGGCGGGCGGGAAGCTAGCGGGGACAGCGGAGGACGACGCCGGGGCTGGGGGGGGTGACACTGCGGGCGGGGGCGGGGGCGGCGGAGGTGGAGGAGGAGGAGCGGGAGCGGAGAGAGCGGAGGGGGCGGCGGACGGGCCGGCGGACGGCGGGTCGGCGGGCGAGCGGTCATGGGCGGGCGATAGCGCGGGCGGCGGGCTGGCGGTGGACGCGGAGGCGGAGAGCGCGGCGGACGAGAGGTCGGCGACCTGGCCGCGCTTCTCGTGGCGGCGCAGGTGCGCGTTAAGCAGGTCGCTGCACGAGAAAGAGGCGATGAGCGGGTGTCCCTGAGCGGTGTGTGGTGGAGTTACATGTGTACGTACTTGCGGGTGAAGCGCTTCTGGCACAGATAGCAGAGAAAGGCGGCCTTCTTGTCTGCAGCATGCGGCCGGGTCAGCCAGGCCGTCAGGCAGCCACCAAACAGAACAGACAAAGAGAGCAGGCAGGGGCGGCACGCACGGATGAGCGAGTGGCGGTTGAGGTGTTCGCTGCGCAGATACGCCTTGTGGCAGCCGGCGTGCGTGCACTGGAACCTGGGGCGGTCCATCGTCGCGCAGCATCGCGGGTGTCGGTGCGGATCGCAGGAGGGCGCGCAGGCGACCGGCGACATATACGTGAACTAGCCCACTAAGTTAACTAGTAAAGTTCGTTAACGAGCTGGCTTGATGGCCTCGACACCACCAAGCCAGCCCAGCCCGTTCGCCTGCTCGCCGCCAGCCCGTCCGGCGTTGCTTTTGCGGGGAGCGCCCGCCATGGCGTGCCCGTCGCCGCAGCCGATCTCCGATCGCCCTGGCGCGCTGGCTCGCGACGCTGCCCCTGACCCTTCACTATATAAAGCCCGCCGGTTGCGCCTACAACGGCCGCCGGCGCGCGCGAGCCATGGCGCTGCTGGTGAGTATACAGTCTTCTCTCTCTCCTCTGTCCTCTCGCCTGCTGACCCGTCGCTGCAGAACCAGACCGACCCCAATATCGGCTCTGCGCGCGGCGACAGCCAGTCGCCCGCCTCGTCGACCCTCAGCGACCTGGGCGTCCCCGTCTCGACCTCCGCCGCCGCCTTGCTCACCACCTTCGTGCCCGCCTTCGCCATTGCCGTGTGCTGGTTCGGCCTCTTCCTCGTCGGCCGCCGCTCGCAGCAGCGCTTCTACGCCCCCAAGGCCACCCTGCGCAATCTGCACGACCAGTAAGTGACCCCAAATCCCATATCCCACGTCCCAATTGACCCTGACGCCGTGAAGTGAGCGAGCCCCTGAGCTGCCCTCTGGCTTCTTCAACTGGATCGGCGTCTTCGGCCGTCTGCCCGACAGCCATGTCCTGCGCCATGCTTCCCTCGACGGCTACTTCTTCGTGCGCTTTCTCAAGACCATGGCCCGCATCTGCCTCATCGGCTGTGCTATCACCTGGCCCATCCTGTTCCCCATCCACCTAGCTGGGGGTGCGGGCAACCGGCAGCTTGATGCCCTGAGCTTCAGCAATGTCAGGAACCCCACGTGGTACTACGCCCATGCCGTCGCGGCCTGCCTGTTCTTCAGTACGGCCCCTCCTGCTGCCGGCCTGCAAGCCTCTCCTGACTCCTGCATGGCTAACCCGAGCTCCCAGGCTTCGTCTTCTGCACCATCACCCGCGAGAGCATTCTGTATGCGACCCTACGCCAGGCCTATCTGCTTTCCCCCTTGCATGCCAATCGGATATCCTCCCGCACCGTCCTCTTCTTGGCGGTCCCGCAGTCGTATCTCTGCAAGAAGCGACTGTCGAAAATCTTTGGCGATTCTGTGCGGCGCATTTGGATCACCACCGACTGCGCCGATCTCCAGAAGTTGGTCAAAAAGCGAGACCGTCTGGCCTACCGCCTCGAGGAAGTCGAGACCACCTACATCAAAAAGGTCCACGCCGCGTGTTTGAAATCCGCCACCCTCGGCCCTGCCCAGCCGGGCTCGTCGGCCGGCTCGTCGCCCATCGAGTGCGAGGCCAAATTTGCGCCCTTCCCATTGGCTCTTCCCGTCCAGCGCCCCTACCATCGGCTTGGCTTTTTCTTCGGCAAATCGGTCGACACTATTGAGTGGCTCCGCGCCCAGCTCCAGGAGGTCATCCCTCAAGTCGAGGCGCTGCAGAAGCGCCATCGAGATGGAGACGCAAAGGCCGTCTCTGCCGTTTTCATCGAGTTTAACTCTCAGATGGACGCGCAAATTGCCTTTCAGACTCTGTCCCACCACCATCCCTTCCGGATGACGCCACGCTTCATCGGTATTTCACCAAGCCAAGTCATTTGGCCGACGCTGCAGTACTCCTGGTGGCAGCGAATTGTCCGAAAATTCCTCATTCAGGGCTTCATTGCCGTCTTGATCATTTTCTGGTCCGTTCCATCGGCCTTCGTGGGGTCCATCTCCAACATCACCTACCTGACGAATCTTTTGCCGTTTCTCAAATTCGTCAACCGCCTGCCAAGTATTGTGAAAGGTGCCATTAGTGGCGTGTTGCCCACCATCGCCTTGGCAGCCTTGATGTCTCTTGTGCCTATCATCCTGAGATGTACGTGCTACCATCCCTTGTCTTTGCCTATGGAAAAAGCCTGACCTTTCCTAGGGTGCGGACGACAATCAGGCCTCCCATCCGCTGCCAGCGTGGAGTTATTCACTCAAAATGCCCATTTTGTTTTCCAGGTTGTGCAGGTCTTCCTCGTCACAACCTTAACCTCTGCCGCTTCCGCTGCGACCAGTCAAATCATAAAAAACCCGCTGTCCGCAAAGGATCTTCTCGCAGAAAACCTGCCCAAAGCCTCCAATTTTTACATTTCATATTTTCTGTTTCAGGGGCTGATATTAAGTTCTAGCGCTGTCATTCAGGTTCTTACCTTTCTAGTTTTTAAACTCTTACGCATTCTCTTTGATAGAACGCCAAGGAAACTATACCAACGTTGGGCATCGCTCACTGGATTATCATGGGGTACAGTTTTTCCGGTCTTTACAAATATGGCTGTAATTGGTGAGTAATGATCTATGGCATACTATCGAGTAGCACTGCCACTGACATGATCCAGCCATCACATACTCCTGCATTGCTCCGCTTATTCTCGGGTTCTCTTCGCTGGGCCTGTATCTTGTATACCAGGCCTACCGATACAACCTTCTCTTTGTGTACGATGCGACGGTTGACACCAAGGGCCTCATCTACCCTCGAGCGCTGAAACAGGTGCTCACAGGTATATATTTGGCCGAAATTTGCCTCATAGGTCTCTTTGCAATCCGTGGCGCAATTGGGCCGCTGGCTATCATGGCCGTTTTCACACTCCTAACCGTGCTCTCGCACATCTCGTTGAATGATGCGCTCAGGCCATTGCTATCTGCTCTTCCTAGAACGCTAGACAATGAAGATGCGGTCAAGGAGGAAATCCTTGGCGATCTGCAAGATCAGACACTCACAGTCGATCCCGAAAAGGGTCGATCCAGCACGGCCAGCATCCCTCCTGTCTCTGTCGGCTTTAAGGCGAGAGTCCATAGACGTCTAATGAGGCTTGTAACCCGTCTGCTGCACCCAAGCAGCTACGCCGACTACGCGTTGCTGCGTAAGAAGGTTCGGCAGGACCCCGGGATCGTCTACGACCAGATGATCGACGACAACGCGTATTATCCGCCGCCAGTCGTAAGCCCGACGCCGTTGTTGTGGATTCCGCGAGACCGGGCGGGGTACAGTCGCCAGGAGATCGCACTGGCAAGCGGCGTAATTCGCATGACGGACGAGGAGGCGCATCTGGACGAGAAGAACAAGGTCGTGTGGGACAAGGTGGGCATGAAGCCACCGATCTGGAAGGAGAAGGTCTTCTACTGAGACTCTGTTGTGCGCGCTGAGATGCCGCGCTTTTGAGTGTTGATTCATCATGACTCCAGATGAGCCCGTAGCGATTATGTAAGCATGAGTAATTCTCACGTCGCGCTTCTTTGCGGGCTGGCCGACCAGGCGAGTCCGCCACGCCTGCGTCTGCTGTTGCTGCTGCTTGATATTGCTTCGCTTGCTGCCTGTCAATGTGTCTCACTCGCCCGGGAAGTTCCATAATTACCCAAGCCCCCAGCTTATAACTCCTCGTCTCCATGACCGACTCGACCAGCAACCCCCCACCAAGCACGACCCGGCCAAACGCAAACCGCGGCCAACGCAACCGAATGGAGACCCCCAGAGACTCCCACCCGTCCGCCACGCCCAAAGGCCCGTCGCAGCGTGGCCGTGGGCTCGGCAGGCCTCGCGGGCCCGGCCGCGCCGGTCGTGGTCCGCGATCAGCAGCAGGCTCCCAGCTCGGTGGCCGCGCAGGAGAGCCTCCAGACCGTGGCCGGCGAGGAGCTGGCACCTCGGGTGACCGCCTGACCGGGGATGCCAATGACTGTAAGGGCGAGAGCCTGGGGAAGCAGAAGGCGGCGGCTGCTGCTGCTGTTGCTGTTGGGGTTGTTGATGGTGCTGTGGACGACGCCGACGAAAGCGAGATTTGCTTCATCTGCGCCTCCAAGGTAGAGCACGTCTCCGTTGCGCCGTGCAATCACCGGACCTGTCATATCTGCTCGTTGCGTCTGCGGGCGCTGTACAAGACCAAGGCTTGCGCTCATTGTCGAGTATGTTTTTTTTTTCTTTTTTCAATCAATTCTTTCCTTTGGTGCAACCGATAGGGATTCTCTCCATACTGATGTTTCTGCTCTCTAGGCCGAGTCGAGCTTTGTCGTTTTTACCAATGAGTTTGCAAAGAATTACGAAGAGTTCACCGATGCCGATTTTATCAGGTCCGATGACAATCTGGGGGTCAAGTATGAGAAACAGGATATCTTTGAGGATACTGTGCTGCTCCTTCGCTACAACTGCCCGGACAAGGACTGTGATGTTGCCTGTCTGGGATGGCCAGACCTGCACCGTCACGTAAAAAGCAAGCATGGCAAAGTTATGTGGTATGTGTGACAGCAGTCTGAAATCTAGACCCTGGAGCCTGACCCTTTCAGTGATTTATGCACAAGGAACAAAAAGGTTTTTACGCACGAACATGAACTTTTTTCTCAGGCCCAGCTGCGCAAACACGAGAAATATGGAGATGACAACCCCGGTGCTCTTGACCAGAGCGGGTTCAAGGGCCACCCCGAGTGTGGCTTTTGCCGCCAACGATTCTACGGCGACGATGAGCTTTATACACACTGCAGGGATAAGCACGAACGTTGCCATATTTGTGATCGACGAACAAGTAGTAGCCGTCCCCAATACTACGTTGATTATGGTTCACTAGAAGAGCACTTTGGCAAAGACCACTTTCTTTGTCTCGACAAAGAATGTCTGGAGAAGAAATTCGTCGTTTTTGAATCTCAGATGGATTTGAAAGCTCACCAGCTCGAGAGCCACCCCTCAGATCTCTCCAAGGACGCAAGAAGAGACGCTCGACAAGTTGACATGTCCACCTTTGATTTCCGTTCTCCCTACCAGCCCCAGCGCGGACGCCGCGATGGTCGACGACCCCTGGGACGTGATCCTAATGCAGAGCCTATTCCCGCGTCCAGCGCTCAAGCACTAAGGCGAGATGAAATTGCGTATCAACGACAATTGGCTGTCCAGAGCGCACAGTCGATATCTACACGTTCGTTTGGTGGCCAGCTCACCCAACCTACACCCGCCGCCGCTGCCGCCGCTCCCCCTCAGGTATCGGCCTCACAACCACCACTCATTGAGCATCTTAATATCGACTCTCCCGCCTCAACTCCGCAAGAACAAGCCCGCCGAATGGCTCATTCTGCGGTGATGGATCGAGCCGCTGGTCTCCTTCGAAACGACCCACTTAAAATCAATGACTTCCGAAACAAAGTATCCCAATATCGCACTTCCAAAATTAACGCCAACGATCTTATCGAGTCCTTTTTCTCTCTCTTTGATACATCTTCGAGCGAGCTAGGAAAGCTCATCAAGGAACTCGCTCATCTGTACGAAGACGAGTCTAAATGCACTGCTCTTCTTACTGCTTGGAACGATTGGCGAGCCATAAACGAGGATTATCCGGCACTTCCGGGGCCGAGTGGCACCCTACCATCTGCCTCGGCCGATGTTGGAGGAGGAAAACGCGTCCTGCGCCTAAAATCCTCCACAGCGCCTTCGTCAAGATCATCGATGGGTCAAAACGCTCGTCTTCCCGGACTACTTAACAAAAACGGACCATCCAATCCCTTTCCTTCTCTCCCCAGCTCAAAACCTTCTAAAAGCAAGGGTGCATCTGCAACGCGCGTATGCGGCACAACACCGACACCACAATCCTCCACACCCAAGATATCTCCTGCTTCAAGCCGGCCAGTGTCGGGCACGACTACGCCAGCGGTTCGTTTAGCCAATAACTCGGACGCGTTCCCGGCATTGCCCGCCGCTCCAAAGCCCAATGTATTGATGGCCGGCTTGACTCGTGGTACAGTCAGATGGGACGACCGCAATGGGACGAGAGGGGCTGCATGGGGTGCTGGTGGAACCAACCCAACACCCGCCGAAGCGGATACTGGCGGCGAAGCAGGCCAGAAAGGAAAAGGGAAGAAATGGAAAGGAAAGCAAGTACTTTATCATTTCGGATAAACTCCCTGGTACACAGTCTCTACAGTGATATCATAGCGGTGATTCAAAAAGTTGTTTGGGTCTTTCTCGAGTATTTCATCATGAAGATAGATTTTGATTGGTATTAATGTTCTTTATGTATTTGAGCGAATAGCATTGAGGTCTTCTTCTATTCATGCACATTTGTACGATATATGCTGCTTATATAGCGAAGTCAAAGTCCGATGTTGAGGCGGCTCCTATTTCAACTCGCCTTGGGCTGCCCTTCGTCTGATAGTAGGACTTCCATACAAAAGCGGGCTTGTGATATCTGTTGCTTCCTCCTCAGATAGCATACTCATTAGGTCATTATCGCCTTGCTCGCAGAAGCTAGGATTATCTTCCGTCTCCTCATGACTATCAACGATTTTATTCTTTGCAGCCATTGCTATTTCCGAATCTAAGGCTGCCATGCGCAAAGTAAACTCATCTTGTAATGTTTTGAGCCACTTCCTTAATTCTTCACCTTTGAGCTCTCCTTGTTGAGCTTGAAGTAACTGTTCTCTTAGATCCAATAAGAGTTTCCTTCGACTTGCTATAGCGACGGCTTCTGAACTTCTACGTTGGTTTGCAGACTTCAAACTTACTTTCTTCGATACAGCCTCTGCGGTTTCTAAAAGGTCCCCAGGCAAAGAGAGCAGCCTTGCAAAAGCAATCCCGTAATGCTTATCCTCAACATGCCCGTCTGCAATCCTGTACAGCATCGTTATTTTCGTCATGGGATCAGACATGTCCACTGCTAAATGTAAATTTACTACACCGTTTCTCTGAGCCATGACTCGAGCTAGATCGTGGAAATGAGTAGCAAACCACACCAGAGCGTGGCTATCAACAAGGGCCTCAGATATCGCAATCGCAATAGAAAGGCCGTCCACAGTGCTGGTCCCACGGCCCAGTTCATCAACAATAACCATGCTTTTTGGTCCGATATTTCGAAGAATGAACGCCATTTCTCGCATTTCAGCAGAAAATGTTGACACATTAGTCTCGACATTATCGTCTGCAGAAATGCGCGCGAAAAGTTGATTGGTAATTGGGAACGAGGCGTAATTTGCGGGTACAAAACAACCTATCTGCGCCATTACAGCCATGAGAGCAAGGGATCGAATGTATGTACTTTTCCCGCTCATATTACACCCAGTAATAATTTGAAATCGAGACTGCTGGGTAGCGTATGCATCATTGGGAACAAATTTGTTTGAGTGTATCTTTTCTTGAATTGGATGCCGCCCTGCTTTGATGGCCAGTGTGTCCGTTAATTCTGGACGAACATAATCGCGAACTGCAGCGAGCTGTGCGAATGCTGCTAGGATATCTAACATTGCAATGCCCTCGCTGATGCGAAATAGCACAGAAATCTCAGTCCTAACATCTTCGATGAGTTCTTGTATGCTACGATCACTCATCTGAAGAACTTCGTTGTGAGAGTCGGAGATTTTTTGATTTAGCTTTACCAGGTCCAGAGTTTGGAACTCAACAAAGTGTTTCTTTCGAAATATATTAATGAAAATGCTTGGTAGCTGGCGCGATTCTAAATCCGAAATTGGTAGACGGAAATAATATTGCCGAGCAGCTTCGAATCTTAGATCAAGGGCAAGGCCATGTGCATCTAATAATGGTCTGAGTGAGCAATGGGACCAATACACCAAGATGGGCATCTAACAAACCTCCTAGGCGTCTTGCAAGCTCATTGACATCACTGTTTGCCTCTTTGTATGTCTGTCGCGCTACATCTAACAAGCTATTTACCCCAGCCTGAAAAATCAGAACATTCTCTAAGTGGGTAGAGGAACAAAGGATACCTTGACAGCATAGGTTCTTTGGTTTCGAAGATCAAGCGGACGGGATTGATACGTCACATCAGTATTTAGAGTCGAATCAAGTAATGATACAATGGCCTCATACTGCGTAGGTGCACAGAGCTATTTCTCAGTTAGTATTGGTATCTCCGCTGACAACATGACTCCTTACGTTTCGAATTGCAACAAGAAGATCGCATTTAGCACCAGTAAGAGCTTCATAGATAGGTCTTATTGACGAGACATAAGTTTTCAGCATAATCATATTATTAATAGAATTCTCCGAATATTCGAAAGTAATTTTCGTTGGTATAATGGTCAACTACCAAAACCGTCAGCGACAGGAACAGACGGTGGCTGATGAGTACTAACTGCTGTAAGCACCCTGTCAGAATCTACGAAGGACTTCAAAGCTGATCGAGATTCAATCAGTTACGTTCGGCATGTCGCGTTTTTCTTGGCAGACCTTCTCTGACAGCATGAAACATGTCTTCTCGAGTTCCTAGTTCCTCGACGGCATTATATCTACCACAAAGTTTGTTCGGCTCCGTAGATGGCTGTAGGATATTGCTACGAAGTAGGCGTGAGCCCATTGGAGTCAGAGTTTCGTTTAACACCCCGAAAAGACAGTCTTTTGACTTTGCGTTTTGCAGATTTTGAATTAATTCTAAAGACACTATTGTTGCCAAGTCAATCAATACCGAGCCATCAGAAGGCTCATACTTAATTCGAAGTGAATGACACGCAAATGTTTTCGAGAACTCAAGTTCGATGTAGCTGAGAGCCTTTATCAAGATTAGTCAATCCAAACAAAGGTTCGAGAGCCAGGACGTACGGCCGCAAGACAGCAAGTCGCAAAGAAATTTCCTTCTAAAGAGATTTTGATTGATTCAAGGTCTTCCTTGAACGCTAGCTGTTCAACACACTCATGTCCTGTTTTTTCTGCCCAATATCGTCTGTCGATGGTTGTGATTGTCAGATGGGGAAGATTCTCTTCCACAATAGCATATAGCTTTGATTTGGGATCTTGTGCTGTTTTCATGAAAAGGATCTCACTAGGATCTAATACTGCCAACTTCTGGATAGTGCGAGCATAAGTCTGACTGTCGCAGATCTGGCATAACACGGCCTCAGACGTTGAAAGATTCACGAAAGCAAGGCCAACAGTAGGGCATATTCCACGAGATTCACTAATTGCACAAATGATATCTTGGACTGCCACACTGGTGGCAGTAGTCGTTGGTCTTCCGGTCCTTGGCCGACCAGTGGTAGTGGTGCGGCCTGTTGTAGGACGCTTCCTGGAGCTGACGCCATGAGTTGAGGAAGACGTAGACCAGGGCATCGCGGCAAGTCTTAACCTTGTTGATGTTGTGTAGTTTTGAAGGTGTTAAGATAACCTCAAGCTTAACTAACTAACGGTCCGAAGGCGCTTTGCCAATTCCGGCCTAGCTCGCAAAATCTGACAAAATTCAATATTTCGACGCGCTTCCTATCCAGCAAAGTGCAAAACAATCGCGGTGGCCGTTTAAGGAATTAAGGTCATGGCGACTCTAGTCCCACCTCCGAGTAAGAGGCAGCGCCTGGAGACCCTAGAAAAAGCGAGACAGCAACAGGATATTCAAGCCATCCCAGAAAACTTGGGCAGCATCAGAGTGCAGTTTTTTGACCAAGGAAATGGAAAGGCTTCAGGACCTGCAGTCGCTGTTCCGATTGCCGATGCTACTGTGAAGAACCTAGAAATTTTACTTAACACCCTTCAAGGAAATGTAGGCTTGCTTTCACCATCTTTCTAATAACGTTTGCAGTCTGATCCTATAAATAGGATGACCATGAAAGAGTTCCATACCGGTTCACCTACAAGCCCGATAGCGAAGTCGACAACACCATTGACATTCTATCAGACTTGTACCAATCCCTCCTTAGGCCTGGGTTGAAAACCTCTGAAGATATCATCCACTTGCAATTTACCCCCCAGGCAATCTTTCGTGTGAAAGCTGTCTCGCGATGTTCCGCATCAATTTCAGGCCATGGAGAAGCAATACTAGCCACTTCATTTTCCCCTGCATCGTCGTCGCGAATGGCTACCGGCAGTGGGGACTCTACGGCTCGCATTTGGGATTGTGATACTGGGACTCCTGTCCACACTCTCAAAGGTCATTCGAGCTGGGTTCTCGTTGTTAGTTGGTCACCCAACGATAAGATCCTGGCAACCGGGAGTATGGATAATACAGTCCGATTATGGGACCCGCAGACTGGACAGCCCCTTGGTGCCCCGTTGAAAGGACACACGAAATGGATAATGAGTTTGTCGTGGGAGCCTTACCATATACAAGAACCTGGAAGACCAAGATTAGCGTCGGCCTCGAAAGACTCCACAGTCCGAATATGGGATGTGGTATCAAGGCGCATTGAAAATGTGCTTACTGGCCATAAAGGCTCTGTTTCATGCGTGCGATGGGGAGGGACTGGGAAGATTTACACATCGTCACACGATAAAACCATCAAAATATGGAACCCTAAAGATGGCAGCCTGATACAAACGATGTCATCTCATACTCACCGTGTAAATCACCTAGCATTATCTACTGACTTCGTACTTCGGACATCTTTTTACGAACAAAACAAAGCCATCCCGGAGACTGATGCTGACAAAATTGCCTGTGCAAAGACGCGTTTCGAGAAAGGGGCGACTATAAATGGTAGAATTACCGAGAGATTGGTATCCGCTAGTGATGACTTTACTATGTTCCTGTGGGACCCCGCCTCTTCTAACAAGCCCGTTGCTCGGATGATGGGGCATCAAAAGGAGGTTAACCATGTTACCTTTTCTCCCGATGGAGCATACATCGCGTCCGCGAGTTTCGATAACCATGTGAAGCTATGGAATGCAAGGGATGGAAAGTAAGCTTCCATATACTAGTGACCTTAACCATACTCATATCTCCTAGATTCATATCCTCATTACGTGGCCATGTTGGGGCAGTATATCAGTGCTGCTTCTCAGCCGATTCTCGCCTACTAGTATCATCATCTAAGGACACTACTCTCAAAGTATGGGACGTTCGAACGGGAAAGCTGTCCATGGATCTACCTGGTCATCAGGACGAGGTTTACGCTGTTGACTGGAGTCCCGATGGGGAAAAGGTGGGTAGTGGGGGAAGGGATAAGGCTGTTAGGATTTGGCGACATTGAAACCATCAGAGTCTATAATAGTTATGATGTCCATTCTTAGTCAACCGCATGAGACGCCGGCGTCTATTTAACACACCAATTGTCGCGGCGAACAAGCGCCTAGATATCGGATTTCTTTTACATGAAAATTCTAGAATCACAGTACCTCGAAAACCAGAAGAATAGCGGTCGGGATCCATTTGCAGAGTATTAAAGTCTTATCAGCCGGAAACCGCCTCACACTGCCACTTTGCACATAATGGCCTTTCTGGACATTGTTCTGGAAGAAATTACCGCCTACAATGTTCCCCGGCGGAAAATATTCGCAGAAGATATACCAGTTGGTTGCCTTTATTTCATCCTTTTTCCCCCCAGGATGCAAGTTCTCTTTGGTTGTTGGACCACAATCATACCTAGCACACCCTATTGTGCGTGTGGCTTTCCATACTAGCTGTGAAAAGGCAGCCGTGCCGTATCTAAATTTTGGGTGGTCGAAACCGAATTTTGTGCGCTGGTCGGCCCAGGAACTGACAGCAGCAGTAACATTTGGATAGTCTGAGGCGAAACTCTCGCCCGATGGTGAGAACTAAAAAGAGGTCAAATGTCGAAAAGCAGCAACGTACAGCGCATGTGCTCACCAAATGCCTTTCCCGGCATTGTTTTACCCAGCCCTGTGATATTACAGCTAGCGTGTCATTCCACGCCACAGCAGCGGCATTGTGCTGTGACCTATATTGGTTTGTCGTATCAACGATAGCGGCTCTGAAGTTTTGGTCGGAGGTATACTGCGGCGACTCGGGTTCGCATACGATTGATTGAAAAGATATTAGGATGTGTATCAATAATAGAACCTTGTTCATCTGTACGCCCATCACAGACATGAAGCAGCCAGGCACGGTTGTAAGCCTACCCTGTTGTCGGATTTGGCATTTTGGCTTTATGATAATGACGTCACCCAACTAATTTATTAATCATTGACATCCTATCATCTTTCAACCGTGCAAGTTTTCAACAACACAAAAGGGGCTGAGAGCCCTGATAGCCATGGTCCATAGGGTGTGCTGAAGGGTATTTCAAAGTGGCTACTGTGACTATGATGCTCTAAATAGCCGTAATGGTGCCAGACTCAGTTCAAATTTGAAACCTACAACGGATACAGAGGACTGTATCTAAATGAGAATATTTAATTCACCTGAACGGGATAACCGTTTATTGAGGCTAACCTTGATGATCTAGCTAAAATGCAGATTGCACCATACCCTTGGTGCTTTTACCCGTGTTCCGGGTTTATATACTCTGTATATATTCGATCTAAGTTATTGCAACATCTCTAGGGATTACGGAGCTCAGTTGAAGCGGTCGAGGGAGCTGCAAATTGCTAGAATTTCGACATGGTCATATTACCGTGCATCCAATTCCAAACATAGCCCGCTCAACATCTCGCTTCACTTGGTACCAGTCAGCTCTTCTCTCCGCAAACTCATACACTTCTTCTGCACGAAGGATGCCTTTAAACCTATCAACATCAGCAATAATTGTAGCCATCTCCTTGGAATCAGACGGATCAATAAGGTAAAGCTGCGACATTTCTCTAAGGGCAGTGAAATAGAGAATCAAGTGATCGTTCTTCATGGTTTGGATGAATGTGAAGTAATAATTCATATCACTAGAGAAAGAAGGTCAGTCAACAGGCATAGGACAGCTGTGATTAGCTTCTAGAGTCGAAGCCTCCTACCTTATCAGCTTAATGGAGCCCATAATGCTGATGCGCTGACGTTTAAGATGCTTACATAGAACACCAAATAAACGAAGCCCAACCTCTTGATTGAAGACATCCAAGGTACTTTTATCTGTGCTGCCAACTAACATTTGTGTGTGCGAAGAGACAATCTGTACGATGCTCGTTGCTGCGTCACTTGGTCCGATATCAACTGCTTGGATGTTGCCGTCTGCCGATTCTGGATAAAAATCCAACGCTGTCTGTTTAGTCGCAAGTAAAAATTCCACCTCTTCCAAGAGAACGTCAATACCTTTGTTTAATCCAGCAGCTACCCGTTCATCAAGCATTTGTTCAAACCGTTTTTTTTCCTTTACAGCTGGATTAAGGAAGTCGCTGTTGTCTATTAATCTAGCACCAATCAACTCCTGTTCGTAGAAGACATCCATCATTTGCAAGATCAAATCGCCAACATTAACAAGCTCCAGAAAGGTAACGAGGGGCTCGACCCCTTGTTGGTCATCCTCGCTGCGTTGTTGTCGCGGTTTATACACTGAGAGATGGCCAACGGCTTTGTCAAAGCCGGCTATGACATGCTGCTGCCCAAGAATCTGTAGTAGGGAAATAAATATTGCTTCGCATTTTTGTCTCGCTGCTTTGCCCAATTCTCCCTGCATTTCAACAAATTGGGCTGCCCTTTCTAGGCTTAGTTTTGCTACATGCACCAGATTCAGTGCTACCTCAATACTGAAAAGACTGCGAATCCCTTCCAGCTTAGCGTTCATGATTGCTGCCTTCGCAGCTAGCTCGGTCGTAGGAGCCTCATTAGATACTGGAGGGGTAGTAACGGGAACAATGATCGTGGATGAGCGATTAGGATGTGAAGCCCCCACAGATCCTGGGCTGAGGGCTGGTTTGTCAACGCTATCCCCCTTGGCTGTACTTGACTTGGAAAAACCGGGAAGTATGTTAACAGGAGCCATAAGAACTTTCTTAAATGATGTTAAGAAATCTTTCTTATCAGCTTGTCTGTTCACATTGGACATGTAAAATGATTCGGTCGAGGCGGCATGTTCCGATAGTTGTCGGTCCCAGTCAGAAACGACATCCTCGGAATGTTTTCGAAAGGCATCCAACTCTTCAACAAGGTACAACTCCACGTGTTTTTCAAACACATCGACAACCATCTTACTAGCAGCTTCATGAAATTCTTTAGGAAAGTTTTTGGCAGGGTTTAAACATCGAACAAAATTGCTCGTTTGCACGTAAGTCCCAGAAACAGCCTGTAGATATGAGTTTGAATACTGAGTATGAAGCTCATCAAATAAGGTGTTAAAATACGGGGATAGCACAGTTTGCTGAATCATCCCCATGAAAGTTGTGGATAATCCAGCACAGTTTGGAAAACAGCGATCCATGATAGAGACTTCCTCGTTGATCGCAACACTTAGGCGAGTTAGAAAAGCCTGAGTATGCTCTAGAGAGACCATGCCAGGCTTCAAACAATCAGCAGGCCTTCCAAAATCGGTCTTTTGCCTTATGATATTGTTCTGCTGCATGAAATGTTGAATAGCGATATGGCCTCCATTAAGTGCAACTAACACTCGAGCATATCTACTCATTGGCCCTTCAATATCTCCATTGTCATAACCATGTATAAACTCTCGGAGGGCAGCTGATTCAAAGTCTGATATCACAAGGGAAAGCTTTGTATTCCTCTCAAGCCAGCCGCGACTTCTATCCACATGGGAAAAGGATTGCAGATGTGCAAGCAGCTGGGCTTGCTCCTCCGGGTTATCAAATATTTTAAAGACAAGGCAATCAGTAGTTTCCTCAGATGTGACGACATTACGATATAATGGGTATAACGCCCCATGGATCTTCCCATACTGTTCTCTAGCTTTTCCTCGTACTGATTGCACGGAAGATAGGGCTTTAAGAGTAGTTGCAGCTTCGGGATACTGCCCACTCTTATTAGACCCAGTGAATTCCACTGCATCAAAGCCACCAGTGTTATTAACTGCCTGAACCCCTACTGATGCTGCAGGTATTCGACTCTGAGTCGTAATCCATCCCTGTGAGATCAAGCCGCTCGACTGGCCATTGGATTGCAAAGACCCGGCATGCTTCCTTGCTTCGAGTTCATCCCAGTAGCCCATCTGTTTTAATAGCCGAACCCACCTTGTGTCGTCGTACACCATCTCATGCATGCGCCGTGAGGTCTTTGCGACATTAATAAGGTCAATTGGATCAAGGTAATCGAGAACGGTGGACATCAACTCTTCGCAAAACGTTAGCCGCTGTAAAAACTAGTTCACACGAAAGGGGAAACGGGTACCTGCTGGTAATATCGGTTTGGATATTTCAATGTGAGCCAGCTTAAGAGATGCCAAAACATCTCTCCTGGGGCCCTTGGGAGCCACGTGTGACTTTGGGCGGGATGCCATGTTGTCGTACAGCTGACGCCGTCAACTAGGTGGCTGCGTAGATCGAAACGGGCGTGTTGTGGTCATCACGCAGGAGTCTTGGAGAGTGGCTCTTGGTGTCGTGTGTCAACGTGTAGCTACGGCGGGGTTGCTCGTGGCAAAAAGCCTTTTTCGGAGTAGACAGCAGTAGCTGTGAAAATAGGCGTGAGGGCAGGTCTGTCTCAAGAAGAATACCGAGTTTCTTTTTATGCTATGTTGAGTAGACAAGAATTGACATGCTGGAGACACCACAAGAGTGGCGTAGTTAGCGGCAAGTCCCGTTTAAGTTTGATAATGTTTTTCAGAGTGGAACGTCTCTTCTTAATTTAGATAGTTACTGTTCTGATAAAGGTGCTTGGTTGATACTATTAGATATTCTCCCATGTACTATTTATTGTAAAAAGTCTATAGGCAATGCACCGCTGCCTATGCCACTAACTCCGGGGTGCTCTCCTGGAGAGATGTATACACTTGTTAGAGCGAAGCCATGTCTGTAGTATATACAAGCGGGGGCAAAAGCCATGAAAAGCGAGACGGAGAGTTGCTTCGTCTATTTTTGTCTATTCCGCGAGAGTACTATACAGGTTGCCTATTTCGGACGAGTGCTTGAATCACCACCGTCGATATCACAGCCCGACATAACCCTCTAGCCACAAGCCCGCAAGCGCAAATACCACCATGGGACTATCTCTGCCCGCTGCACAGACACCCCCTCCAATTCTTCATGTCGAAGTAAGGATAAAGGAAGCCGTAGGTAATGTGATTGTTCGAACTGATATTGTGAGTGGCCCTCTAACGTGACTGTCGTGAGTGGCACTGACACCTCTAGGTTCGCAATGAAGCTTCGAAGTGGCTACTTGACAACTTCGCTGCTCTGCAAGTCGGGCAAGAGATTTCAACGTTTGGTAATTTCCTTGCTACCCGGATTTGCTGCTCAGTGTTCCTGACGGAGGGAAAGAGGGGTTCAACGGCGAATACGCCCAGTACCTTGAAACAGTAAGGGTAGTCGAGTGTACGGGAACACAAACAGAGAGTGGCACATATCTTGTATGTGAGGTGGGCCTTGATGTCCAAGCCTACCAGCTCCACCAGCCAGGCTTGAACGTTCTTTCTCAAGAACAAGACCATAATGGTGAGACGGATGACGATGAACCGCATATCCGTATTCTTCCACTACCCAGCAAGGAGCTAGATGGTATCTGGGAGTCGTAGGTTCAAGCCACGACCTGAAAAAGATACACCTTGGCTGATGCCTTTATCAGACTCTTCTTTGAGCAGCCTATCCACTCCAGCCTTCTCCGAGCCGTTGCAAGAATGCGTATGTCTCCAGATGATCCTCCCAGAGCAGTGGGGCTAAACTAGATATATAGTTGCCTTTGCCTGGCATAAGCTTAACACCTGGACAATCAATTGGAATCGGCTTATCCTGCTTTATGGGCCACCTGGGACTGGAAAAACAAGTCTCTGGTAAGTATTATGAATTAAGCCAGTTTAGTTAGCCACTAATGCTAATGTTCTATCAGTCGAGCTCTAGCACAAAAGCTGGCGATCAGGCTGGGGAAACAGTTCCCGCAGAGTAGGTTGATAGAAATCAACGCAAATTCACTGAGCAGCAAATTCTTCGGTGAAAGCGGCAAACGTGTGATGAAACTGTTTGCTACAATAGAAGCGCTTCTCACCGAAGAACCTGACACGTTGATATGTGTTTTCATTGACGAAGTAGAATCACTGACAGCCAAAAGAGAAAAATCACTAAACGGGAACGACCCATTGGATGCCATGCGAGCAGTCAACGCTTTGCTAACAGCACTGGACCGACTTAGACATTACTCCAACGTGGTGGTATTCTGCGCCAGTAATCTAATTACGGCCTTGGTAAGAGACTTACTAGGCATAGGTTTTGACCACATTCTCATGTCCATAGGATTCCGCATTTCTAGACCGAATAGATATAAAACAGCTTGTCCCAGCACCGTCTGCGAAAGAAAGATATGAGATTTTTCGCAGCTGCTTTGAGAACCTCAGCGAGTGCGGCTTGATCAAGGGCTGCACGTTCGACGTAGCACAGCGGGATGCAGACAACCCTGAGTCACCACTAGAGTTTGTATGCCAGCCTGCTGAGCGTCTGGCATTCCCCAGATACGAGATGGTGTTGTGGTATCAGCTGTTTCCCGAGTCGAGTCCCAAGCGGCTTGGGGACCTGGCGCAGGCAAGCGAAGTACGTCTTCTTCCGCTCTTCTGGAATTCATTGCAATGGGAATGCCAGGCTTACAGTCAGGCTAGGGGCTAAGTGGCCGCGTGCTGAGGAGACTCCCTGCGTTGTCGCTGGTGCTGTATACGGTCAACAGCTGTTGCTTGGTGGAAGAGGCGGTGGAGGCGCTGGGCAGGGGGATTGCAGAGGAACTAAGAACCAGAGAACAGGCGCGCGAGTAGCTCGCAGGATGGCATAGCTAGAGAGGACAGACCATAGCTAACGTGTCGCTGTATGTGTGTTGTTCATCCGTCGCAGCGCACGCGCGGTCGCTGGTCTTCGCGGTTTCTGCCGATGACCTGGGCGCGAGCCAATCAGCGGCAGGCTGTTGTTAACCTGCGGCTCGCACCAATCACGGCCGCCCGACCACTTCGTCTCTTTTGCAAAACATTCAACTCTCAATTAAACCAACGACCACTGCCTCTCGCCCCCCCTACGCCGCGCTCCTTACCCAAGCCAATTCTTCGTCAGTGCTGCGTTCACTGACTGGCGGGGCTGCCCATCTCTCTCTTCCTCCCACGCTCACCATGTTGGCCCGGTCGGCTCTGCGAAGCGTGCCTACCAAGGCATTTGCACGCCAGTCTTTTCGGCAAACGACGACAGTACGTTGCCCCTCCGTCGCCGCGCCAATCGCTCTCTTTTTGGGCTCCTCTGGCAATTGAATTGGCGCTGCAATGTGTTTTTGGCGTCCTCTTCGACTAACCGTGCCCTGTAGCGATCATCATCTTCGAAAGCCAGCTCCGTTTCCGAAACCCCATTTTACCTCACGTTGACCGCTTCCGCTGCCACTGCTGCCACAATCGGTGCGGCAGCCTGGTATTACCATCTCTATGGACCTGAATTGCACGCCATGACCCCAGCAGAGGAGGGGTGAGTGTGGTCTCCGCCACCAGTTTTTGGACCGAATATTGAGCTAATTGGTGGCCAGTTTGCATTCCACTGTCTATCCTTGGGAACATACCAAATTCTACCGAACGTTCGACCATGCAGCGTGAGTATTTCTGGCTTAAAAATATCGCTTTACCCATTGTGTTAACTCGTTTGGGCTGGCGACTAGTCTACGACGTGGTTTCCAAGTATATCGTGAAGTCTGCGCGCAGTGCCATTCTCTAACACGTGTTCCATGGCGCTCGTTTGTTGGTACTATGCATACCGTGGACGAAATGAAGGCAATGGCAGAGGAGCATGAATACGATACCGAGCCCAATGACCAGGGCGAGATCGAGAAGCGCCCCGGAAAGCTGTCGGACTATATCCCGGCGCCGTACAAGAACGATGAAGCTGCTCGTGCTGCCAACAGCGGTGCTTTGCCACCCGATCTCAGCTTGATTGTCAAGGCTCGACATGGCGGCTGTGACTACATCTTCAACTTGCTCACTGGCTATCCTGATGAACCTCCCGCGGGAGCAAGTGTGCAAGAGGGATTGAACTTCAACCCTTATTTCCCAGGAACTGGTATGATTATATGTATCTTGATTGACAAAAACATGATCTAACGCGCTGCTGAAGGTATTGCCATGGCCCGCGTTCTCTTCGATGGCATGGTTGAATACGAAGACGGCACCCCTTCAACGACGTCGCAAATGGCCAAGGATGTCACCGAGTTCCTGAACTGGGCTGCAGAGCCGGAGATGGACGACCGAAAGAAGATGGGACTGAAGACGCTCGTGATTGCGGGAACTCTATTCGCCATCAGCGTGTGGGTGAAGCGATACAAGTGGGCGCCGATCAAGACCCGGCAGATCGTTCACACTCCCCCGATTGGCAAAAGAAGATAGAGTGGGAGGTGGTGTGATTGATCGATAGACTGGCTATCAAAAAGGGAGTGAGCGAGACCACTTGGGAGCACCGACTGCGTGAGCCTCTCTCTCTCCTCTCGGCGCCGCGATTTCATTTTTTTCTTGCGCTCATGCACAGACGCGTTCCCTCCCGAGGTGTTGCTTGTTTTCCTGTCCGTTTAGACCACCAAAATTACAAAGGGGAGAGGGGGGAGCGGGAACAGCAAAGTGTGTGGGTTTGGGCTCCGTGTAAATTATACAGATCTTTGCTATACTCTTTTCTATCCCCTCTTGTGAGTATCGTTTGCGTGTTTCGACGTGGCTGTATGTACTCTGTTTCATTTGTTGCCAGTCGGGCTGGCTGGGCGTGTTCTCCCCTCCGACACGAGTTGCCGTGACATGTAGCTTGTATATACTACCGTCGTGGTATAGAAACGGTAGACTGCAGCTTTATACGAACTTGTGTGTATACTAGAGGAGTGGGGCTGGAAACGATCTAAGTACGGAGTACATCATCCAAACGGTCTTATGAGAGATACTACTACATCTAAGGGTTAATAATACAAAAATACAAAGGTAGCACAGCAGCGAGGAAAGTCTAGACACTACGTGCCAATAGTGCGCTCTCCGTCGCCAAAGACGCGCGCAAAGCCCAGGTCGTAGGTCCACCAGATAGCGGCAAACAGGCGGTTGTGCAGGGCGGCCAGCCAGCACGGGGTGCGGCCGCGCTGGTCGGCCAGGGCAGCGCCCAGCGACATGAGGGCGAGCAGCGGCGGCGCCCACATCAGCGCGAACAGCACGCGGGCGACACGCTGGCGCGCGGTGGTGGCACGGTAGGGCTGCAGGGTGGCGAGATGGGCGCGGTACTCGTGGGGCAGACGGTGCTCGCGGGCGCCGGCGACGAGCAGGGCCAGGTAGCGCGGCGAGGGCTGCGGGTAGCCCGGGCGGCGGGCGCGCGAGTCGACGCTGTGGCGGGCGGGCGCGAGCAGCGTGTGGGCGCGGAAGGGCGTGGTGGACGGGCGCGCGGGCACGGGCGCGGCGGGGTCGTAGGGGCGGTGGTGGTGGTGGTCGTCGGCGAACGGGAAGCAGTCGACGGTCAGGTCGGTGTACGACGCGCCGCCGCCCTCGGTGGCGATGATGCGCGCGTAGTCGGCCAGCGTCACCTCGTACACCACGCCGACCAGCGGCTTGTGCCAGCTGGCGGCGTCGTGGGCGGCGAGCAGCGGGGCGTGGTCTGGGTTGGAATGCTGGTGCTGCTCCTGGTCGCGATGCTGGGCCGCGGCAAAGCACGGCTCGAGATACGGCAAGCCGGCCAGGTCGAAGGCCAGCGCCAGCGAGGGCACGCACACGGCCAGCTGCGAGAGAGGCTCGATGCCGCGCGTGTGGCGGAACGTGCGCGCGCTCATGTTGGAGCCGTACGCCAGGTACAGCACGGTGCGCTCGGCCAGCGCCTTGGGCGCCCGCTGCGACTCGGCCAGCAGCGCGTCGACGTCGAGTGCGTGGTCGTGCGCCGCCGCGCGCTGCCGGTCGTGGGACGTCGCCGGGACGGCCGGCAGTGGGCGGTCATCGGCTTTGGAGCGCCAGGCCAGCCTCCACGGCGCGAGCGGCACGGCGTCGGCGTCGGCGTCGAGGAGGTGGTCGTGCAGGTGGTCGTCGGGGGTGCTCGCCATGACAACTGCCGGGCCGGATCGCTGGCAGCAGCAACTTGTGAACGAGGAGAGGCCACGCTTATGTAGCAGTCAACTAGTTAGTCCACTATGGAATTCGTTATGTAACGCGCAGGCAGCTAGTTACTTATTAAACGGCGGCCTCGCGCCCCGGGCTGACCGCGGGGTTTGTCTGTCTGTCGCCATCGCTGTCGTGCTGAGATCATGGAGCTGCTGAACGCCAAAGTCACCGTGGCCGCCGCCCACGCCGCGCCCGTCTTCATGGACAAGGCCGCCACCACCGACAAGGTCGTGCGCCTCATCCACCAGGCCGCCCGCCAGGGCATCGAGCTGCTCGTCTTCCCCGAGACCTTCGTCCCCGGCTACCCGGTGAGCTTACATAGTACCTAACTATCAGTGATTCTGTATACCCCTGCTGACTGCCGCAGTACTGGACCGAGTGCTACCCGCCCATCCAGCAGGTTGACGCCCAGGCCCAGTACATCGAGCAGAGCGTCGCCGTCGACGGTGATGAGATCAAGCGCGTCCAGGCCGCCTGCCGCGCCGCCAACGTCGCCGTCAGCCTGGGCATCTCCGAGCGCGTGTCGGGCGGCTACACGCTGTTCAACTCGCAGGTCACCGTCGACCGCGACGGCGCCCTGCTGGGCGTGCACCGCAAGCTGCAGCCCACCTTCGTCGAGCGCATGGTCTGGGCCCAGGGCGACGGCTTCACCCTGCGCAACTACAAGCTCGCCGCCGGCTACAACCTCGGCGGCCTGTGCTGCTGGGAGCACACCATGAACGGCGCCCGCCAGGCCCTCATCGTGCAGAACCAGCACATCCACGCCGGCGCCTGGCCCGCCCTGTCCACGCTCATGGGCTACGAGGCCGTCGGCGACGCCCAGATCGAGGGCCTGATGAAGTGCCATGCCCTCTCCGCCCAGGCCTTCGTCGTCACCGCCTCCAACTACGTCGACAACGCCTGTCTCGAGTGGATGGAGAAGAACCTGGGCCCCCAGGACTTTCTCAAGGCCGGTGGTGGGTGGTCTTCCGTCCTCCACCCCTTCTGTTCGTTCCTGGCCGGCCCGCACACCGGGCCCGAGGAGAAGCTGGTCGCCGCCGAGGTCGACCTGGCCCAGCTGAAGAAAGTGAAGGTCTGGGTCGATTCCGCCGGCCACTACAAGCGGCCCGAAATCCTGAAGTTCAGCTTTGATCAGCGCCCAATGTGGGACGACGAAAAGCACTTTGTTCTAGGCGCAGCCCCGGAGAAGGATGCTGTGCTAGCCGCCCCTGAACCCGAGGACAATACGGCATGAATAATGAATAACGAATAATGATCCGGTCATATTTCCGGCCCAGTCTCTCTTTTATTACTGAACAAATGGCCGGAGAGCTCAAGTGCATTTTTCGGGGTTTGGTCTAATAAAATCTGTCGAATATCATGAGAACACTAATATATTATATCAACGTAGTCCAAAATAGCAATATCAATGCTATTGCTACCACCTACTAATGAAAGTCTGCCCCGCGTATGGAAACTAGGGAATTCGATTGAAGCTCGCAGCATGTATAACAGATAGCCGCAGTGGTATGCCCCAGCCAGTGGCGCAGCAGCTTCCTGCATAGCTGCCCAACAGGTAGCTGGGATGCTGTATGGATTAGTCAAAGGGTCAAAATCCTACATGTAGGAGCAAATAGCGGCGGGCGGTTAAACCGTGTATAGATATCCCATGGGATGTTCCGCTTTGCGAATGCTTCATGAGGCTGGCTATTTTTCTGCGAGTGTGTCAGAACCAACGGCTCGGAAAGAGGTCCAACTTCTAATGCCCATGATGGTGCTTGGTGGAAGAAGAGATATTCACATTCGTAGCTCATTAGAATTAAGTTATCCGCACAGAGGTCCTCGTTGAGCCGGTAGAGAGATCGCAGAGGTGTGTCGCGCAAACGAAAAAGGGAATCTCATATAGCTGAAGCAGGCCAGCCTGGCTCTGAGATAAGTGTCTGTCGCCGTTTTGCTGGCGATCAGACACCGAGAGCGCTCCAGGCGGCCGGAAATGCAAAGGGTACGGCTGAAGCAGCTTCCTCAGCAACTTCCACGGTGACGGACAAGAGCGAAGGCGATGAAGAGAGGTTCGGATTTTCAATGGGGAAGCACTTTGCGTAAGGATTCGAGGCGTCATCACGACAAAAAAAGGTTATTTAACCGCCTATTCGTGCCCCGAAATCGAGGGGCACGCCTAGAATCGCTCCCGCACTCCCGCTGCGAAAGGCTTGTGCGGCCCGGGCGCGGAGCCTAGTTCGTTAAGCGTCCAGAGCGGGATAGGGGTCGGATAAATAATCATCCCAACCCGGCTTCACCACAGTCCGACACTGAGGCTAACGAACGTCGTCGATATCGAAATACCCAATCACCTGCATACCCATAGACCCGGCTTAGAGAACAAAATCCCGTCTTTTTCTAGGCTGTTTCGTTTTGCCTTGTACCACATGTGGCGGCAGCTCTTGAATTTGCTGGATGGTGCTCGACAAGAGTGCATAATGTTGGGCCAGTTGCATTTTTTAGAGACCTGTTTTGAGACTCAATCAATACATTCACCTTCTGTAGTCAGGTCGAGGGTTACAACAACTCTTTAACTATACAAAATTAAAAATGAATCTCTGTCCATAGTGCTAATACCTGTACAAACCGTGGTTGGAATGTACACAACCTTCCACCACACCAGGTACCATGTACGGACAGGAGACCTCGCAGGTTCCCCGTCCCTTTGTTGCAATCCAAAAGCTTGAAGATTCCCACAATAAGCTATTGTAGCAGCAGGAGCCAATGTCGATTGTGCTGGTCTTGCATGTTGCTACTACTACCCATTCAATGAACCTGAACACGTCCCCCCACTTATTGTGCCGTGAAAACTTCGTACCCGAGTCTCTCTTAAACGAGATATACCCATACCACGTGATATCAGCCTGTGAGGTCATCTGCAACACCGACCCTCCATGTCCACTATGCCTCATTCTTCCCTGGAATAGGAAGATATGGCGCAACGGCTGGTAGCATAAAAGCAACAGATATGGCATCAAGTAGCGACTCCGTCGCTGTCAAGCCACTAGATGGCAACATTCTCCAGCTCATCCAAGACCTTCGACATACCATCCAGGCGACGCAGAAGGACGGAATGTTAATGTGAGTGGGGCACCCTTATGTTGTCTAGACCAATTGCTAACTCGATTTCTACTCCAGGATCGATGTTGAAACTATCCATTCTTTCACTCGCTTTTCCAATTCCCTTAATCCTACCTACCTTTCAGAATTGGTATCTTTGTTCGACGACGAAAATCATGGGAATTGCTCTAGACTTGATGTTGCATCTTTTTATTGCATGTGTCATATCCTTCTCAGGTCAAGACCATGCATCGCAAGGGATAGAGGATTTTATCTATTTCTTGTATTTATTTCAAAGCCCATACCAGTCTGACTAGGATTGCGCTAAGTTGTCTCTAGGAATCTTTAAGAGAGCTGACAAAGATGGTCCACGAAGGAATCAACCCCAACCTTGCGGCTTCTGCTCGTAAGAGAAAAGTAATTCTGGGAGAAAAGTCTATCCGTGGGCTGTTCGGATCATTCGTTACCCAGTATCCGACATTGGCACGAAGATGGGTGAGAGCTATGACCAATATCTTTGCCTATGCCCTACTGACCGAAATAGAGTGGGCAATATATTCTTGAACTAATATGGCAATGCAATGAAAATAGGGAACTGTTGTTATGGAGCAAGGAGCGCCTCCGGTAAAATTCTACGCAAATTTAAATCAAAACGACAGCTGATTCATTTGTTTTTTTAGACACCTCGGCGGCCTGATTCTGAGCGACACAGACTGTGTATTGAAATTGATATCCGGGCTAATCATCCAGCAACTGCTGCTGGCCGGGCCCGAGCCTTGTGCATTCTGGCCTCTGGATGCCGATTCCAAATTTACTTCGTGGCTTACGCCGAATGCCGCAATAGACGCTTACTGGATGAATAATTTTGTCAAGCTACTTGTGTTGGTTGACTTAAGCAAACGTCATCGGTTCCCTAAGACGATGATAAGGTGCCTGCGTTCGCTGACGATACCAGGGTTCGATCTCAATTCAAAGAACACTCCAATTGCAATGGTAATTGAAAACAATCACCTTACCTTTGTTGCTGTCAGCAGTGAACGAGTCCAAATTATAGATGTCCCTATTAATTTTGTTCGAGGTGTGATGTTTTCCAATCTAGGTCTATCAGCGCTGCAAGTAGACCTGGTTGAGGATACTTGCTACTTTGCAAACGGCTTGGCTATAAAGGCAGAGTCTTTAGAGGCTACATTTACAACTTCTCAAGTCGCTAATGAGGTGTTAAAGACACTAAACCAGCGACCTAGCAAATTGGCGTATGACAGCAATGATCTCACTGCCTATATACCAGGACAGAAGGAAGTAAATGCGAAAAGGACCCTCAAAAATCGTGGCCATGCAATATCGGCCGCGATAGACCTCACCGAAGATGAAGGAAACATTGCGTCTCCACAGGGCCTCATGCAGCCACCTTCAGGTCGGAAAAACAACATATACACCAAACGAGTATCGTCATCAGCAGCAATCGAAATTTCTCTACTATCTGACAGCTCTACAGAGCATGATGACAGTCCTCAAAGAAAAAAAACTGTCGAGAAGGCGGGGCAGAAAGGCGAGAATCTTGAAAGTGGATATGCCTCAATGAGCCCGCAAAAGGCAGCTTTGAACAAGCCAAACAGCGACAAAATGCCAACTCAAGTACAACTGACTAGTCTGGATTTGGTACATGATAGAGATACACCGGCGCAAGGCAGTCCACGAGAGACGTGGTCCCAATGCGGCTCTGCTGAGGGGGCGGGACGGATACCCGATTCGGCAACATGCGAGGTTGACCTAGTGCAACGTCAGTCTGCCAGCCCACAGGCTACCTCGCCTGAAAATTCCGAACATGACCACCAAATAAGCAGCGAAGTAGTGGCACCAGTACCTGCGAACTCTGATTATGAGATAGCTGGACACCAACAGGAAAACACAAGGGCTACAGAGACTACTGCCACGATGGAACTAGTCCCCCAGCCGAAACCACCCGATAGTATTCCTGGAATCAAAGAACAGGACACGAAATCTCCAAATCTCAACACTTCGCGGCTCAAGCGTCCTAATCATAGAATCAGTGGCCAGCTCGGTAAGAGAGACGATGTCGATTGGGATCAAGATCTTCGTGTGGAGGACAAAGCTCCGGAGACTGCTGTCAAAGCTAAAAGGCAGAAAAAAACGCCATTGGCCATGGATTCAGCCAAGATTCAGAGGCAGCGGAAAAGCGCTTTGTCCACTAGAGTAAAAAAAACTGTTGTACGAATGTTATCTCTGAGCCCCAGGCCTCCTCAGGCGGAGTCTGCGCCGCCAAAGCAAAAAGCAAACCCCCAAGTAACGAAAACACTTGCTGCGAATCGGCAACCTAGAGCAGCGGCTGAATTGGCAACTAAAAAGCTGGCAGCCGCTAGGCAAGAAGACCTACTATTCGCGTATGACGATCCAATAGAATCGAGTACGCCAGCTATTGCAGCAGTGGAAGGTGATAACTCTGGCAGAGGAGACAGAAATATAATCGAATCCCCGGTGCAAAAGGCCGCGGAACTAAAGTCTCAAGCCAGCGATGACGGCGCCAACAATATCACATTGAGGCATGTAAGCCCCTTTCCCGGGTTTAGGATGCCGTCGCTGCAGTCCGGTGAAGCAGATATATCTCACGGCGATAAGATAGATATATGCTTAACGCTGTCCAAACAGCAAAGTCTGCTGGCGCAAACCCGGAAACGCAAGTCCCCAACGCCACTGGACAATGCAAAGGCAAGACAGGACTCACCTGCATCCAAGCGCACGAAGCCAGCAGAATTCGGCGCCGAGGCAAAGCGAAATTGGGGAGGAAAGCTCATGGCAACGCTCGAAGATGCCGGTATATGCCCTGCGGAAGGAGAGCAACCCGGAAACTCAAGTGTTCAGGAGGAAAAGGCGGCTCCACAGATACTCCAACCCAAGACAGATATGAGCCTAAACATTGCAGCAAGATCCCAAATTTCAAGAAATGTTTCCTGGTTTATCGCGCAGCAGAACGCAAAAGGGCAAAGAGTAGACGCAGCCGCTGTTGGGGTTTCCCAACCTTCACACCCGGAAGAAAGTGCCGGGATAACAGCTGATACTGGAGAAGTAGAGCCAGAGAAAATAGATGTTGACCCTATTGGTTTTTCTTCGGAGGGGGTTTCGACACCACCCGATGAAGATGAACAACATCTTGCTGCAGAACCAACAGTTAAAAACACATGTCAAATAACGGGGAATCAATATCGATCATATCATCATGAGCAGGAAATGGGTGTTGGAGCTGATAAACCAGTAAATAGACGATTAACATGGGGTAGAAAGGTACAACAAGGTGTAAGATTCAATACAAGTGAGTGAAAGCTCTTCCGCTGGAAATCAAAATCTTACATGAAACGCAGATTCGCATGGCAGTGATTCCAGAAGTAGCCTTGAAGGTTCGCATTTGGAACACCGGGTCGAACTGGACAATTCCCCGCTTAATCCCATTATTCTTGAGAGTAGTGATGATAGCAGCCCAGACGAAAATGGGGACGACTCCGATGCTTCTATTTGCATTCTATCCAGAAACAATTTTCTGGCAAAATGTGACGCGAAGGGTTTATCCAATTCGCAGAGCCAGACAGTCAATGAGAAAGGAAGTCCTCAGCCAAAACTATTCTTAAGAACCAAGAAGATCGAGGGCATGCATTATGAGTGTTTAGACCAAAAAGGAGTCGAATATGCGACAGGATTCAAGGTAGTCAAAACTCCTATGGAAGACACTGATATAGAGATAAACGACAACATGAATCCAGCTTCTAGGTTCAATAATTCGGTCAAATACCTCAACCACTGTCCTAAAAACGAGGCACTTGAAGAACAGCAGAAGGGTGCTGGAGCTCCGGGTTTTCAGCTTCATGGAACTTCGATGACCATTAAGCAGCACGGAATTAAGTTGCTCGATGAGCCAGAAAGCCGGGCAAGCTTACAAGGCGCGAGTCCGAAGGGCCACGGGCAGGGTCTGCATTTTCCTGAAACAAAACAACAGGAAATTCAAAGTAGTCGAAACTGTCTACCAACTGACCGCCACGTTTCGGAAGAAGAGAAAGTGGCTTCACAACCAGAGAAAGAAGCGGACGTCGGCGAAGGAGTCATATCTTCGGCGGCCTCGTCGGAGCCCAATTCTGCGTCTCTCGCCATGGAATGGCAAAAAGCAATGCGAGGTTCACAGAGAACTACGCTCGATATGTTGCTGGATACGAGCAATGTAAGTTTCATATATAAAGAGTCCAATGACAAGTGCTAATCAGCCATGTGAACAGATGCTGATGCGACATTTACTGGACGAGGAGAGCGCCATTGCAAATGTAGTTGACCAGTACGCAAAGGGAGGAAAGCGGATCATTGATCAATTGGAGGAGACGCATCAGAAAATTTGGGCAGAATCCGCGTCACAGCTTCAGCTGGCACAACAGGGTTCATCTGATGTCTGCCGGATCGTGCTGCGTCTATTGGGCGATGAACAACGCGCAGTTCGTGATCTTCCGTCAATAGCAAACCTGGCCGCGGCATACGAGAAAAAAGGAAAACAATTACTGCATCGTGTCGACGAGGCAGCGAAGGAGTGCGAGCAGGAGGAGCTGTGAATGCTCGTGAAGGATTTGCGGTGTTTCGCACACCGGTATCGGACGATCACAGCTCCACGGGCACCGAGGCATGGTCGGACAGGTCAGGACTTAGTTTGGCGCGTTTTCAAAATTTATGGTTCCTTCGCAATCAAAAGCTCCTTATTTGCTCGGTGTGGCCTCCGAGGTTTTAAGTCAGCTAACTAGGTACTCCGTAGTTAGTTAGTTAGCGATATTCTTATCTGATGACGTCCAAGTAAAAAAGGCCGATGACTCAATGCTAGTTAAGTAGCTACTGAGCAGCTTCATACATCCTCTGTACAAGAAACAGAACACATTCTTCTTAACAACAATTTTTCTTGCTTTTCGGCCTCCTTTTATTGCCCTCCACGCCACTTTGGTAGCGTTGTTGTCTTTATCGACCCTATCGCAGTGAGCAGTCAAGCTCTACCCCGCCACTCAACCAACAATGGCAGCCCAGACGGTGAGCTCGAGATCTCTCCTGAGCTTTCCTGGCCGCCACTAACACAGCACAGTGGTATATTGAAAATACAACTGTTGGCAATCGAAGCCATGCTGAAGACTGGCGAAGTCAGTAACTCCCATCCCAGTTGCTTCGATTCCACAACTAACGGGGTCATCCCCCAATACAGTTCGGGGTTATAATCCCTTAACACCTCCCAATCTTCTCCAGCATGAAATTTCACAGACCGCACAATCCAAAAAGACAGTGTTGATGTCCAGAGAGGAAGGCAGCGCCATTGTAAATGGCCGCGACCCAAAGAATCGCCTGATGGTGATCATCGGCCCTTGCTCGATCCACGACCCCGAATCCGCCATGGACTACTGCAATCGGCTGTTAAAATTGAAGGAGAAATACAAGAATGAGCTTTTCATTGTTATGCGATCTTACTTGGAGAAACCGCGCACTACAGTTGGCTGGAAGGGCCTAATTAATGACCCTGACATCGACAATTCTTTCCAGATCAACAAAGGCCTCCGGCTTGCGAGGCAATTGTTCGTTGACCTTACTGACAAGGGAATGCCCATTGCCAGCGAAATGCTAGACACCATCTCTCCTCAGTTCCTTGCTGACTTGCTCTCCGTTGGCGCTATCGGCGCACGAACCACAGAGTCTCAGCTCCACCGCGAACTAGCCAGCGGACTGTCCTTCCCCGTCGGTTTCAAAAACGGCACAGATGGCTCTCTTGATGTAGCTGTGGATGCAATTGGTGCTGTTAAACACCCTCACCACTTCTTGAGCGTCACAAAGCCTGGTGTAGTTGCAATTGTCGGCACGATGGGCAATGAAGATTGCTTCGTGATTCTAAGGGGCGGCAAAAAGGGCCCCAATTACGATGCTGACTCTATCGCAGCCGCGAAGAAACGACTGACTGAAAAGGGGCTTTCTCCCAGGCTCATGGTTGACTGCAGTCATGGAAATTCCGAAAAAAATCACAGAAACCAACCCAAAGTTGCGGCGAATATTGCAGCACAGATTGCAGCCGGAGAAACCGGAATTATGGGAGTTATGATTGAGAGTCACATCAATGAAGGTACGCTAGGAGATTCTTCCCTTCTTCCCTTAGTTGTATTCCTTCGCTTCTAGAAGCTTGCAGCCTCTGACAGCTTTCTCCTAGGAAACCAACCTGTCTCACCTCAAGGCAAGGCTGGTCTAAAATACGGTGTTAGTATCACGGACGCCTGCATCGGCTGGGAAGATACGGAATCTGTACTTGCCACCCTCGCTGATGCGGTGAAGAAACGACAAGCCATCGAAGCACAACAATCTAGCTCATAAATCCATCGTACTACAGAGCAAAAAGCTCGCTAAATTTGGCTAAAGGGTGATCTTATGGTGCTGGGTTCAACCCGGTTTTCATATTCAAGAGTTCTTACGTATCGACTAAAAGGACAGTTAACTACAGTAAAAGGGATATTTCTTTTTCTTATGAGCACGTTTGGGGTGGGAAGCGCAGCCTGAAAAGTATTTGATTTTTTACAGAATTTTTCCATCTTTGTACCTCTGCCTCCTGTAAGCAGGAATCCCGGAGACTCTACGTCGCTTTCAAATAGGCCTAAATATCAAATGATTTCGGTCCGTATTTACGCATAACAGATGGATATGCCTTAATAAATGAATGATTTGGTAGTTTGGTGCTGTCTCAAAAATTTATGTCACAGCATAGATATAGGTAAAATAGTTGGTTTCTCAATGATAAGCTCAAATCTCTATGTATTGAATATTGTGGTGAAAATGTGCTTCAGAAAAGGTCACAGGTACATATAAACGGTGAGCATACCCAACTGACATTACTATCTATACTGTTCTTGGTTGCGCCGTCTAAAAGATTCTATTAACTAACCATTCAAAATCATAGAAGGGTATTAGATAAATAAATAAATAAATAAATATAAATATATATATATATATATCATGCTAGACCAATTACACAACTTGCGGTATATTTTGAAGCGAAGGGCTAGCACCACTCGTAGGTCTCTGACCAGGGATCCAGGCATCATCTAGTGGCACAACTAGATTTGGATTGATGTACTTTCGAAGCTTATGAGCCAAATCTCGCCCCCTAAGCCGAAGAGGTATAGAGTCACGCTCCCACTGCGATGGTGGAGACAGTGTTGATGTTGGGGTAGGAGATTCGTCTGACACTGCAGCACGATCCCGATCGATACTCCGAAGAGCAATAAACTTCATCAATGGGTCATAGGTCCGTGAAAAGAAGAAGAAAAACCAAACAGTCCCGGCCAATAGTGGGACAATTAGTATCGATCGCGTGATTGCTCTTCGAAGAGCAAGGATGCCGATCATTGCGAGTTGAAAGACGACGAGGCCAACAATAACACGACTGCATATCATAGGCCAGGCACGTCCAGTAGAATGTTGCTGATGGTCCATGGCGTAGAGGAGTTGGTACTTATAGATAAAACCGCCGATGAAGAAGTAGATCAGACCAAACAAACACACAAGCCAAGAGCTCGGGAAAACGCTGTACACGAGGCAAATAATAAATATAAGTATAGTTTGGGGAAGTGCAAAGCCGTAGCTAAAGATAGGCGGTTTTTCTAAATCGGCGAAATCACGAGGCGTTTTTGCTCCCCATCGCTGAAACGGATATAGCGCAACACTCCCAAACTCCAGTAAGCGGAACGGAAACAAGCCTAGGCCTTGCAAAACAATAAGATTCACGTAGAATGGCGCGAGAGTTTCGAGAGAGCGGGCGAGGGCAAAGGCCACAGTAGTCGTATCTTTCAAAACGTCTCGCAGGTTCTCCCAAAACCCATAGAAATTAGAAGCGGTGGCAAAAACGGTGAAGACGAGGAAAAGGTTGAAGAAAGTAAAGAAAAAGTTTTTTGATATTATTGACAGCTCGATGTCCCCATGAGATATCATCCCTTGCATAGTAGCAAGCCCTAATTTCATAAGTTAGTGCCTGCCGTGTGGGGGAAAAGAGAGAGACATACAGCTATACAAATATGGGACTGAGACATTCAAAAGCGAAAGTGTCAGTGTTGGAAGACCCGTTTGTACAAGAGACTTGATCAGAGGATGGCGGGACAATGTTTCCGCCAGCTGAGGAATGACCTTCTCAATGGTCTCCAAATTCAACAGGTATGCCAATGGAATGAGAAGAAGAGACCAAAACACCGTGAGAAACCCAATTATCACAGTAACTGACCAAGTTCGCAGCCACCTTTTGGACCGAGAAAGATACGTTTTCTCCCAGACAACATCCCCGGGGGCAGGCGCCAGACTAGCAACAAATTGCATGGGGGAAGGGTCCAAAATTGCTTGAACCGCCATCTGGCATGCGGCGATCGACTCCATTGTCACAAAGGCTAGAGGTATAGGTGGAAATTCCTTTTCTCTTGTAACCTCGATAGTCTCATCTAAACGGCGCAACTTCTCTTCATAGTAATCAATAGCATCAACATACTTAAATTTGAGTTTGAGTCGTCCATGCCTCAAAAGTACCCTTGGACGCTCATGGTCCAAATCGGATATTTGGTCTTGTTCTTCGGCTGATAGTAATGTTGTCGTTTCATCATCGCCATTTAAGTGCAAACCGGCTAGGTTCTCGGCGGGATCCGTTCCTCTTCTACGTAGCTTCTTGGGCTGGTACCCAAGGTATCTTGTCCACGCTTCTTCTAACTTTTGAAGCACCCAGGCTCTCTCGGTCATTAAGGTATCAAGCTCAGTCCAATCTCGGCACAATGTCAGACTTTCTACCTTTCCAATACCTAAATTTTCAATGAATTCCTTGATCTTTTCTTCGGACCTCATTTCAGAAGGGATGCCAGACAGGCGAATTGTACGATCCGTCATAGTTGTCTGACTCCCTAAGCATTGCTGTCGTATCCTGATAATCTTATTCGTTCTTTCGACTAGGAGGTAGATTGCGACACCAGTAAAGAGGTATGAAAATACAACGTACATCCACAAGTATGTCGGATCAGACTTGGGCTCATCTTTGATCCCTAGGGTCACCATAGGTTGGGAGTAAGAGTGGAAGAGTTCTGTGCTATTGCCGTCTTTGCCATCCCAAGGAAATCCATACTTTCCTGTGTATCTGTAATGGACCGGAAGGATAATAACAAGGGAAAAGAAAAAAGTAACGGCCAAAAATTTCATAGCATAGCTGTAGAATGACAGAAACTAGAGAGGGGTAGAGGTTAGCTGCATTTTTCCATGAGCGATTGGGGACAAAAGCATACGACGAAGGCATCCAGACCAGCTGAAGCCAGGACCTCATCCTCAGTAATTTTGAATAGGACAGGAATCCAACCAAACGTCGAGTCGGGTAGTTCGGGCAGTCTGGACGCAGCCGTCCTTAATCTTCGACGTGCATTGTAAAGTGCTCTCCACTTCGGTCGTAGAAGCTAGTTTAAAAAACTCGATTAGCCGATATCTTATTTGTACATGAAAGCTGGAGATGGCGGAAAGTGTAGTTTTAAGACGAAATGCTTCGGACATACGCAGAATGCGAAAAACGCGCTCAAACCCAAAGCTGAGCTAACCACGATCTGCGTATATAAATCTCGCTGGCCCCTTGCCTGGTCCTGGAATTTCGGGGGGCTAGGGACACCGCCGCCGTCTGCAGCACCAAGGTCTAGTGAATGGATCGCGTAGTTTGCGCTGGCTGCCGCACGAAAGGAGACGAGCGTCATCGAGGGTCGATGCCGGAGGCAAATGCACACAAGCGTTTAATTTCCAGCCAATAACTCCAAAACAGATTCGCAGAGCGGCACAATCATGACAGCAACCTCTGTGCTGTTAGCGGGATGTCCTGAGTCGCTGGCGCTGTCGCTGGCGCTATGATCGTTATTGTGACAACCACGGTCGCTTATGTAACTAATCATTCAAATACCATGACATCATATAGTCAGTTCACCTGCTTATTAAGCAGGAGCTGGCAAGGTCACGTGGAGATAGGAGGATTCCATTAGGGAAACTTGGCAAAGCGAACTTGCTGTCAACAACTAAGTAGACTGTTCTGCTGTCTTTTCCCATACAGTCACTAATTAGTGAAAAATCAACGCTATGATGTTGCATGTTATTTTCTTAAGCATATTCTTATTTTTAGTCAATTGTTTATCATTGGCTTATAGGCTCTTTTTCTGCCATTCAAACTTGCAATCTTGGGATGAAGCATCATTCAGGCTCAAACTAAGCCACTCAGCTAAAAAGGTGAACACCTTATTACGTGTAGGTCTTTTCTCACACTTGCCACCCCCTCTATTTCTGGCTGGTTGGCTCGTTGACTAGTTACCTGGTACTCCCAGAGTTAACACTACCGATCCAAAAGGTTTCATGTGTTGCTACGGAGTATAAGTAGACAGTCATGCGCCCCGGGAACAAACTAAACACAACTTCAACCAACTCAGACTCTCAACCACTGGACCATCCACTTGATGATTTTCTTTCTAGTAGCTAAGGCCATTTCACGAACCTTTTGATCTCCTCCAAAGCTCCTCGTACTAGCCAACGAAAGCCGCCTTCGGATCTCAGGACGAGTCGACTTCAAAAAGAATGGACAACACGTCGGGAAATGTTCAAATTTTCACTAGGCCTAGAGACTGGGAATCGTGGGAAACAGACATACGTTTCCGGGCGAATGTCTACAACCTGTGGAAATATCTTGATCCAAGTGTGCAGGAACCAGAACCGTTTGAACCACCAAAACTTGAGGATTACCTTCCCAGCAACAACGATTCTATTTCTCGTGAAGATACAAAGTTTGCAATTGACTTTCATTCTGACCGTATGGAATTTTATTGGAAACAAAAGAAGGCAATGTGGGAAATACTCCAGGTCATTCGGGAAACAGTAGCTCCTTCACTTCAATACCTGATAAAAAGAAAGTATACAGCTAGAGAATGTCTAGTTGTATTGAAAAAGCATGTTTCCCAACATCATGCTCAAATTGTCAATGAAATTGATCAAGACTTGCAAAAGCTGTATAAGGGGCCGCAACATAAACCGATCACTCAATTCCTCCTTGAATACCAAGGGACTTTGCAGGAGGCGGTTTCCTATGGGCTAACGGAACATACTCGCGAGCCGCTTGCCTCCAAGATGTTTTTGAAGAGTTTACCGCGCAGATATAGCACCTTTTCCCATTGCGCACTTCTGGACCTTCTAGTGGAGGAAGTGTTAGGGAAGAAGAGAGAGGTTAACAAGGATGTATTCTTCCATATCAATCTTTTTTGGTGTTTTTTGAGAGAATTGTACCCTGGTTGCTTGTAGAATGTCGGATGATTGGATTATATTATATCAATGGTAGAAAATACCAAAGACAAACCGTTGTGTGAAGTACAGATTGACTATAGATAAAAATCTTCAATATCTAGACTCATGATGAAACATGTCAACGTGTATCATAAACGCAAGCTCTTTGTTCTCTCTTTTTGAATCTCTGCCGTATCATAATATAAGTCCAGTAAGCAGGCTGCCGACCATGCTTGAGTTGGTGACTAAATGCTGTTAATTTTCTTCTTACTGTTATTATTTAGCCTCGGGTACTCACCGAATCGGGGCAAAGCTCCCCATTCCTGTTTGTCAGTTCCGTTAGCCCTTTCCACATACTATCTCTCAATGCCCTTCGACACCCTCTAAGTCGAATTGCAATTTGTTGGTAGATATCCATCAAGAACTGGTGTGATTTATCCGTTGACAAAGCAAACTTCAGCGTTGCGCGTAAAAAGTAACCAGTTGGCCATACCCACTCAGGGCCCTGATGGTAATTTCTCCCCTTCGAAGTTGCAAAATCGTTGGAGTCCTCCGAATTGTTGTAGTACGGTCGATAGTTTGGATCGCTAGGATCAAGTGTAGCCATGCCCATCGGTCCACGGAGGACAGTATCACAGGTGGTTAGAGCGTGAAATGCTCGTCTTGAGTCAAAAAGTTCGGAAGCAGTAACCATAGCAATTGAAAAATTAGGGCGGAGCTGATAATCATCAGAGGGGTTGCCGGATTGGTAAATATCTTTGTATATGCCACGGCGGCTAATATATTTAGGATCAACGTCGAACTGGCTGTCTTCTTCAGGGGAAATAGGTACGTAATAGCACTTCTCAAAGTTTGATTTGATTTTTTCGGCCCAACTTTGGAAGGTTACTTTCCTACCAGGGCCGATATCGACGCTGTCATGAGCATATAACCCGCGCTTCCCTAGTCCAGAAACCCAACGGAGAGCACTGTATACCAATCCAGTGATTTCAACTGGTGCACCGTCTCTTGGAGTTCCTGGGTATCCTTTACTCCCAGCTTTATCACTTTCACCCATTTTGTCCATCCACGTTCCGCAGTTCCACCGGTTGCCCCCGAATATCATACCAGTGTTCCAATCGACTTTAATATCCATTTGAAAACCCTCTGAACTCATTTGCATATCAAGGTCAGGGCCAGCGTTATACTCTCGGAATGATATTCCCGAAGCATGTCTCTGAAATACTTCCTGAATCACATCTGCAATAGTAGACTTTTGGCTGTAGGCTCTCTCATCGTCAAACGGAAACCAGGTGTCATCATACGGTAAAAATCGACGTGAGACCTCTTGTTTCAAAATTTGGATGCCACCAGGAACAATGAGTGCATAATCCTGAATAGCCTGTAAAAAGAACCATATCGAGTCCCGCGAGTTGTATCTAGGAGACTTTCCCGAAGAAAGCAAATTAGGTATCATGCCATGTTTTAAAACGCTTGCAAATGCTATAATATGCTCTTTCGCGTCATTAAATCGACCGGTAACGAGAAGTAAGCCTCGAAGAGAGATAAAAACGTCACGACCCCAACACCGGGCCCAGTCTGTGGCGAAATGGGGTAGTCCGGCAGCCAGACAAGGCACATGTGTGTGGGGATAAAGGGACGCGGATTTCACAAGCCCCAGTTGTTGAATACTTACTAGAGCTAACTCGTGAATGAAGTGTTGGTCGTGCTCCAAGATAACACCTAATGCCTGAATTGCGCGCCTACAAGCAGCGTCGTATGCAGTCTTCATGATGATTGCAAAATATTTCGGTAATAAGAACGATGGAACCCGGCGAACTGCATTCATTCGATCCTCGAGCCACTTTGCTGGTTCTTCCAGCATAGTGTAGCCTTGCTGAGCTATGACTCGCCTCATTCTCCCAACGACAAAATCTAGGGCCCATGGTCCCTCTCTTAGATTATCACAGAGGGGATGGCCGAGATCATTTTTCCTGATTATGTCTTCAAGGATGCTCCACCATCCTTGAAGTCCAGCGTAGACCAAGGGGCCAAAATTTGGTATATTATAGACACCATCTTTGCCATCGCTTGAATCCCTTTCCTCAGAATCACAGCGATACAAGACAAAATTCAATCCCGCAAGATCAATAGATTGAAATGCTTCATCTGCACCACTTGTAATGAAGTCGCTTAGACTCGCTGGAAGATCAGCTTCCTGTATATATGTTTCAATCAAGGCGATGGAACCTGGTGGAAAATGTGAAGGTATATGCACGAAAGTATCATTTCCTTTTTCCTCGAGTTGCACCCCAGATAACTCTGAGACAACACTTGGCAAGCCTCTCAATATCATCTTATCTGAGGTGATTGATTTCAGGGTAGAACTTTCGTTATCTACCTCCAGCGTCCAAGTGCCCAATAACCTTGCTTTAGTGCCGCCTAAATGTACAGGAGGGAGCGTTTTATTAGCTGCCTCGCTGCTGAAAGCAGTATGTGCAACTAATAAAAAGCCTCTCCTTGTATGGGGATGGACTCTGTGAATTGTAATGTACTCTCCTTCATGATGAATATATGTTTCATCATATTCATCAATCGCCATTTCAGTATGGAGTTTGTTCAAGACCTTCTTGACAGCACCGATACCTCCATGGCCAGTGACACCTTGTATCTCACTATCTGAAAACACAGATTTATATAAACGTTTCTCGGAAACAATATTGATATGCTCCGGGTATATCTCGTCGTAACCCATAACACTACCGATTGCAGAAGCACACATTGCTACTAATGCTGCATTAGGAAGTGTATCCCTTGGGTCCCGTTTTTGTGTCGGCATTTCATTATCATGCGTACAATCCATAAAGAGAGCATGTACGGTACTCGGTCGAATATGACGGTTAGAAAAATTATCGTCCTTCTGAGACCAAGTTGATAACAAACTTGAGTCAAAGCTTCCAATAGGGCGGCCACCATGACGATGGACCAGCCTACTGAGCTCAGCAGTGCTCCATGCTTGCATTGCTTCTCTAATCAGGGCTGTTAAGCCAAGCCGTTTTGTAAAAAGATAGTCCATTTCCTCGGATCCTGTAAATAATTCTGCATAAACCATCAGATTTGGACGAATTCGTCGAGCCTCATGTAGTAAATATTCAGCCACTGGTAGAGGAGTAGAGTGACAGTTATCGATCCGAAATCCTGCAAAATGTGTTGCCATTAATGTCGTATACTTTTTCATATAGTCCCATAGAAAAGGGTTATCCTCTGGGGATTTTCCGTAGCGCAATTTGACACAGTCCCCCCATACAATAACTTCACGTTTTAAATATGACCGAGAATTCGGCCCAGCGTTATCTATTAATGCATCTGCGTTCCAAACCCATCCATTGTTCACCAATGCAAGTGCTTTCGGGTTGTGATGGGCAGTGTTATCGTTTAAGGGAAGGCGTGTGAAGTATGTTTCAATTAGAGGGTTTTGAGGTGTGACAGGACCCAATCTAGGACCATGTTCGTCTAGACGGAGGTATTTCGTCCTGTTGAATAACTGGTTGCATATATCCGACACATCTCTATCGAACTCTTCAAACAGCGGTAAATTGAGGACGTCCAAAATTTTGGAAATATTACCTTTAATTTCTTCAATGTCCCCCATGGTACCATATCTACCATATAACGCAGTGAGAAGTGAAGCACCGATTTTGGGGTTTATCTTTCTATCGTATCTCCCTATAATTTGACCGCCGTTTTCAAGTGCTTTATCCCGTAAAAAGGCGGCTTGCGTTTCACATGTCCATTCACGGATCTGACTTAATCCCCCTACCCCAACTTCCCCAAAGCCGCCTTTTGGATACTCAACTTGTCCACTTTTCCAAGCATCAACAATGGCTTTTGAATCCCGCTTCACGTCAAGAACATAGAATTCCCAGAGTTTAATCTTTTCTATCACATGGGGTTTAATCTGTTTAATGACGGACTGTAAGTCTTCGGTACTATTAAACACGGTGGGCAGACCAATCGATTCGAGGTCATTCCCGAAACCTAGCAGCGCATCATCTAGGTCGAATGCAGCTTCCAACCAAGGGGCAGTTGCTGTACTATAACCTGCTTCAGGATGCTCCTGCAGCCATTGGCTATTGTGGGCGGTGTGATTCCACACAACGTCGGTCAATGCAAGGAGACCGTAATCCTTTTCCATTTTCTCAACCATATCGGTAATATCTTTCTCTCCATTCGGAAACGTGCTCGGATCAAATTCCAGCTGATTGAATATACTGTATGGAGAATCAGAGCTGCCCCTCTTCATCAAAGGCGTGAAATGGACGACGTTATATCCGCGACGGCCAATTCCCTCAAGATGTTTAACCCAATCCGTTGGATACTGTCCCATGAATTTTGAGATGACAGAAAATATAGATAACGAGTCGACCGGCATATGCTTGCCATTAAGCCTGATATCGGGGCACACGTCAATATAATAGGTATCGGTTCTGATTTGAAAGCTCGGCGAGGGGGAATTGGAATCCGACAACTGAGGTAAAGAGCTATAGGTGATGTAAAAGGAAAAAGCTCCAGCACATGTAATTGGAATATTGATCTTAAGTTCTCGATTGAATTCCGGTGCCAACCCGTTGTCAATTATCAGCCTACAGCCGCGACAATCTGGGATATAGGAGGATTCTTACTCGAACTCTGTAAAGGTCCCACTATCAAAAATTTGCCCGGGGGGCGGAATATTGGTCCACAAACTCCCCTTCCGACAAATCTGGCTGCTTCCTTCTACTAGGAATTGAAGCAGATAGGGTGGGTCGCTTGGGGGAGGAAGAAAGATATAACCCCCGGGAACGGCCGGAGCGCCATCGTCATTTAATGGGAGCAAGTAGACCTGGGTAGCCATTGTGACTGCAATAGGAGGTGTGGAATTGATGCTAAACACCAGAACCCTGGCGTTGACGGTGTTGCTGGCAACTACGAAGTGCTCCGTAAACACATGATGGTTCATAAGGTGCCCGGGCCAAGGGCTAGTCAACATGACGTCATCATGCCCCTGCCTTGTTTGCCCTGTTTGACAGCGGGTGGGTGGGAAACACGTGAAATTCTTCTAGGCTGTCTATCAAAGGATATGCAAAACTACTCTCTGCTCCAACGCGCACAAAAGAAAAACTCCGTAGAGTCCTAGACCAGGTCTTTGCTTCGCCTTAAAATCAAATCACCCGTGTAGTATTTAATTATAAGTTTGCCATAAAATTGAAGAGAAGATAAACCGCATACGGAATCGAAGCGTTGCTGCGTAGAGACTAGGGATTGAAGAAGCGCTCACTCGATAGTATAAGCGATAAGAGAGCAGGGCTGCCCAGGAATCACCATGACGCGGAAAGGTTAGAAGGCGGAAGCACCATTTATCGCTCGATCAGCGAGGGAATGTCCTCAACTTTTACGTTGCCAGTGAGAACCCCTAGATAGACGATCAGCAATTTTAGCGTGAAATTATTTGGTAGAATAATCACCATAGACGGCAGTAAAAAGAGGAAACTCATCCTCGAGTCCTTGCTTTTTCAGGAACCCATGTACTTCCCTGGCACTGAGCGTGCCTTGCAGCATTTGACCATTGAGCTCAATCTTTTCGACTTCTTCGACCGTTAAGCCGCGCTCAATGGCGATTCTTGCGCAACGATGATTACGCCCACCATTGCAACTAGTTATCAAATCTGCAACGCCACAGCTTTCCTCGGTGAAAGTTTGGGGATTGACGGTTCCCCCGAAAAATCTCTTTCCAAACTTCACCATTTCTAGCATTCCAACTCGCATAATTGCGGCCTTTGCATTATCACCCCATCCTTTTCCGTCCACAAATCCAGCGGCAAGAGCCACAATATTTTTCAGCGCACCGCCGAGAGAAACACCAGCAACATCGTCGACAACGCGGACGTGAAAGTAAGGCCGATGGAACAATGTTTTAATAAAGAGATGGTCAACAGGAGGATAGTCAGAGGGCATAGGTCTAAGTTTCACTTTCGAAAAAGTACCCGACGAGTCTTTATGCTGGAAGTGAACTGTGTCGCTGACATTGACCATAGATGAAGCGGGAGATATATTTAGGGGCGTCGGTGCCTTCGAGTCCAAATGCGGTGGGTCGTAGGCGATAGTGGTTTCTGAGTAAAGCTCTTTGGCAATTTCGCTGGCAATATTGGCACCGGACAGAGCTCCGCAATAAATGCCTAGCTCCCTGCCAATGACTTCTGAAAACAGACTGACACCCTCGTCCGTCACACTCACACCCTTAATACAGGAAATCCCCCGGGCAAACGGAAGGATGTGGCCCTTTAATTTCTGGCAGATACCCACGATAAATTGATGAGGCAAGTTGAACACCAGAATGCTCGAATCCTTTACAGAATCTTCCAAGGATGGGTTGGCGCGCAGGTTGTCTGGCAGCGTAATATTCGGAAGGTACTTGATATTCTCGTGAAAATGATTAATTACCTCCGAAAGGTTCTGACGGCCATTGCAGAAAGAGGAGGAGGAATTGTAGTGCCTGGAGGTTTGAGGAATCTCGATTTGCTCCTCAAATACCCACATGTTGACGGTCGGCTCAAACAGCTCTGGATTGGCAGCAACATTTTCAGCCACCATCTTAGAAATGGCGGAGCCCCTATACTGGTCAGTAATTGCCAGATGGTCAAGATACGAAAAATCCAGGAGCCCTACCAATTACCAGATCCAACCACAGTCACCTTGTGCTTTCTGGTGTATGGCGAAAGTCGTGTCATCGTGAAGTGTTTATTCAAGTTAAAGGTAGCAAATGAGGCAGTAAAATTGGTCGGAACGAATGGGTTGGCTGGAATAAAATGTCTTGCAAGATGACAGACAAATAGCCGAGGGGTATTAGAAATCTGCAAACGACGCATGCAAGAGAGAGAGGACGGGGAAGTTGTGCGAAGAGCTTGAGAGCAGAAAAGACAATCGCGAATGCCAAACTTAGAAGTTGGTCAGGAGGACCCTGCTGGCCAATCACCATGCCAGGACGCACCTTGACAGTGGGCGGTCTGCTTATACAAGAATCTAGAACGTGAGAGTTTACGTCATGATGACGTAATTATCGGATTTATATACACCTAAATACTGTTTGATATGTTTGTTAGGTTTCCACTCTAGAGATCCTCGGCACTTAAAAAGAGAGAAGCATGGCAGTTCTATCAAATTGAATTATTTTAATTCGTAACAACCGTGGTGGCTGGATAATAGTCAAACGGACCCGTTACTAGCCATATTGCCTGTTCGGCATCGAGCTCCTCAGGGTACACCGTAAATGCACTCTCAACTTCACTGTAGAAATCTTTGCGCCAGTCACGAAACCCAAAATAGATTTTTGTATACTCCCAATATTCCGGAAACCAGCCGCCAAATTCCCAATCAATGATACCTAAGATCTTTCCATCCGCAACTATGATGTTTGAGGGCGATAGATCAGCATGCGTGAACTTTGTAGCATAGGTGTTAGATCGATTATGCACTTGAGAAACACTTTCATCACGCGCCTTCCATGATTCTAAATCCACACCCCGCCGCACATAGTTGTGGAAGTCGGTGAGATTAAATGGCCCGAAACGTTGTCCCCCAAGACGGTGATCATACCCTGGGCCGAGTGATGGTGACCCAACCACGCCTTTCTTTGGAGGCTGTAGCTGGCGCAGCTGCGACACATATCCGGCAAGCTCCTTGACAATTTCTGACTTCTGTTTTGCTGTTAATGACCTCCAGGCATGGGCTAAATCATGTCCAGGGAGCCGCTCCAAAACAACATCCCGGTAATCACCCTTCCCGTACACTTTGTAAATTGCTGGTACAGGAATAGTTGTATTCGTCCGGACGTATTCTATTGCTTCCAGCTCTGAGAGATGGCATCGCCGCTTCAGAATGCTTCGTCGACCAATATAGAACACCTGCATCGACGACGTGTCTCCGTAGAGCTTCTTTCCAGCCCATATTCGAAGGCTCATCCACCAGGGTAGTTCTCCTGAGTCTATTATAGCAGGGTACCTTCGCAAAATACTCCGTACTGAGAGCTTGAATTGCTGCAGGTTGACGAAGTCAATTTTAACTAGTTAACTAACTAATCAAACAGTGCAAACACGGGCCGTGTCATTCTCCGGGCTCTTCAAGATGGCTTTTCCGCCGGCACCGCCATCAACAATATACGCAAGTTAAACAGCATGGTAAGCGCTCCCCTTCCGGCTTCCATTGTAGCCGTATTGACACAGTCATTGTAGGCGCCAATCCGCCCCATGCCGAAGACTTCGACTTCGGCAACAGCTACCTCTGAGACCGCCCAAGCCTCTGATTCTGTGGACTTTGGCTTTCGAACATCTAAAAAGGACAAACGCACAATTAAACACTCGGCATTCGTATCTAAAATTGAAAAGACCCGCAAAAAGCCACTCAAACGTCGTCGTCCATCCAAGAAACTTGTCGCAGACCTCAACTCCCTAGCAGACGCTTTACCTAGCGCTGGCGATGCAGAAACTGGAACAGACCAAGTAAACATCATAAAACATAAAAGCTTGAAGCATAGGCCTGGCGCCATGAAACGGAAAGAGAAACTTGACAAAGTGGAGAGGGATCGGTTTGCTATGAACATGGCGCAGATGGCAACAGGAGTCGCATCCCAAAATCAACCGACAGCAGAAGCCCCATCTGCCGACCGATGGGCTGCCCTGAGGAATTTTATTTCGCAAACTATTGACCAAAATCCGGAATTCAAAAGGTGAACTAGTATCAATGCGAGCCGATGCTATACTTCTCTATTCACATTCCCACGAGCGACGCCATAGTCCAGGGGTTGTTGGGGCCGCCCCATCATCGGATGTCCCATAACCTCCTTCAGCCTAGCATTATGCTTGTTAATCAGGTTGAGGAATGCTTTGGAGTATCGTGTATCCTCTGACGCCCAACGGGTAGTCACAATATACAGTCGCGAGAAAGGGCAATGAAGGTACAGGAGCTCCGGGGGTGAGCCGCTTTTTGGGAAGCTTTTAAATCCATTTACTTTTCAAAAATGCATAAGAAAATATGTACATTTAGGAAGAGTAGTTAAATTCTGTGTAGAAAATTTCCCCAGCACGAATTTACATATGCCAAGACTTAATGGTCTTTTTGTTCTCGCCCCGCGTCGGAGTCTGCAGGCCTCCGTGAACATACCCCCTCCCCAACAATGCCTTCTAGGGAGGACAGGCTAGAACTGCTAAAGGAGCAAATCGTTGCTACTGAGCTTCATTTGCTCCAGTTGCGACAGCAACTCACGGAGCTCGAATCACTTTCCGCCCAAGATGATATCGAGTTGACGGCCGGAGGTGACACCGATACATCTCTTGATTATACAAGAAAAGTTACAGGTCCAAGAGACGGAGAGCAATTGGATACGGAGCCACAAATATGGCCTTTACAGCAGGAAGAATATCGAAGATATGGAAGACAAATGATCGTCGATCAGATTGGGCTACAGGGTATTCAAATGCGCCTTTCTCGCTCGCATTTCAACGAGTAGAAAGGCTAAGATTCTGATCTACTATAGGACAACTTAAACTGCGTAAAGCCTCAGTTCTTATAATTGGAGCGGGGGGCCTTGGGTGCCCCGCAGCAATGTACCTTGCAGGCGCTGGAGTTGGAACGGTTGGCATCATTGACGGAGATACCGTTGAATCGTCCAACTTACATCGACAAATTCTCCATCGTACCAAAAACGTTGGCAAATACAAGGTGGATAGTGCAATTGAATATTTGAGAGAGTTAGTTATTGATCTATCCAGCGTTGTATTCCAGTGTTCTAACAGGAGTTTATTAAAATATCAGACTAAATCCACATCCCAACTACGTTCCGTACCGAACGCGCCTAACGCCGCAAGATGCCCCAAATATATTTACAAGGTATGACATAGTATTGGATTGCACGGATAATCCGGCCACTAGATATCTCATCTCAGACACGGCTGTTCTTCTAGGAAAGCCTGTGGTATCAGCATCGGCGCTTCGTACTGAAGGCCAGCTAACAATTTTAAACTACCCCCCAAAGCCTCCAGGCGATTCTTCAGGGGGGCCATGCTATCGTTGCATCTTTCCCAAGCCTCCACCTGCCGATTCTGTTGTCAGTTGTGCTGACGGAGGTATCATTGGACCCGTTGTAGGACTCATGGGCGTGATGCAAGCCTTGGAAACAATCAGAGTCCTCACTTCACCTTTTACAACGGAAACTGGGGAGCAGTCCATTGTTCCATCTCTCAATCTCTTTTCTGCATATTCCGTGCCGCCTTTCCGCAATATACGGTTGCGTAAACGCCGAGCCAACTGCAGTGTTTGCTCGGATAATTCGTCAATCGATCTTGAATCGCTTCGCAGCGGCTCGACAGATTATGTCCAATTTTGTGGAAGTGCTGATTTCGCATCACTACTCATGCCACATGAACGGGCAACGGCGACTGAATATAATACCCGCTTGACTGATGCAGCACCGAACGGTGCAGCCGAGAACCCTATCCTTGTTGACGTCCGTGAAAGGGTGCAATACGACATATGCGCTCTTCCAGGGAGTATCAATATTCCGATTTCCCAAATCTTATCTTCTTCTAATACCAGGGACGAGCAAAAATCCAAGACTGAGATGGAGTTGCCTTCGTGGCTACCACGTGCTGTTATGGATTCTTCAAAACCAATTTATGTTGTTTGTCGACTGGGGAATGACTCTCAAATCGCGGTACAAAAGTTAAAAGAATATGGTGCGGATAGAAATGGAGAAAGAATTGTAGTTGATATAAAAGGGGGCCTCAAGGCGTGGAGGACAGATATCAATCCAGATTTTCCAGACTACTGATGACGCTGGTAAAGAAAAAAAAATCGAAAACGAAAACGAAAATGACCGAATACTCCGTGCCCAGGGTGCAATTGAATACTGTCTGGTAAAAGGCGCTAGCTTCGTGGAGTAGTGATGGGTGGCTTATCTAGCCATGCCCATTCGACGTTGACTCGGCCTTGTTCAACCAAGGCCAGCTTTTCGAATACACTCAAAGAAACGTCGATATCTGTTGGCTTACAGCCAACGCCTGCAGATATTTGATCAGCAACCAGCGAGACAGTTTCGACAAGAAAGCACCTACATCTATCAACAATCGTCACATCAACGCTCCTATTACCTCTTTTTAAGCGCAGCTTTAGCCCGCAAAGAGGGTTTGAATTGGGATTTGGCCCAATACTAGCTGCGTCGTATAGATCCTTTGAGACTGCACAAACATTTTCCGAGCCCGTACTCGATATACCGCATGCGCCCAATCCCGGTTCGTAGTATGTCAAATCTCCAGAAAATGCACCGCCATTATCCAGGGGTAGAGGGGGGTTCGAGGGTCGGCTGTGTAAATATATAAATTAGAATACGATATACCGAGCTTTGGTAGTTCACTAACTGGTTAATCAAAGAAGAGTACTCACCAGCCACGCGTCAATCCCACCGACAGACCAATTATCAAAATTAAAGCAATCATAATGGCTATTCCTACACCCAAGAATATCTTCTGCTTCTTCTTGTTACCACCGAATGCCAACTTCTTTTTCAGTGAGGCAAGCGGTGTGCTATATATAGGCGCAGTTCCTCCGGGGTCCGAGGACGGAGTTGAAGCTGTTTGAGGAAGTGGCTTGCGTCGCGGGACTTCAGAAAGCTCACAGATCAATATCTTCGCGTCATTGTTCTTCAATGCGCTTATTGCTGTCGAGGCGTATCCGGCCTCCACCTCCTTGAGCTCTGGCACGGCGGGAGCCGGCGAAGGTTGAGAGGCAGGATGACCATGTGAATGCGCCATTGCGGCCGCGTAAAGGAGTGTGATCTTTTGCAAGATGATGTTCTATTCGACCAGCCTCCGGGGGTTAGAGCCGGAGTACACGCCCAAAAGAGTATAGGGAGCGAGAGCTCCGCAATCAAAGAAAACGAAAGACTAAAACGAACGAATGAGTGAAGTTGTCCAGCAACCAAGGGACGTCGACGTCAAGCATAGCGGCTAGACGGCATCAGAACGCGCCGTGATGAGGCTCAGAGGAGGTTGAGCGGCTAAAAAGTTGACATTTCATCCATCGCGTCTGGATGTAACATCAGCAGGCATTTTGCCGCGCAAAGCTTGTCGCGCCTGGCGTTTGCTGCTAGGCAATCATAGGGAGCAGGCCAAGTCATTTGGCAGCAGGGAGGAACCATGCAATGGTCCTCGGGATCCTCTAGCGTGAGAAGCACTACTGACGATGACAGGCACGTAGGCAGCTATACGGAAGATATGTCGAAACTAATCGCCCAACCTCCCCCGCCGCGACGCGATCTAGAATTTCGCCCGCCACAGTGTGGCGTCTGCCAACCTGCCAGCCCCCGCGATCGCCGCGCCCAGCCCCGTGACGCCGCCGCACCGACGTTGCCCCGTTCCGCCCTTGGCATAACTACGTCATACGCCTTTCCCGCCCACGGCGGAGCTCAATCGCTCGCTTATCGAAGTTATCGAGGACAACGACGACAAAACCGCATGCAGCGGCGAACGTTTCGTAGCCGGCCATGCCTTCCAGCGCACAGCCAAGCAAGAGGGACAGCGGGTTCTTCACGCTCTTCCGGCGGCCGTTTGAGAGGAAGAAGCGCACCTCCCATACTGAGGACCAGGATGGAAATGCTGTATGCTTACCCATGTCTTTCCCTGCCGGGGGCCTTTACCCGATCTAACCAGTCAGCAGATTCAATCCAGGCCTCAGGAATCACTGGCCACTACCCGGCATGCGGGCCATGATGTCAGGACAACGCCAAATCCCGAGGTGGTCCCAGCTGCTCTGCAGGAAGTCTATGAGGCGGCATCGGGGCATCGTATCGACCACGCGAACGGCGAGGTGCATCCGCCAAATCGCCCGTTCTCCGAGCAGGAGCTCAAGAATATCTTTTCGGGTGCACCGCATTTTATCCTGGAAAAAGGTGTCAATTCGACTTGGTATCCACATGTGCTGTTCCCATGGGACGAGAATGTTTCTGTCCAAAACCTGAGGGATAGAAAACCATTCCACCATCCGTCACATACCTTATCGACGCTCCACGCCCATCTTCCAGTTTGCCAGGGTGGGGTTACGTCCAACGACAATTCGCATGGAACCGCAGTTCTGCCAACCTTTGACTTGGGTGTCTTTGAAGTTCCTAACATGCTCTCAGCTCGAGCAAAAGAACCAGGTTGTATTGGCTTCAGGACTTATTTGGAACTTCCAATAGCACATGCTTCCAAATATACGGCTTTCACGCCTCCTGCGCCACGCCGGAGATACATATTTCCCCAGGCCCTTCCCAGCCTGAAGAATGGGCTGTACGCATTCTGCCGGACGCAAATCAGCCCTAAGCGAGCGGAGGTACTCCGGGGAGGGCCAACTGTATGGCGGAGGTTAGGGGTTCGGCCGATTCCGATAAAAACAGTCGCCTTGCGACTGGAGCGGATTGGTGAGCTCCGTCAAGATGTAATGTTTCGTTGTCAGCAAACAAACGTCATGGACCAGGAGAAAGTCGCGGAATTGAACGACCAACTGTTCTCTGACTTTTTGTATCCCTTGCCAAAAGATATGGAAAACTCCGTACCAGCGAAGCCTGGGAGCCTGAAATATCAGATCTGGGTGCTCCTTCAAGTTTTGCTTGTAAAGGGAGTATGGATAGATTTCAGTCTCGTAGAGTGGAGAATCCGTGCAGGCCAGCTGCTCTGGGCAGTCCCCCCGTACCAAGACGGAGATCTTGCCGACATTCCTAAAGAAGAGAATGAGGACATTGAACGGAGATGGTTTCTTTTTCAGCTGCTTCTTACGGCAGAGCTTGTGTTAAGATTTGATGCCGCTCTGAAGCTCGGGTTCCTCGGAAGATCAACACACTTCCTTATCACTCCCCGTGATATTAACCAATTGAATGAGTTAAGAACACCCCAAATCGATTGGGGAATTATCTGCGCTCATCGAGCGATAGACCACCTCAGATTTAAGCATGATGCGCCAAAGCTGGTGGTCGGGGAGCCACGGGACGATGACGAACATAAAGGCCCCCGTATCCCACAAAGATTCTTGCCCAAAATGTACAAAGGCGGAATTAGGCCGGATTCAGCGTTGCGCTGTCGGGTTCTCCCCCGCGAGCCAACGGAACAGATGGAAGGGCTACTTGTGTTCGCAAAGGCATTGCAGTGGCCGCAGGTCGAGCTGCTGGAACAGAATTTGAGGGCCAAACTCGCAGTGGCTCTCTCCGACGAGGAGGAAATGAGCTGGTCGTTTGATAACTCCGTAAGGACCACGTCGATTTTGTTCGCGCCGAAGCCCTGCCAGCCCGAAGACATGTATATAAAAAGCACAACATCACGCTTTCTCCACCTGCAAGTGCCCCCGGACGGCGTGGACTACAACGCGCATTACCTTGGGGGCTGGGCGGCGCGATCGTGGTTGACGGGGTTTGTGGTGCCGGGCGAGTCAGCGTACCATCTGCTGATGGCGGCGCTTCTCGAGAACGACCCACTGGCGCTGAGGAGGCTGGGCCCTGTGGCAGACGTATACGGGGGGTTTGTGTACGCAGGCAGAAGCTGGTGGAGTAAATTCTCGATCATAGGGCGCGTTTTGAGCACATTTTCGGCGCACGCGATCAGCATGGGCTGGCTCAGTAGTAAAGTGTTGCCCCGGGACGATGATGGCCTCGAGATCCTGAACTGCTGGATCCAAGTGGACGCGCGCGACGACCACGCGCCTCCGGGGGAGGCGCGGATCCAGCAGGGCAGCAAAATCCTGCTCGAGTCGTCTCCGCTGGGGGCAGAAGGCGAGCTCACACCGGGGGCGTTCTCGCTGCCGCTGGACACGCCGGGCAGCGATTCGCAGGGCATGAAGGTGGTCCTCAAACGGCTCACACTCTCCAGACGGCCGGGCGACGAGCCTGAGGATGACAACAAGCCGCTGAAGCGGGCGGGCCTGCTGAGCTTCACGACGCAGAGCGGCCAGCTCTCACCACGGTTGGTGCACATGCCGCTGACGTTCAACGTGCAGTTTATCTCGTCGTACACCTGCCTGCCACCGCCGGGCTACGCGGCGCAGGCCGGCAGCACGCACGCTCTGGGGGCACGGTATCGCGCGCACACGCCGCTGGAGCTGGGCGACGAGTACAACCGCGACGGCGACCTGGGCGAGACGGCGCTGCTGGCGCGCAAAGTGCAGCCAGGCGGGCCGCCGCGGCTGCCGGCGCACCCGCTGCACACGGCGTCGTACCCGTACAGCTTCATCCCGGTGACATGGCTAGCGAAGATGGCGATGCTGCACGAGATGCGGCGACAGGCGACGTTCATGGCGGCGCCCGAGGACTTCCTGGCGTTTGCGGACCCGCAGCGGCGGCGACGGTCGGCGGGCGTGGGCGCAGGCGCAGGCGCAGGCGCAGGTGCAGGGCGGGCAGAGACATATATCGTGGACGCGCGCGGCAGCCTGGCCAAGGAGGCGTACGCGCGGGCATGGTGCGCGACGGTAGGCACCGACGCGATGGTGGCGCGGGCGGGCCGGACGTGTCTGGCGTGTGCGATCCGCGAAGCCCGGGCGGCGGGCGTGCCGCTGGTGCTGCGTGTGGGCGAGCTGGCAGCAGTGGCAGAGTAGTTAGTTGGTAGGAGATGCAGTGGCAACGCCGGGCGTCGAAGGAAGACGCAGGCAGGCAGCTAGGTCGTTAACGGCAGTTAGTTAGCTCTTAGTTAGCAGTAATAGGATGTAATGTGGTAGTTAACTAACCCCGCCTCGCCCTCCCCCGCATCCGCCCGCTGCCTGTTCCTGCACGCCAGCCAGCCAGCCAGCCAGCCAGCCAGCTAACCAACCAACCAACCCTCCTCCCACCCACCCAGCTACCGACACCCGCCGTGATTGCAATCCTGTCCACACCATGTCCCAGCACAGCCAGGCCTGTTGCTCGTGAGTCTCTTCGTGTCCCACGCCCCACACTCCGCCGCTGACCCCAGATCGTCGCCATAGCATCCCACCCGTCGTCTCGACCGGCTACGCCCCCAAGGGACGCTACCTCTCCCTCAACGGCATGAAGACCTGTAACTACGCCCCCGTCTCCGTGATCGGCTGCGATGGAGCCCGGCTTCGTGTGCTGACTCGCCTCCCTAGATGTCACCGGGCCTGAATCCGCCCAGCACGCCATCCTGGTGGTCTACGGTCTGTCTCTCTGGTCCACTCACTAGCTACCCGCTGCCGCGCGAGACTCGTCAGCTAACGTCAACCATCGTCAAACGGCCACCAGACATCTTTGGCTTCTTCCCCCAGACCCTCCAGGGCGCCGATATCGTCGCTCACGCCGACCCCGACCGAGAATACCGCGTGTTCATGCCGGATTTCTTCGACGGTGCCCCCGCCGACATCTCCTGGTATCCGCCCCAGACCGACGACCAGAAGCAGAAGCTCGGCCACTTCTTCGAGACCAAGGCCCCGCCGCCCAACACCCTCGCGCGCATCGCCGGTGTCGTCGCTGAGGCCAACGCGCTTGCCGCCGGCGGCTCAGGGTTCAAGGCATGGGGCATGATGGGCTATTGCTGGGGTGGCAAGATCACCTCGCTGGCTGCCGCGAAAGACTCTCTCTTCAAGGCCGCCGTCCAGTGCCATCCGGCCATGGTCGACCCCAAGGACGCTGAGGACGTGACTATTCCCATGGCTCTCCTGGCATCCATGGATGAGGACGCAGAGGTCATTGACCAGTACAAGAAGAATCTCAAGGTGCCCCACCACGTCCAGACGTGGTCGACGCAGATTCATGGGTGGATGGCCGCACGGGGGGATCTCGCTGACCCAGACGTGAAGAAAGAGTACGAAAACGGGTACAGGACAGTTCTGGCCTTTTTCCATGACCATATGTAAGCAAGCCGGACTGCCTCGTCATCTTCGAATAATGAAACAGCGGCGCTATTCCAGATATGGCGGTGTATCATACATGGGCTGCACATATATATACTGAACATTCATTATTTCTGTTACTCTTTTTTCTTCATCATAGCTCTACAGGTGCCTTATCTAGCTAACTGCCCCCACTGTCATGCCTCTTGGCCCCCATCTTCCCCCTTTCCCTGCCCCTTGAAAACGTCGCACGAGCCCCCCCCCCCCCCCCCCCCCCCCCCCCCCCCCCCCCCCTTCCCCAAGCACTGGCAACAGACCACTAACCAAGGAAAATGGTTGACCTTCTAGGCCCGGTGTGACTCCGAAAATCTGATTTTTCCTTGTCGGCCTTCGCATATTCTCCTGCACTTCTCCGAGATGACTTGCCAAGGGACGGCAGGCAGGGGGGGGGGGGGCCAACACCACGTGCGTGTGGAAGGAGGCGGCTGAAGCTTCGTGGTCTTGGGCAATTTGCATTCGCACTGGGCTGCGATGCAGGTTGTCTGGACGCCTACCCAACCGCGCTACGTTGGGCGGCGACATGGCGGAGCAACAGACGACTACGTCGGGACAAAAAAAAAAAGGGACTGGGGTTTGAAACTCTGTCATATAAGTTAGGAGAGTGGAGCGCTGGGTCAGGCGAAACTCGCATCCATGCCTAGTCGATGCAGGAACCTGGCGCTTGCAGTTCTAGGAATCGCTTTCGCTTCTTTTTTTTTTATTTTTTTTTCCTTCATACGGAGTAAGATAGTGGAGCAGTTCCGAGCGCTGTAGAAGGGGCGTGGACGGCTCTCGCTCCCGCCATGCCGTCATTATTCCGTGCTGTTTCAAGACAAGAGACGAGGTTGGACATCGGAGGCGAGAAGAGAACAGATGCAAAAGTCGTAAGAAAGTATTGTTGTCTAGGAATAATCGCACGCTCTCTTGTAGTTTGGTCATGGTATCATATCTGCACGGCGAGCTACAAATAATCACGCCAGCAACACACTAGAAGTCATCCTTGGCCAAGGTACCCGAACTAGCATCAGCTTGCTTCTGTTCGACTTATTAGGGCAAACAGTGTCGGTACATCCACACACACATACACACCAAAAGCCAAAAGCCAACAACACGCACACACCGGGTGGGAACAGAGGAGAAAGGGGGCTCAGAGCACAAGAAGGGGTGACGTTACCATAACCCCAAAACATTATATTGGGTCGGGGGTGGCACTGCTCAGCGAAATATGAGGCAAAGCGACGGCGCAGAGCTACCAAACCAAGAATAATAGTAATAATGCGAAAGTCAAGAAACAATGTCCCAAGAAAAAAAAAAAAAAAAGGTAGAAAAGCCCAGGAGTTCCCCCCTCCCACAAATGACCAATTTCAACCCGCATGCGCCAGCCTCAGCAATAATATAATAGTAGTAGTAATATAATAATAAAAAATATTCTCGCAGAGAATAGTGGAAAGCCAATCATTATTCTCGAGAACATCAATCATAAATCAAACCCATATAGCCGAGGAAAACAATGCGTACAACACACACAGACACACACACATGATGGGTATATACTCCGCAAGGACGCGGACAGCTGTAGCGACAGAAAAGGAAACGAAGGAGACTTCAAGAGGCAAGCTGTGAGTTGTATTGTGCCGGAGGGGATATTAGATGCCGAAAAACTGGAAAAGCATATAGAAAAAACCGAACAGATGGAGCCCGCACAAAATAAACTGGGATCCCCTTTTTTTTATCTACGCCCTGCTAATGGGGATAAAACCAACACCGAAATGGAAATCTTTAATGCACCGTCGATAAGTGACCCTCAACTCAAAAAAGAGGTAAATGTAGTAGGGAAGATTTCCGAGAGAGAACGTCACGCTCTAAGCGTGCGGAGAATCAGGCTCGCTCCCCTTTTCGCGACTTTCTTTTGGGGCCGGAGGGTGTTTTGCATCGTAAGGAACTTGAGCCGTCGGCGATCAGAAAGGGAAAGCGATGGATAGGTAGAAATTGCGACTATGGGTTTTGCATCGGATGCGGAGTGCCAGAGTCGAACGGGTGGAGAGGAGTCGTCACGATTGGGGCTTCTTGTTTCATGTGCGCGTACTGGGCCGGGTCTCCTGCGTACCATCCCGCCATCGAGTCTGGAAGCCCGGGGATTACTGTCTGGCCTGTGGACATATCGGGTCCACTCATGGCGCTCCAGGTATGGTACGCGAGAGGCTGATGCTGGCCGTCGAACGAGACTGGTATAGCGGAATGTGGGAGCCCGGATACGGGCGATATTATGGGGAGCGAGTAAGCTCTGTTACTGGGGTTGATTTGGGGTTTGTATTCCGACGAAAGCGGAGCGTGTATCGAGCCGGCGTACCCTGAGGATGTACTTTCGGGACTCGACATGGGCATCGTCGCGCTGGACTGCAAGCTCCAGGGCGGGTTATCCGGCATCATGTTAAACGCGTTGTTCCCCGCGAGCCCAGACGACACAAGCCCGGCCGGATTCGCAGGCGCGCCGATCGTAGAAAGAGGAGCCATAGGAGCACTCAACGGTATTCCGCGATCCCACATAGCTCCCGCGCCCGCAGGACTCGATTGGACTGTAGGAGGAACTACAGGAGGTTGTTGATCATACAGCGAGGCACCCCAGGTTGCTGGCTGGGCCATCGGTTGCATTGGATTAAGGCCGTGAGATACAGTCATATCTAATGGGATAACAGTCGAGTTAGTTGCGTATTAACATCATGATGGCATGTCTTGCGGAACACACCTGGCGAGTACGGAGACATGGTCACTGCTCCATACGCCCCAGAATTGAATGCTACCAGCTCCGGCGCGGCGTTGACTGGTATTCCCGGATAAGGAAAATAAGACTCTTTCTGTTCAACGATCGGCCCGCTCCCGAGTAGGGTAGGGGTGGTGACCATGGACGCGTCCGAAGCTGAGGCATCTGCTCTGGAACCAGCGCGACCCCTCTTCTCCATCGGAGGTTGTTGGTCTACGGGGTAAAAGTGGCATTCTTTTTTCAGCCGGATGCAATTTTCACAGCGACCCTGGGGATCTTCAGGCGCAAGAAGACACCGGATCTTTCTTCGTCTGCAATGAACTGTGGTACAACCGAGTTAGCAAGATCCCGTAGGACGAACTACCATCGCCAGTTTCATCTCAGCCTGGTTCGCCAGGTAAGGAGTAAACTTACCGCACGCGACGGAAGTTCTATGGTATCCGAGTTTGTTTCGTTTCTTGTCAGCACCACCGCCCGCTGAGGCCTCCATAACCGAGCTCTGAGACGATTCCTGGGATAGACGGTCGGCCTCCATGCATAGTTTCCTCTAGGCGGGCAACGCACTCCGACAGACAAGAAAGGCGGTAGTAGTTCTGATGGATCACTGAGACAGAGGGGACGTGAACGGGCGACTCTCGACGTGTTGCGGCTCCCATGCGATATGGAGGGGATCTTGTGCTGATGTTATCAGGGTCCAATGCCATGCCCGAGATGACCTAAGGTTGGAGTTCTCCACGCCACAAGCAACCCACCCCCAAGATCTATGGACGATTAAGCATGAGGAGACAGGTGAAAAAGGATCACCTAGAATGCTGGAATGAGTTATGCGTCCTGGGGAGTGTCTGGGGGGGGGCCCTTTTGAATAATATGGAGAACCACGAATAGGCGCCACAAGGTGGATTATAACCCAGAGCCCAGGATGAAACTGAGGAGCACTGGAAGCCAAATACGAAGTCCACCCAAGCGAATTGCTTGTGAGAAATGAGGGGAGATGGATTTAAAAAAATAAAGGTAGGGACCAAGCGAAAAGTATGAAAGTATGGGAGGGACCCCCCGGTCCGCAATTTAGAAACGAAAAGACAAAAAAATAAAAAATAAAATAGACCAAGCTAGCCGTGGGGTGAAACGCCCAAGACTTTTTGCTTGCTCCTGCGAGGTGTGCGTAACCAAAGCTCCCACAGATATTATTAGGTGCAAGGCTAAATGGGCCATCGGACAGGTGGTTTGACCAGCGAACCCATCATCACCGACGCGCCCGCAAATCACCCAGGACGAGAGGCAGAAATTAGACTATAGCGGGCTTCGATTTAGGTGCGAGCGGACCACTCTCCACCCACGGCCGCAGCGCCACGAAGGAGGAAAAGAAATTAAAGCCCATCAACGCCCCCGTCATTGGGCGCCGCCCCAATCACGCCGTGCTTTGGAGCAGTGATCAAACGCAGTCGGAGTTCCAGGCCACCAGCGTGCCTGAGAGCTTTATTCTGCTGCTGCCCGGCGGGCGATGATCCTAAAAGCCACGTCGAGTGTCGGCTGAAGAGGACGGATAAGCCTTGGGGGTGGGTGGTGCTGGTGGTGGTGTGGAAAGGGGGCGTGCCCGTCTTCCGGCCACCGAGACTAGCTAGCTCGCTGCAGGAGGCAGGTTAGTTACGCTGTGCCTACGCACCAATCTCGTGGATGTATATGGCTGCGCCGGAGGGCGATTTCGGTTGGGAGAGGGCCAACGCCTGGCGGAAAGGGCCCGGCTGGCGGCTAGTGGCCGCTGGTGTGTGGTATAATGAGGCATAATAGACGAGCGTTCGTCATCAGCCAACAAGCTTCGGGGCCGTCCATGGTTCGAGGAGCACTGGAGGCCGCAATGGCAGGAGATCATTTTATGAGGTCGACAGAGCGTTCAAGGATGCGAGAAGACCCCTGGGGCACTCGAAGGCAGCTAAGATTAAGCCTGGCGGAGCGCCCGCCAGCTTCTGCGCGCTGCAGCGGGGAGTCGTGTTGCCAGCTCGTACCGGCGGGCAGGGCCACACGCCAGGCTCTCAGACGGAGCCGAACTGGACGCGCAGCAGCAGCAGTGGGAGTCGCAGCAGCGCGCGCGCTGGGTGGAGTACGCCAGACTGTTCATGAAACGTTTTGCATTTGGCCGGTGGCTTGGGAAGGTTTGTGGTGCTGACTGAGCGGTGCGCTTGGGCGGGGCGGCGTACCGGCCGTACGCGGTTTTTCGCGCTGTGCGCCGCGGCCGCGCGGGGCAGGCCGCCGGCGAGCGGTACCGCGGCTGTATCACGGCGCGCCACGTCTGCTGACTCAGCCACGGCCTGCCCGCACCGCGCGGCCAGCCAGCGCGCGCCGCGACGACCAGGCCAGCACCACCACCGCCAACGCCAACGCCGCCAGCAGACAACAGGCACCTCACGGCCTGCGCGCGCGCGCGCGGCAAGGGCGTGCCACCGTCCGGATGGCCCCCCCGTCCTCTGCACTCCCTGCACCGCCAATCACCGCCCCAGCCAGCCGCCAGCCTCGCGAGCCGCGTCCAAGCCAGCGCTTATTCTGCTGCACACGCGTGAGACGTGCTACACCCCCTTCCTGCTTGCCTCTGCGCATGGCTCCTGTCCAGCAATGGCTACTCGATTATTGCAAACGAGGCCGGTAGACCTCGGTGCCCGCCAGCGACCGCCCCATCGAGAGTCTTGCGCACGCCTCACACAACGCCAGGGCGGCGGCCCCTCTACCCCACGGGCCCCTTGGTCATGAAAGCCCGCACGCTGGTCTGCCCGGTTCAAACGCCAGGACTCGTCCGCCGCGCTGTTTCTGACGGCGGGCAGTGGATGGAATAGAGAGAATTGATACAGGACCCCTTTGGTTCCAAACAAGCCACTGGCGTGCCAAGTGGTTGGAAGCCAAATATTCATTTGTCAATGCGTCGTAGATGGGTCTGCCAGTTGGACTGGCCCAGCAAGAGAGGACGACTACTACTACTACTCCTAGCTGTATGAGACACACAGGCACATTAGCACGGCTGCTGGCGCGGAGATGGCGCTGGTCGTTTGTTTGCCTGGCTGTCTGTCTCGCCGGGACCCGTGCGTAGGAGGCGTGCGCTGCCATGGCTCGGGCCACCTCACACCGGACAGGCACCAAGTTAGCTAACTAGGTCTGCCAGCCAGCAATAATCGGCATCGCGCGCCGCTCTCAGCGCGCGCCAGAGGCAGGCAGGCAGTGCGGTCAACGCCAAGGGCGTTCGATCAGCGCTAGCAGGCTGAGACGATACGGCCTCCAGGGCCTCCCATGTCCGACCGCGGGCCTCTCCACTCCCGCACCACCAAACACGCACCTGCGAGAGGCTGCGGTGGCCCCTCCAGTAGTCGGCTAGCAAAGTTACGCTGCGCTAATATCAGAAGACGAAAATGGCGCACAGAAAAAGTGCCTTATGGCCAACCTCGCGCCCGCCGCCGGTCCGCTGAGTCAGCACGCCTGACGCCGCGCTTTGGCCATCCGTGAAATTATTAAGGATCGCCAGAGCCTCCACCGTGTCGCCGAGCTGGGCCACCGCGAATTACGCTTTCGCGCCGCCCAACGCCGAGATCGTCTTAAATTATCCGGCAGATGACAGGCATATGTTTCATCGCAGCGACTCGCACTCGGAGGCCAGCCCAGTTTTGCCCGGCTCGCGTCTGCGGCCAGCATCTCTCTGGCCTACCCGCTAACTCACTGCCAGTGCATACGCACTGCCAGTCGCCAGCACGCAGATGTTCGGATGGCCAACTCCCTCGCCAACTATCTAACTACGTGGTATGTTCATTATTCCACTCCTACACGGATATACTCCGTACAGAAATAGAAATGACCACGACCAGGGCCCCGTCACCCATGCCATGGAAATGGTGAGGGGACAAGCATGCTCCATCGACACTCCCCCCGGGACCACAGGCGATTCGACATGTGCATGGGGTGGGAGGGGAATTTGCATATTATTAAGGATATACGAAGAATGCTTGTGCTGCTCCTACCCAAGGACAGCGCATTCATTGCCTGCATTCAGTATCTCCACTTCTTGTGGAATCACTACTAGCCCGCAATTTTTGCTTTCCCCCACACTCCACTAAGCTGGCAGCCCAGAAGTCGGACGTTAAAAACCCATGTGGCATTTTGCTTCCAGAGGGCTCCAATTTGCGAACTAATCGAACCCAAAATCCTGAGAGACAACCAAGAAAAATAATCGCCGACTCAATTCGCCGGTGGGATCACTTCGGAAGCCGTTAGCATGGCTTTTCACCCTACACACTGTGGGGAACCCAAAAGAAGGATCATGAACGATCGCCGACTCGTCTCGGGACTCCTGGTCAGTCGCTCTGCTCGCTCCCGTCTCGGTGTCAATGGCGACATCGCTTAGCCTTATCTTCGGCTGTGCTATAACAAGGGACAAGCCTTGTTGCAACTCTTGAACAACGAGGGCAAGCTGACGACTGGCTGTCGTTGATTCTCTGTCTTCGTACTTTTTTGCAACCAAACGACGCAAACATCGCCCCTCTAGGTGCCGAAGGCAACTTCGACTCCAAGCGAGCGATGCCTTTTCCAACCCCATCCCCAACCACCACACGACCATCCCCCATTATTTGTCTATCTGCTACACTTGAAAAAAGTGGAATCTACCCACCCTGAATGATGGGAATCCGCTTTCATTGGTGCGTAGGCAGACAAATGCCATGACCTTGAAGAAGCACCTCGGAGTACTCCGTACTCCGTAGTCATGCCAACACCATAGTTCCTCACGCCAAAGGTCGACCCACACGACCAAGAGCTCTTGAATACCTCGATTCGGAACGCGCGAATTGCTGAAACCGCAGCGGTCGACTTGCTAGACTGGGGTGCATATTCTTGTCTTTGATTCTTGCTAATAGTTCGACAACAGGGCTCCACGCTCCTTCGCATCATAGACGCCCACGCTCTTGACTACTAGAGAACCGTTAGCATCCCAGGTGGAAATGAAGGAGACTTACCTGATGTAGTTTATACAACCATAGTTTGTCGGATTCTTCGTTCTTCTAGCGTAGTATCGCATTTGAGTTCGTGCCTCGATTCATTCGCCAAATTCCAGCTGGAAAAACAGGATCTTTCTATCTCTTCGGCGTTTGTCGTCATGACGAACCTCAACTCAAGGAACTGGAGGGAGTGTCGCCGACGTCAAAACCCCGTCCTGCAATCTGACTTGATCTAGTCTCATGTCCACCGAATAGTGTAAGGGGGCACACTTTTTAGCATCGAGACAGATCACAACTGTTGTTATCCACAGCCCAGGCGGCGTTTCCAGACAGATTCTTGCAAGAATGCGCGATTATCCAGAAGCGATGTTGGTTGGCCCTTCGGATCGCCACGCTCTTCCTTGTAGGAATGTCATGGGTCTATCCAGGCACGAACGGAGAGGCCAGCAATAGCGCTGTACCTGCATTCGACGTTACATGGCATGTTTTTTGTCCCTTTTGTGATTGTCCCCTCACCAGCCATCATTTTCATTACGCATTCTACAGCTTACGGGGCCGAAGACAGCTGCAGATAACACATCCACGGCCAGGGGCCAATTACCTTCCTCATTAGAAAGCCAAGGGGTACTTTGCAGTACATCTGCAGCCCCCAAAGTCGGACAACTTTTCAATCAATCCCTCCTGGAGCATACTCGACAATTGCTTGGCGATCGAGGCTCTCCCTGATGGTTCACTAGCGACCGACCCTTGAAAAACTTCTGGAAGGATTATTATTGTGTGTTTGCATCTCGGATTCGGATTTATAATCGTCTCCGACCCCCTGAGCCTTGTCACTTTTGGCTTGGGGCGTCAGCTCTTGGCTACCCTGGCGTGAATGTTTATTTCCATGCGACCCCGACACCGGAACAAAAGATAATAATAATAATAATAATAATACGGAGTACCCATAATAATAATGTGGCAGTGAAGCTACCAAAGTCTCTCACCGTCTGTTGATTTGAGCTTTCATAATTCTCGATCGCCGCGGCTTTTTTTCGAGTCAGTTGTGGGAAGACTTAATATCCAGGAGGCTCGCAATTCCCGAATGCCGAAACATGCCGTGCTCTGCAGCGCTGTATGCGTGTCAAAATATGTGCTGTTCATGCATCCAAGCTCCTACTAGTAGCGTTCACCCTTGCTGTTGATGCTTCCAGAAACCGGAAGACGGTGATCACCCATGGGTACTCCGTACTCCATGTACTATTTTATGTATGGATTCACCGTATAGATACCTTGAACTGCGCGTCAAGCCCCTCGTTCTACACAATTGTACCCTTGCGCCCATGTATCGATGTTGGGATGCAACAACAAAGTGACCCCCGAGCAGGAGGGAGTAAAGCGTTGGTTCTCACGCGGTCAATAACGTGCGAAATCTACCTAACACCCCAAATCCTTTCACGTGCTAGGTCAATGCACAAGACGTGTCAAAATAACAGTGAGGCATTCTTCATGTTCCATTTAGAGCGCGCCCTTGATTTACAGATGCTTGTGCTGACTTCTGTTGGAAGCTGCAGGATCCAAAGTTCATTTAGACGCACGCGTTCCGAGTCCAAGCCCTGAAGGAAGTGCATTGCGTGTTCTGCTCAAGAAATACAAATACAAAAACTATTACTAACTACAAAAGGTTATCCCATTCGATAAGTAATACAATCTTCACTTAGGAATTCACCCAGAACCCGAGGCACGATGTCGCTTCCTTCGAGCAAGCCTCCACTCATAAGTCGTTCATTATTAAGTCCTCAAATACGTCGTCAAAGTCTTCTTCCCATCATTAGGTATAGGTGAGGTAGTATTCTCCCCCCGAAATATGATCGATAAACCAGAAATCACTTCCCGAGCCATTACCGACGTGCACGTTACTGAGAGAGCTTCAGATTAGCAACGTCCCTTGACAATGCATCCCAGTCGTTTTTTGAAAGAGTCCTTCCAGGATGCTCGTACTGTGCGAGAAGCTGATCACAGATCGTCTTCTTTTCATACCAATCGCCGCGTAAATCGGCGAAAAGAGTGGAAATTGAAGTGTTATCGGCACAATCTTGACAAAGGCCGAGCGATCTTGCAATTTCACCGACCGGGCTGGGTTTGATGACATGACACCCCCTACAATATAGCTTTTCACCTCCCTGGAAGCCCAAGAATGTCCCTGGTTTCCATCTGTTATGCCGAATCGCGCACTCAGTACAAAACCTCTTCCAAGCGTTAGTGTGACCCCATGTCCGCCGTCTCGTCACCTGTGTGTCGGCAAACTCCTCTGTTGGTAGAAGCCGCAGACAGGTGTAACATGTTAGATAGAGGCGCTCGGGCGGATTGGCTGGGATAGTGCCAAATGCTTCACATTTCAGCCTTCTCATGTGCTCCCGCAATGCCTCCTCGACTTCTTTCCAGTAAATTATTTTGACATACGCAGCTTTGGAGCGCCGCAGCTCCGTTTCAGAAACGAGGTAGCGAAAGTAAGTGTTTGTGGCGCGGAGCATCTGGAGATCGCGGTAGTTTAGGTAGGACAAAAGATAGACGTGGAGATCTATGGGAAGCCGCATAAAGGAGAGAGGAGGTCGAGCAGCGACCTCTGCATTTGTGTTTGGTCCAATCTGCATGGCATTGGCCTATATGCATACGTGCAACGTTAAACAGAGCTATTGAATACTAACAAGCCGAACTGTTAATCAGAATCTCACTGATGCTTCTTTCAGCTCGAGCTCGATGAACAATAAGCAGTGACGTCATCGAGGAAGAGCGAGAACGCCATCGAAAAAGTCAAACGAACCTATTTATCTAATAGCAAGTAAAGAGCGGCCGTTGTCTAACTCTGGCTTGCTGAATCGATCAATGTCTCGGATGAATCCGGGGATCAGGGGGGTATGTAGAGCAAACATCCAAGGTATGCGAGCTGCCGACCAAGTCCAGATATTTTGCATCTCTCATATCTTCCTGGAAATGATGTGTAAGCACATGTTGACGATGATGACTATCACTGTGTGCTATATTTGCAGTACAAGAAATTCCAAATCTCTCTGTAGCACACCACTATCCCTGACTCGCCGGGTAGGTTTCCTCCACCTGGAGGGCTCATATTCTAGGCTATTTTGAAGGAGCCATTGGTCCTGCTTATGGAATATGCACCTACCTATTTATCGCAGAGGCTTTGGGTTCAAGCCTTTCTCCTGCCATGCTAATTGAATCGAATAAGACCCTTTCCCGGAAAATGATCCCTGGTGTCTCCAGTATCTCTCTATTTACTAGTCCGTTAGACATAGCGTGTTTGCGTTGTTATGGGCAAACAATGTGCTTGGAAGCATGGCTACCAATATGCCAGGTACCAAACCAGGGACATTTGATATCTTTGTATCTCCGTTGCATGTCAAGTTTCGGCGGTTTGCGCCTCATAATCTTAGTCCGCTACCGCAAATTATCTCGCAAGCTTACCCGATGTCAAAGCACCCGTGCAGCTGTTAGAGAGCAGAAACTGAATATCTTCTCATTCTAGTCAGACTAAAAGTCATTGGCCCTCGGGATATTGTATGTACACACATACATACTTTGCCCACAGTAGTGAGAAGTATCGATTGGATATTGCCGTTTTGTAAGCAGCTTTGCCTGTCGCTGGATTTAAAAGGAACACAACCATATTAAGGAAGTTTAACAGAGTTCAGTATTATTTTTCCATTTTGGAGAATATTTGGGTATGCGCAAGCTAAACATCGCCATTTTCCAGGCCTAGGCGGCAGTATCCAATATAATGAGAACATTGGAGGTAGACCAAAGAAGCCTTCCCTGTCTAAGAATTTCCATTCAGCCTCTCCCTAATATCCAGTACTGGGGTAGTGAAGTCTTGAAAAGTCGCCTTCGTGAACATTCAAACAATTGCAGGTAGCTGAGCTCCAGCTACAATCCGAATAGAACAAAAAAAAAAATTAAAAATAAAAATAAAAATAACAACAAAAATAACTTTATGGACAGAATTCTTCAGCAAGGATTGGGAAGCCAAGTTAAAGTATAGAGATCCGAGATTGTGAGATAGTGCATTATTGGGAGAATATCCTGGTATAAGAAAAAGCAAACAGAACACCAAGGCCTCAATAAGATGACGCTTTGTATTTCGCAGAGAAACGCTCGTCGCTTTCTCATGTCGCCGTCATGTAGAGTGCCGGGGAAGGCCGGGGCAACGGTTGCAGATTTCGAATGGCCCAGTCGTGGCGAGGAATTTAGCGGAGGTGCCTCGGTGGTTGGGTCGGTGAGGCTCTGGAGTGCCGGGCTTGGAATGGCGCCAGGCCGCCTGAGGCAGCCATCCAACTGACAGATGCGCGGTTTTCAATGCCCGCAAGCAAGGGTATGCGGTGGATTGGCCAGTGGAGAGACGCAGTGTCGGTGGTTCCCAAGCCTCACAGCTGGCGCGAAACTTGTTTCTTTGCGCGGACTCGGCGGGGTGGGTACAAACGGAGGCCTTTCACGGGCATCCTGGGTGTTTTATATATTTTCTTGCGTCAGGCCCCGGGCCGAGTTCACCAGCTGGGCTGCGGCGGCGCCAGCATGGCCCGAAGGGTGGGTCGCGCCAATGGCGGATCGACGCGAAGGCGAACGCAGCGGCCTCAGCAGCGCGGCCGGATGGCGACCGGGGGCGGGCAGTGGGCGGCGGGAGGCGTACAGGGAGCAGGCAGCCCCGGCGTCCGGGCCTCTGCCGCCTAAGGCCACGCCTAAGCTCCAGGCGTGGCCGGGCGCGCCTGCGACTCGAGCCACTAGCGGCATACGGCGTATCCGGGATTACCCGACGCCGCCGAACCGCTGCGGGCGCCGTATTACCGCGCGCCCGCACGGCCGTACGGCCGGTACGCCGTTTGTGACGTCTTAGTCACCCCACGTGAATCCTCCCAATCCGTCCAGCTTCGACTTCCATCCTCGACTTTGACTTCAACGTCGTCTCGCTGTCCCTCTCGCTCTCGCGCTGCCAATCGTCGCCTTCACCCGCCGATTATCGTGTTTCTTTCGCTTCTGGGTGGCTCTCTGTTTGACCATTGGGCGTTCGCTGCATGACTCACTTCCAAGCGCACACCCCCCTACCACTCCCACCGGGAAAACCACGCCTAAGCATCCCGTCTCTCTCGCCCGTTCGCCCGTCAGACCGTGCCCCTTACCCTTGCATCTGCCTGCCCTACCCTTCGACTCCAGCGTAGTCGGGGCAACTACCTTGCACTGACCCGGCCGCTGCTGGCAAGGCCCGTTGCCCCCCCCCAAAAAAAAAACCAACCCCGTTATCGGGCGATCGACCGCTCAGTCTAGTGGTGGGGAATCCCAACTCCCAATCAGCCCGCCTTGCAGTCGCCAGTTGCCCTACGCTGATGCGCAGCAGGGTGCTTCGTATCGCTATTATCATTGATTAGTATTAATTCAGCAGAACCGCGATTCCCCCCCAACCGCCAACTCGCGCTGGGCCCCCCCGCTCTGGCCCGCAGCTTCACCGCCTGTAACGCTGCTTTTTCTTTCGCCACAACTTCGCCGGTTCCTCTTGTCGTCTGGTCCGTCGTCGATCATAGCGCTACCACTGTAGGGACTCTTCACGGCCCATCCACCTCCTCGACGGCAAGCTGGAGCCGTCACACCACGACAACATCGCCCGTCGGGGACTGCTGCAGGAGTCCGTCTTTCCGGACTGGAAAGATGGCTCTTCTCAGGGAGCCTTGGGCAATTTGGAGGAAATGCAGAAGCAGGATCCTTTAGCTACTCAGATATGGAAACTGTACAGTCGCACCAAATCCCAGCTTCCAAACCAGGAGCGTATGGAGAATCTTACCTGGCGAATGATGGCCGTCAGCCTGCGGAGGGAACGGGAGCAGGCACAATTCCGGTATGTTGTGCTTTTCCGATGCGTTCAGCAGCCTTAGGCGCAGATGACGTTGCACTGCAAGGCTACCTTGACCCCCCTTCCCTTTCCCTTTCCCGCGCCGTCGTTCTCCGGATTCCCGCCAAGTTCTCTGTATTGACGCTTTCCATTTTTTTTCTCCCCAAGTCAACGCGAAGATCAAACGGCTTTCTCATCCTTCGGCCAATCATCACACGACCACTCAACACCCGAATTAGCCCTGCCTGAAGCCTCCGATCCTATGAACCTCGATGACTTACGCTTCGCTTCGTCTATCGGCTCGCCCGCTGCTGGCTCTGTTTCGCCTGCCGCCAGTGCCAGCCAGAACCATGCTATGACTTTCGCCATTCCCATCAAGTCAAGAGGTCAAGATGAATCGCCCGCCGCGATCATCATGCCCGCCTCCTTCCCCCATCCGCCCCAGGATGACCGTCGTAATACCGAATTTGGCTACATCCCTCGACGCGTTCGCAAAACAAGTGTCGATGAACGAAATGTAGGTTGTTTCAAAAGCTACCCCAAGCTTAAGTGATGTCGTTGACGGCTTTAACTAGACTTTAAAGCGGCCGGCCGAAACTTCTCCATTAGTCCCCCCAATTAACAGTATGCTCATCCCTCACGATCCTGATTTTGATTCCGCTATGGACGACTATTCGCTTGAGAATGCCCATAATGCTTTTTCAATCAACAACCAAGCCTCCGTGTCGGCGCCGCTAGACTTGGACGCTTTCAATGTTGGCGACGATCAAATCATCACATCGGCAGGACCATTCAACCAGAATTTTACCTTCTCGCCGACGGATTCTCCGCTTTTGAATAATCCTGGCTTCCAGAACATGTACACCCGTACCCCAATGGGTTCATCCCTCAATTCAACCGATTTTTATTCTCCACCTGCCTCAGGCTATCAATCCACCGTTTCAACACCGCACCTTGGATTCGAAAATGAGCGCGCTATGTATTTTGACAATGTGCCTGTTGACGTCAGGACTCAACACCAAGTAGGAGGGTTTCCTACAAGCCGACCACCTAACCTCCCCATTTCGGGTCATCGATACCCGTACCCCCAAGAACAGCCCCTCAGGCCAGGGACCAGTGCAGGTCCGTTCAGTGCCATGCAGTCCAGTGGAATGCTGGCGCAACATCTAGATCCAGCCCAACCCTTTTCCCCGCACAATTTCTCCGCACCACCATCGCAACGTTCCATTAATCGCGCATCTCGAGGAAATATGTTTTCATTTGGAGGAGACTCGGATAACGAAGATGACAGCGGAACATCTTTTCCGGGAACAACTGTCTCATTGCAGATGGATCAGCATGGTGTCGGAGATCCAGCGGAACTGGGGCAAAACATACAATGGCATAATCAACTTGATACAGCGGCTCCTTTCCTCCCGCAGCATCGCAAGCAGGTTACGATAGGTGGTACGGAATTTAGCGATCCTAGTCGAGATTGGGATTACAGTGGTGGCCTAGGCCGTGGGCATGGCTCTGCTGCGTCCGTGAGCGAGTTTAGAAATCGGGAACAAGATCCAAGAAGACAGAAGATTCCTCGCACGATTTCAACCCCAAATACCGCCCAATTGCTGCAGGATTCCACTAGCCAACCGCTTATAACTCCAAGTTCTCCGCGTAGCTCAACAATTAGCAGTGCCAATGCCTCTCGTCCTGCAAGTCCCGGCCCTGCAAAGACCGCAGAACAGACCGGCGCTCCCATAACGTGCGCTAATTGTTTCACGCAGACCACCCCTCTATGGAGGCGAAATCCAGAGGGTCAGCCCCTGTGTAATGCCTGTGGGTTGTTCTTAAAGCTCCATGGGGTTGTTCGGCCGTTGTCCCTGAAAACCGATGTTATAAAGAAGCGAAACAGAGGGGGTGGAAACAATACAACCGGTGGTGGTAGCTCAAGGGCGTCGAAAAAGATCTCTAGAAAAAATTCCGTGCAACAACAAGCGGCTCCTACTGCCACCCTAGCTGCTGCCATCGCTGAGTCTTCTGCTCCCACTCGAGGCGTGAGCAACGCGCCGCAATTCATCGCGGTGAGCAAACCCGCTGTGGTGCCTATTGCTGCCGCTCCTCCCAAGCCATCTAGCGTCCCTACTACTATTCCAAGCAGCGCTGCCCAAGCACGGGCAACAGCGCAAAGCTCATCAAGGCGCATGAGGCGGCCCGAGAAACCATCGGGAGCATTTGTAATGCCACAAAATCCGTCATTTGAGGCAGAGATGCGAGATGTGAGGGAGGATAATAGTAAGACTCCTACTCTGTCAGATCGTTTCTCCGGAATACCTACCATGGTTTCCCGTCCCCCGCCTGCCGCCATGAATCCTGCCCATCATAGTCTTGCCGCGGGTGCCACTACAAGTAATAGTCAGGAGTGGGAATGGCTCACAATGAGCTTGTAATGGCGGGTTTTGCTGTATCAACTGCTACCGGCAGTTAATACATCGTCTGTGATACTGTTCATTTTTTTTTTCTTACGCCTCTTCTTACGATATGTCACGGTTGCTTCCTCAGCATCTCTTAGCCCCAAAAGCCGCTGTCGAGCACTTACGGGAGGGCAGAACAAGATTGCGACGGTTGCCTTGCACGAATCGCCCGATTGGTGCTCTTTCTTTTTTCATCTGATACATCAAAAAACGCAAACCAGAGGCGCATAAACAGGGGCCAAGTATAGATCTTCTCATTTTGTGTTCTTGGTATGATATTGAGGTTGGTCACGATTGCCGTTTTTGCGCTCTATATACATGCTTTGGGTAAAGAAGTGATGATGGTGTGCCTCGATAATGATTTGTTTTGTCCCTATTGATTCCTGTTCTCCCGCTGTTTAAGCCTTTATCCGAGCTATGATGTTGCCTGTGCAACTTCTGCACCATGTTAACTATGCATGGCCTTTCTTACGTTCTTTCCAAGCCTACAGCCCCATACTTCTTCTGTTTCTTCTCCTTTTTGCTCATAGACGATGGCTGCAGGATATATTTTTGGTGTCATGTTATACAGATTGCTTTGTGAGTGTGTGTTTTTGATATGATTGATACAACCGCGTCTGTTCAGAATGCCCAGCCTTGCCCCTTTTCTCCATTTGATAGTTTCTTTTCTTTCTTGTTTTCCGGCTGGGCATTCTAGCAGAAGTGCGCATCTTGCTTGTTGCTTCTACCGCGAACCATAGTTGTTATGGCTCCAAACCTCTTCTAGCTTTGATAGCTTGAATTTAATTTGAATCTGATGCATCCTGCGCTTTGTATGTCTCTAATGGGAGAGCCAGCCAAGTTGATTTCTCTCTGTTACCGAGGGTGTGGTAGTAGATCCCGATCGAGAAGACGTGTCAAATCACGTCTTATTAGCGACCGGGGCACTATTGGAGTGCTAAGAATGTTTGGCGAGGGGGGGAGGAACAATAAGCACCTTTACCCGGAGTACTCCGTAATGCACTTCTGTCGCTAGCATCGGCAATGAAGAATGAAACGCGCTTTCGTCCTTGACGATGGTCTAGGCCATGCACGCAGGGGGGAAGGGAAGTGAAAGAAAGTATAAAAAAGGCCATTCTGGTGCCCATGCTCTCGATGATAAAGGTTGTCTGAGAAAAAAAACAGGGTCGGTGTTTCCTGCGGAACTATGAGGCCATGTCTCGAGCGTGAGGTTCTCGACCGACTGAGCCATCGGCAACCGACATAAACCCATATAGCTAGATAGTACTCCGCAGATGTTACCACTTAACCAGATACATGCTGGACGGGCTCGCCGGTGGTGGCTCAACGAAAAAAAAGATAGGGTTTTCCCCTGGCCGCAGGAGCGGGAATGCTATTATTGAAACTAAAAAAACCACTCAAGGCAGTAGGGAAACGGGCACAAGAACCCTGCCCTTTACTGAAGTCCCAATAAGATACTCTTCCTTATCGACAGTCGGTGAGAAAAAGCTACTCGCTTGCAGGGTGCTGCCATTTGATGGCGGTTTTAGCCTACGTATCTTCCAGCCTTACGACCCTGTTGAAGCCTCCAAGCCGTTGCTTTTTCCACATTTTCCGCCTTTTTTGCATTATTTTCTTTGTCTGTTAACGAGTGTGCATCCCGACAGTTCCCCAAATGTACTCTGTACGTATGGCTGTATGCGCATGTATGTATGTACTCCGTACCTAGTTATGTAGGCGTCGCGGTCAACCCGCGATGCAATTCTAGTACGGAGTAACACGAGCAGCAACCCTGGCTGCATAGGGAGCAGTTGCTCGGATTCAGACGGGACTACAGGAATAGGGAAGTGTTCTTGTGCTGCTCCTGAGCTGGTGCGTCCGGTAGCTTAAGAATACAGTGCAGTTGCGTCTGACAGGTGTGGCATGCTGTAAGGCGCATTTGAAGGCACGTTTGTGCGACTAGCTGCCGGAGCGGGCGCAGCGATCCACCGCCAGTTCTCCTGACCAGGACAACGAGGGAGAATGGTGATGCAGGGTGCCCAACGGCAATTGGCGCGCCCCTTGGTGATTTGGCGGTGGGAAGGCTGCCGTTCGCATGGCAGGCAAGGATTTGTCTGGGAGAACAGCCATGGCGCAGCCGGAGAAAAGCACGGTTGGATCAAGGTTTCGCCCGGGTGCCTTGGGCGGGGACGAGGACGGGCGGCCTCGCGTGTGGGCGGCGTGCATAAGTAGTAGTTATAGATACACCACACGCACGAGTGCTGGATGCGCAGACCGACGGGAGATGACATGGAGAAACTTCATGCGTGATGCAGATGAATATGTATGTGCAGGGCCTCTCTCCAAGCGAGCAAGGCCAGCGCTGAAACGGGGCTGACCGCTCCTCGATGCCGGGGGAGGCCTGAGCTGGAGCGTGTTTCGAGGACGTGATGGCTGCCGGTGCTGGGTCGCCGGGTTGGTTCCGCATCCCTGCAGCACATACGAAGGTGCGCAGCTGGAGCATGCAGTCGGCAGTGTCTGTCAGCCTGTCTTTGCCCAGGCCGGAGAGCGGCCGCCGTGCTTGACCGCAGCAGAACCGGATCGCTCGCTCTGTCTGGACGTGTCAGATCGATGCGCGCGATCGATGACCCGTGCATCCATGTGACCTCCCAATGCGGCAGTCCTTCGATGCACCTGCGATCCCCCGCTTCAACCTCACTTCATCCTCGCCCTCGCCCTCGTCCTCGTCCCCAACGCACCGTCGCCCTCGCCTCGCCTCGCCCTCGCACCAGGCCTCTCGTCCAACCTCTCCAGCTCGCCACACACGCTGGCGAACTCCAGCGCGACCCGCCGTCTCATCCAGCTGGGTCCGGAGCTGCCCCTCTCTGACACCGGAGTCGGCTAATATGCTTCTCTAGTGCCAGAGTCTCTATAGAGACCCACGACTGGTTTAAGCAATCTGGCGACAATCCTTGGGCTCGCCATTATTGGTCTCCCGTCGACGGACTTCGCCATCCCATTCGCCCATGGCCCCTCGCACCCTGGTTGCGAAAAAGCAAGCCTGTCCTTGGCTCCCTCCAGTGCGCTGTGAAAAGCCCGCCAGGATGCTGTCACACAGGTTCATTCCCTACCCCGGTCCCCAACTAGTGGAAGACTGCAGCCGCACCGTGCGCCAGTGACGGACTGACGGTGAGATCGTGTCTCCACTCCTGGAAGCTTTGAGAGCTTGCCTTCAAATCACAGCGCCTCCCTGCCCTGGCATCTGACCTTGGCCAACCAAGCGTCGCCTCCCGCCGAGCTTGGCCAGACCTCGCCCAACCACTTCCGCCCAAGCCGTTTTCAGCTAGATCAGCCTTCTTCTCGAACCAGTCCCCTCTCTCGATCGGTTTATTGGCTTTTTTGGCATCTCGTTATCTGGGTCCGTTTGAATTTGCGCTACCTTCTACGAGGGGTTTAAGCTGATTGGGAATCGGAGAAAGCGAGCCCAAACACCACGCCTGGAGCTTTTCTCGCCATCGAGAAACGGCCCTCAATCATTATCTCTTTGGGTCATTTTGACCTGTTTAGCTTCTCGACTCGCAACATTTCGTATCGCTCAGACTTTGCAAATGGTTTGTTTCAACATTTTCTGATTTGCGACATTTCTCCAGCCTTTTTGGGACACTTCTGGTTTGGTCAAACCTTTTATGTTTTTCGTCTCTTTTTCCTTCCCCTCTCCGTGACTGTTCCCGCTTTTCCCCTGACTCTCTGATTGGAGAGATCCATTTTGGTCGCCAGCAGATCGATGGGCGAGCTGGAATAATTTCCAAATCTGTCGGATCGCGACAAAGAAGAGGGCAGCGATCGACACAATCATTCTATCATTCGCTCCCATTTCTTTTGCACTGTATTTTGGTTGGTCCAGTTGGATTTGTTCTTGCTGGCCCGCGACTTTGATAAATAATAATAATCAACAATAATAATAATAATAATACGAAGAGCACAGCTTTACACCCTTGCCACCGGATTCTCTTGGATTCTTTTTCTTTTTCCTTTTTTTGCTACAAGTCAACCTATTTTCGGATGGTTCATATAGTCAACATCTTAATTAATTGGTTTCAATCACTAGTTTGCTGTCGAGAGTCAGTTGATTTTTTTTGACCCCCCGGAACTTTAACACCCATTGCCTTTCTGCGCTGGAAAGCGCCAGCTTGAAAACATCTCTGCTCCCCACTTTGCGTTACTTCGCGACGACTGACGAATTTAACGTGGCGATTGTTCAGCGGAATGAGACCTTTTTTCTCCCTCCTGCTCGCTTCTCTCTTTGTTCTCCGTGACAATAATTAATCCCCGGGTGAGGTTAGCTTTCTTCCTGCCATCGCCACTCCCCGCATTCACCGGGTTCGGTACCATTGCTTTCGACAAATCGCAAACGGCCGTCCAAACACCCGTGTCAACTTGGGCTTCCATATATAATAATTCTTCGTCGCGTCACGGAGGCGAACAGAACCAGTTCCGTCATTATTGGTGGCTTGCGCGTCTCTGGCCAGGCAAGGAAGACCTCCAGGCTTCCAGAGTTATAATACTAGAGCCTTTTTTGACCCCAAGGGACCTTCTTGAGCTACCAGTGATCGCCGTGCCACACTGCTCCACCAGTGCATCTGTCAACATTCTGCAATTGAATTGCAAGCTAATATTCGTGTATCTCGATTGTCGTGCCGATCTCCTCGGTGTTGATCAAGCATTGTTTTTTAAAGACCTATCTGCCGTCTTTGCTCCGTCTTGAGCTTTTGCCACCAGCATGATCTTGCAGAGCTACAAATAACAATTCAAAGACGCACGCTTGAAAGAACAAACTTTTCTCCGCGAACCCGAATTAGTGTGCATACGGAGTACATTGGACCAGTACCCATTGTTGAGATTACTCTGCTCCACGTTAAAATATCGGTTGCAGTCGGAAGGTACGTGCACTTGTCTGGATGGTACCTTGTTGAGTCTTCCCAAATTTCCCCTGAGCCAGACCTCGAGCTGGTTGACCTTGAACTTGTTGCAACGTAAAAAACCTCGAGACGGCTACTTGTATGATCCCTGGCCCGCCAGTGCATATTTAATGTCGCACGGGTGCCACAATCGAACGCCTCTTCCACTCCCCTGGCCCTCTCTTAAGGCTGTGAGTGGGAATTATCGCTAACTTCATTTAGATCTTCGCCTTGGGATTCATTTTGACATACAGAGGCGATCTTTGCGTGTGTCTTAGTCAACTTATCTCCCGAGCGACCCCTCTTTTCTCTGAAGCTATTGCTTTGATCGCAAGCGATTATCACTGCATATCTGCTACCGATTGGGCTTGATGAAGCTATACCTAAGCCTGTGATTCTCAATTGCTATATATTGTGATTCTCGGATCCCACCTGCTCGCCTCACCACAACGTTGAATTTTTATTTTAGCTCTCGCTTCGCGCAGTGAGATTTCCCCAGTTGGGTTATCACTGCTTAATTTGAGATATTAGAACGAGTTTCGCGTCTTCCGCCAACGTGGCTACACTCATCATACCTCCGCCCGGAATGGGGGCGGCTTTCGACGCTCTGAATATGCAACAGTCATTGGGATCGCGTCGACCAGCACCTACCACACTTCCCAGCTTTGAGCTACCCAGTCCTCACGCGCCGCAACCACAGCAAAAGCACCAACTACATCCTACCGTTAACACAACCCAACCGTCAATCGCTGGCGTTAAGGTTGGCAACCTTTTGACCCCTCCCTCAAATTCTGCGGCGGACAGTAGTTCAGCATCGGCTGGTTTAGCTGGGCCTGGACAAATTCAGGCCTATTCACAGAGTTACTGGCCAGCACCGTCTTACGGCTTCAATTCCGGTTCGCTACTTTCCCATCCTTTGTCAGCAGGTGGGACTTTCTCATGGCTAACTGACAATAGGCCGAACCACTGCTCATTCTTCGATATCTGATAATTTATCTCCATCTTACCCACAAAACACAATGTATCCTTCTCCTCTTTCCCCGTCGCCGGCACTCTCCGTGTCCTCAACACAACAGCATGACCAGCAGCAGCCTCAAAACCAGCGTGGAAACTATGCCACCGGGCAACCGCAGCCTGCATCGCAAGCAAATACGCTGGACCCTTTTGGGCAGAAGTATACCTACAACGGCTCCCAACAGCCTCCTGCTTCTCCCACAAGCTTCAACCCTTACCAGAGCGGGGTACAGCCACCGAGCTCTAGCGCGCCGTCTGGTAGAGTGCCAGGGATGCCTATTCAATATCCTCTCGATACACAACAACCACTTCCTCAGTTTACACGGCCGTACCCGTCGTACTCGCTTCCCGCCATGAATGGCCCAATCATGAGCAACATACACAATCCAAACAATCAAATGGCGTTAATAGGCTCTGTACAGCCTAATCTCCTTCCAGGTTTTAATAGCGGGCATGCCGCCAGTTTACATCAAATGTACCCCCACGCGCATACCCATCATTTGCATGGCCTTGTACAGGCTCCACAAAACGACCGCCCCTTCAGATGCGATTTGTGTCCACAGAGTTTCAACAGAAATCACGATTTAAAACGACACAAGAGGATACATTTAGCCGTGAAGCCATTTCCTTGTCACCATTGCGACAAGAGTTTCTCCAGAAAAGATGCGTTAAAGGTGTGTATTTTTTGATAGCTAGAGCTACTTGATTTTCCAGCATTCTAATCCGCTATGCAGAGACACATCCTCGTCAAAGGTTGTGGAAAGGAGTCTGCGGCTGATGGAAATACGTCGTCGAGTTCCACAAATGTAAAAGACGAGACGACTGGAACCGTGTCGCCACCACACGGGATTGGCGCGCGACATGATAAATACTCTTAAAGGAATGCATTATACCCAGAATAAACGGATATGCAAGACTGCTTTGCAGGATCTTGGTTTTTTGTGAATCTTATCGGAGTACCTTTACATCAGCGTGACTTTATTTATTACCTAGTAATCCCTCTCGTGTCTTTTCTTTGGTGAGGATGCCGTACATCTGACGCACGCATGTATTCATCTCTGTCAAATGATTTTAAAAGGGAGTTGGCGGGCTGCGTTTGGAAACACGCGCTTTCTTCATTGCGTATTTGCGGTTGAGGTGCATTCCAGACATACTTCGTTGGTCGGGCCTTTGGTCAATTTAGGTGTTCAGACTACTTTCGGAGTTGAATCCCTCGCGGTTCTCGACTTCTATCTTTTGCCGGGGTTTTCTTCTCTTTTTTCCGCTCGTTTGAACCCTTCCCATTAAATATTCATTATTATTCCTTTTATTACCTTTTTTTCCCTTTTTTATTTTCTTTCTTTTCTTATACATACCTATCTACGTGTTGTCGATGACCCTATCTCTTTTTTTTTTTGAGATGACTTATCCATGGGAAGGATAGTATTATTTTAATTCAATTCCTCCTTCAACATCATCTTTTGTGTGATTTAGGTAACTGCTTTTTTATGTCTGAAATCGCTAAGTTCCGAAGCACTATCGCTTCGATACCACTGCTGCTCAACTGGCCCGCAAAGCCCTCTGTAGATGTGCTTCTCGTCAAGCCGGCTCTTTTGGATTTCCGTGTTTGCATCGCTTGACGTGATCGTGGCCATCATGCCTGATACTTGCATGAGCTCGCTAGGCATCAGCCAACAGCCTTGTGATCTGGCCTGAGGCGGCGTTGGCGGCCTAACAGGCATCACGACTGACTGCTCAACTTGAGATTCGCCTTCTGCTGCTTCTCCTCTTCTGCATCCCACTTATCGCAATGTCCCTGCAAGACCTGCCGTCGCCGCTTTTGGCACTCATCGTTTCATATGTCGTCGCTGACCGTTGGTTGCAGCACGCACACACCCGCGACCAAGTGGCTGCGTTGAGACTTACCTGCCGTGAGTGACATCGCTTATGGTAGCATCTATCTACCTCCATACCTGCTGCTCACTGCCTCCAGGAACCCTCAATGGGGCTACCGTATACCAGGCCTTCTCTCGCCTGGATGTTGCCGCGAACCGCGGACATCTCGACCATCTCAACACTCAAGCGTTGGCGCTGGTCGCCCGCGAAAAGGCTCGTCTGCCCAACAGCCCTGGTGTCCTATTTACAAGCATCGCCGACCTCAGCGCCGTACTGATCAGTATTGCTGCTGATGAGCCACGCCTGCAGCGTGAAGATACGGAATATGTGCCCGGCTTCATTGACGCTGCAATTGTGCTTTTGGGCCCGCGGGACATTGTAGACCACCTCGCCTTCCAAAATCTGCCCGCTGGTGTATGTTTCTTTGGATCGCGTTTCAATGCCCATCACCTCGCCTTACTTGCTGCGGCCTGGCAGGGCGACCTTGAGCTGGTGCTGTTTCTGCTGGACAGCGAGAGCTTGAAGCCAGCTGGCAAAAGTCTACTTTCGGCGTTCTATCTCGCTGCCTTCAAAGGCCACACCGAGCTACTTTGCCTGCTGAAAGAGCACGGAAACATTCAAGTCGATGCGCCATGTGGCTTTTACGGGAATGCCCTGATGGCAGCCGTTGCTGGAGGGAGTCTTGAGAGCATCGATTGCATTATTGAATGGGGTGCTGATGTCAACTTCTTGGGCACACTGTTTGGGCGGCCCTTGACATTAGCCGTGTCATCTGGCTGCCTGGGTGCTGTACAGCTGCTACTCGAAGCGGGAGCCGAAGAAAACGCCTGTGATATGATGAAGCAGAGCCCATTGGTCGTCGCAGCCATAAAAAAGCCTCATACAATTGCTCTCCGTGAAATTCTGGAGCTTCTCCTGCTGCGCAACGCGGAGATCTCTATTCTTCCCAAGGAAAAGGCTAAGGCATTTGCCTATGCTGCGTCTTATGATAATCCGTCTGCCGTTGAAATTCTATTGAAGAACGGTATCACGGACGACCTATATGGCACTGCTCTAATAACCTCTGCGATAGCGAACACGCGGAACCTAGATGTCGTTCGGCTTCTGTTGGAGCGCCTCGGAGATTCTACACTACCTTCTAGCACACTATTGACCACTGCTATACAGCGAAACTTCCCGGAACTGGTGAAACTATGCATTGAGGAAAAAGATGATTTCGACCCATGTATGTATGAAGCATCGATCGCACTAGAAAACTCTTTACGAGACGGCTATGTAGACATCCCAAAAATGCTGTTTGACTCTGGAGCTAGGCTAAGACTTACTGAGCAAGATGTACTATGGGTTGCTGAGAAAGTTTTTCATACCTCCCTCATTGACAGGTTGGCGGAATGCGGCCTTGAATTCGATGCCAACACATTTGAATGTGCTATTCGTTTTGGAAATCCGTTTTTGCTCTCGAAGACACTTTCGGGAGGATTTGAATATGAAGCTCTAGGTGATGGAGAGTACCTACCTCCAAAGGTTAGGCTGTGTGTCTGGGATACCGAACTGCCTGCTGTCCAAGGACTTTTAAACACCAATGCTATTCGATTTTCCTCTATTACAGTGTCCGACATGCTTCAACATGCAACGCAACGTCGTGATGTTGCAACAGTCAAACGGCTCACTAGTTGCTATCCGGGCGCTGTACTCCAAACTTACCCTAGAAACAATGATGACTTTGCGGCTACAACAATTGCCATGCTTCTCCACAGTGCAGAAAAGACATTCCGTAAAGACGAAGCGGCTGCTTTGCTGAAGGAACAAGGCCCTGAAATTGTTGCCATTGCAAATGAACTACAGGAGAAAAACATCCAACTTTGCTCCCTTTTCAAAAGTACCACCACTAAACTCAGCCATTTTATAGAACTTGGTTGTGTCTCAGCACTGGAGTTTTTTCTCAGGAGTTCTGGTGCGCATGCTATGCAGCGAGACCACAAAGTATTGGCGGCTATCAAAGATATCGATATCCTAAAAGTGGTGCTGAAATACTACCCTAAAGAACTATCTAGCCAACTGACGGACCGGAAATGGTGCCGCCACGTCTTTACAAAGGCTGTTGAATCTCGAAACCACCCACTGGTCGAGTATCTCGTCAAGTTGGGATTCGGAGAGCACGGACGAGCGTTTCATGTTTATCCTAGGAATAATCACACGGGCCTGAAGCCCTCGTACTGTTATGAAAAGGACCCTGTTCTTGCCAGTGAAACGATGCTCCGCCTCTTCATGGCCCGAGAAGGATGCCCACTAGTCGACCAGAATGCTTCGGTGGTCGAATGGTTGAAATACATTCCCAGGGACCACTTCGCCACGCAGCTGCAGATTCTCGTCGACGATGGTGCGGACATCAACACCCCTATTCCCTCCGTAGGCAATGCGCTATCTGTAGCCGTAGCACATGGAAATGAAGATATGGTACGTTTGCTTCTGGCCTACGGCGCTGATCCAGGTCCGTGTGTGGGGGCTCAGATACAGAGCACGGCATTGTGCGAAGAGGCAAGATTTGTGCCAAAACTACTTGCGCAAGCCCTGGTGAAGAATATGCGGGAAAAGCTCGGTTAGAGAGACCAGCCAAAACCGGCACACTCTTTTCCGGAGTGTGTAACTACTCCGTACGGTAGCTTCCGACGCCTCATATTACATTGCGGAGTTTTCTCGGGGCTTCAGGGGTGTTCTTTCTGGGCCCAATTTTTAGCGGCCAGAGCAGTGGGTAACGTTCTAGTCTCTTTTTCATAGATCAACTAGATTAGATATGGCGATACCATGATAAGCAGGCTTATGGATTTGATATGAGAGCTTGAAAATATCATTTGGAGCTAACTAGTTAAGCAAACACAGTTTCGTGGAGTCATTCAAGTAGCAATGTCAGATACATGGGTTTGAAATCTGTTAATCAAAGACAGGAAAAATTAGAAAAACCGTACTTGTAAGCCCCAATCAAGACACATTGCTGTATTCATTTTCCACCTCCTATAGATAGTTTAGTGTTTAAAGAGATCCTTATGGTCGCTCTTGATCATGTCAGCACCCTTCTCGCCAACAGCATACACGGAGTTCTGAATACGGCAGTCAGGTATAACAGGAATAATCGACGCATCGGCGACACGCAGGTTCTTAATGCCGTGGACCTTGAGTTGGGGGTCGACCACCCCCTGGTCAATGCTCTTGGACAGACGATTGGTGCCGCAGGGATGGAAAGCCGTCTGGCAGCGATCTAGTACAGCGCGCTTCATCTCCTCGTCGGAGTGGAGGGGCATATCCCAAGGATACTCATCTTCAACGATATCCTTGAAAGCGTCGCCCTTGAGTAGCACGTCGTAGCTGAAGCGAATACCCTCGCGCATGGCGATGATGTCGAGGTCGTCGGCGAAGAAGTTGAGATTTATGTTGGGCTGCATGAAGGGGTCTGCGCTATTAAGTGTGACCTCTCCTGGGTCGGAGATAGGCCGCACCAAGTCGACGACGACGCAGGTGTGATTGCCGTTCTTTGGTACGGGAAAATGCCACTGGAATGCAGTGCCAAACATGCACACAAAGTCGAGCTCGAAGTGCGGCTCGCCCTGGGGTGAGAATGGGTCTACCCCGCCGTTGGCTGCCTTGGCCTTGCGGTAGGCGGGATCTTTCTCGAGATACTTGTCAATACGTGGGAAGCCGACGAGCTCTAGGAGACCAGAGCCTACGGGGCCAGAGCGGTTCTTCTGGTAGGCTGCAACGGCAGCTTGGTTCTTGGGGCCAGCGCGCATGAGGTGGTCGTCCATGCCGAACCCGTCCTTGACACGAAGCACGAAGGGGACACCGGGGTGGTCAACAAGGTTCTGGCCGACATGGCGCGAGTCGACGATAGTGTTGATTCCGTGTTTGGCCAGCTCTTTGGCCGGACCAATACCACTGAGCATGAGCAGTTTAGGACTCTCATAGACACCTTGGGATAGAATTACTTCGCGGGTGGCATAGAAGCTCAGCTCTTTGCCGCTGGCATCAATCACAGTTACACCCTTACAGGTGCGGTTGGCTTCGTCGATGATCAAGCACTTAGAGTGAACCTCAGGCAGAATGGTGATGTTGGGCTTGCCTAAGACAAAGAGGAAACTTCCCGAACGCTTGCCCTGGTAGATAGAGTCGACGCAGTGTGTGAGACCGTTCATCTCACCATCGTAGATATTCTCTGACATAGGTTCGCCACGAGATTTCCAGGCCTTGATTAGGGCTTCGCGGAAGGGTTTCATCTCGTCGAGTAGCTCGGCGTGCGAGATGGGGAGGGGCCCTCCACCTCCGATTTTCTTGAGCTCAGGTGGGTAGAGACCGGCATCGTCGTGGTAGGTGACACTCTTGCGTAGATAGGGCACCATGGGGTCCCAGGTCCATTCCTTGCCGCCAAATTCGCCCCATCGGTCGAAGGTGGACTTGCAGCCGGGGATCCAGGTGAAGTAGTTGAGGGAGGAACTGCCACCAAGAGCCTTACCACGGGTGTTTGGCATGTCGACGCGCTCGTAGTCGTCACGCTTGACGAAGGTGGTCTTGTAGGCCCAGTCATGCTTGCTGCTGCGCAGACTCATGGCCTGAGAGGGAGTGAGGATCTGCTCTACCTCATGTGGGTTACCAACACCAGCTTCGACAACGAGGATGTTGACATTGGGATTCTCGGCTAGTCGGCCCGCGACAACGTTGCCTGCGGTGCCACCGCCAACGACAATAAAGTCAAAGTGGGCGCCGTTGGTAGCCATGATAGAAGAGAATGAAGGATATGAGATGCTATTCTGATGTGATGACGAGGGCTTTTGGTAAGACCGATTGAGCGCGAACACAGCGGCTTATATGTCCAGGGCCATGATTCAGCTGGCCGTCTGTCCGAATGGGTGATTGCTGGATGATGTCGTCGATGACATGGTCTCCAAGCAGCGGAAAGTCAGCGTGCGGGCAAAGGGTTGGTCTCCGCACGACGATACCCGTTCGCCGTCATGAATCTAGATTTAGGTCCCGACTGGCCTTCGAACTCGCAGAGTCCCGATACCCAACGCCTTAAACCCCAGTCTCAGCTTGAATCTATGTTGTTAGTCATACTGCGCAGCTGCTGACACTGGCGTGCAGAAGATAAGGTGGCAAAGCGTAAATTCGAATGTTTCACCTCGAAGAAGCTATTGTACTGCTGTAGCATGAACCTGCATATTCATCCGTTAGAGAAGCTTAATCCATTTTTTTGAGTTTCGGGACGAATACCATTCCGATAAAGATCGACTCTAAAATCCTAAGTCCTGCCGAATGTGAAAACACGAGTCCCAACCTCCATCGAGCTCACGTTTGGCCTCAGTCATCAAAGTATGAACTGCATCCAAGCTTGCTCTGATTCCATCCTTGACACATGTTCTAGCAGCCATGGAGCCGCCCCGCAGCGCAGGGACGGAACGTTTAAAGAGTGGAGGATTTCAGCTACACCATGAGGGGAGTTGAGGCCGCAAGGCCTCGTGATTGCGATCCAGCGGTTGGGGTTCTGAAGAAGTATGTTGGCTCCGCAGTGGAGTACCTGGATGTAGGGAAAAAATGTGATTGTAAGCTAAATTCTATCATCGCCCATCTCAACGCCGATCCCCCCGCTTGTCCGACGAATATTTGCTAGGATTCCAAGCAGGCGAGCATATCAGCGGGCGGGGCAAAAAAGGTCGATCCGGTCAAGGGCTTGGAGAAGTCCAGCAGGCGGTCGTGGAGGCCAGGCGGGTTGCCGATGAACATACGGTCAAGCATGTGCTCGACGACCCAGAGCCGGCGGGTGTAGGCGATGAAGTACGTACCGAACTGGCCGGCGGCTGGCGAGCCAAAGGGCATGTTGTCGCGCAGGACGGAGAGCTCGTCGCCCTGGTCATCCTCTATTGTAGCTAGTGACTTGTGAGATTGCTGCTGTCCGGGCTCGGCGTCGGGCAGCTCAACGTTATCCAATTTGGAGCGACCGATTATGGCCTGTTGTTGTTCCGTCGAGAGCGCATTCCAGCCGGCAAGGTCATGCTCGTACTTCTGCACGACGATGTAGCTACCGCCTACACTAGCTTTGTCCTGGTCCTCTGCCGCCACTAGCATCGCCTTCGGTACGGCAGGGCCGACGGGATTGGCAGTGCCGTCGACAAAACCGAGTAAGTCGCGCAGGTCGAAGTAGCGGAAGCCCACCGTCTCATCGACCACTGTTACGGCGCTACCTAGGACATCCAGCAGCTGGCGCTCGAACTCGAAGCACAGGTCACGGCGGGCGGCGCGGATGTGAAACAGTAGGTCGCCCGGCGTTGAGATGGCAGTGTGTACCCGACCACGCACGGTAGGAAACGGACGGAGCTGGGCAGGGCGTGGCATGCCGGTGAGCCGATCCCAAGCAGCGCTGCCAATGCCGACGGTGCACGCAAAGGCAGCGCTGGGGTCGCGGATGGAGACGTTCTTCGCCAGGTCGGGTATGCGGGCGAGGGCGGTGCGGGCAGTGCGGGCGGCGGCAGAAGAGGGGTGGACGGTGAGGACGAGAAAGATAGCGGATAGCGGCATGGTAGAAAGTGGCAGGGCCATGGTGGCGACGGTGGAGGAGGAGGAGGTAGAGAGACAGAAGGCAGAGAGAGAGCGGAGCGTTGATGTTGATGTTGATGAAGAGAGCATCGCAGCGCAGACGGTGCGGGGAGGAAATGGTGAGGAGATGAGGCTTCCCCTCACGAGCGAGAAGCGCCGGGCAGCCGAAATCAAATGCGCTGGCGATCATAGGTGGCCGCTGCAGACTGGTAACTTAGTTAACTAGTTCGATAACTAGCAATTGAGTTAACGGTGAAGGGGCAGCTCAAACTCAATGCGGGCCAGCGGATTGACGTCAGGGAATCGATATCAGCGCCCTGAATAATGAATATAGAATGGCCACGTTAACAGACAGATCTCACCATGGCCTTTTACACTCTCGCTGAAGGTATTCCAGCCAGACACGCCCCGGATGTATATACTGACGACTCGCAGGCTGCCCATATGCCAGCAACGCCTCGTCCGTCCAGCTGCGAAACCGCTCGGGCGGTGGGCTGGTACTGATGCAGGACACCCAGCTGCTCGAGACGCTGGCCCATTTCTCGAGAGAACGCATCCCGGAGAGGTAGAAATCCCATTGTGTCCCCAATAACCCGTGTATCTCGCTGATTGCATCCCCAGAGTCGTACACGCCAAAGCTGCCGGGTAGATCCAAACTTCCCATCCTATAATTACTGGTGCTGATGGCCACCAGGGCATACGGCATCTTCGAGGCCACCGACAACTGCTCCGACCTGACCTCCGCCAGCTTCCTCTCTGCTGCTGGCAAGCAGACTGCTGTCTTGCTGCGCATCTCGACCGTCGGCCCCGAGCGCGGGTCAGCTGACACAGTACGTGATGTGCATGGCTGGGCCATGAAGCTGTACACCGACGAGGGGAACCTCGACTGGGTCTTTAATAACACGGTACGACCCGTATCTTCTGCATCAGGCACACGCTAACTTGGGAATTGCTGTAGCCCGTCTTCTTCGTCCGCGACCCGCTCAAGTTTCCGTCGCTTAACCGCTCGCATAAGCGACACCCGCGGACCAATGTCCCCGATGCTGACATGGTATATTCACTAATTCCCCTCTTTAAGAAATCGCTGACATTTTGTAGTTCTGGGAGTGAGTGGCGAGTACCTGCTCAAATATACACGCCTAACACCTTTAGCTTCCATGTCGGTAATCCAGAAGGCGTGCACCAGCTTATGCACCTCTTCAGTGATCGTGGCACTCCGGCCTCCCTGCGCCACATGAATGCTTATAGCGGGCATACGTACAAGTTCACCAAGGAGGTATTTCACGTCTTATCACCTTACTTCTCTTTCTCTCTAACAGACTCCAGGACGGCTCGTTCCGGTACGTCAAAATCCACATCAAGACCACCATTGGCGTCAAGAACTTCGATCGTCAGACTGCCACCAAGATTGCTGGCGAGAACCCCGACTACCTCGTCGAGGACCTCTTCCACGCCATCGAAACCGGCAGCTATCCCCAGTGGGACGTCTTCGTCCAGGTCATGACCCCCGAGCAGGCAGAGACCTATAAGTGGAATATCTTCGATATGACCAAGGTTTGGCCCCACGCCGACTTTCCACTGCGCAAGATCGGCCGTTTGACATTAAACCGTAATGTGAGTATAGAAATCCTGTAACGCCATTATGCGCCTGCACTAATTGACAGCCTCGAAACTACTTCACCGACATCGAGCAAGCCGCATTCTCGCCCTCCACTATGGTGCCTGGCATTGCTCCCTCTGCAGATCCAAGTCAGCCTCTCCGCCCTTTGAAAGGAACACAACTAACCAGTGTGTCTAGTGCTTCAAGCGCGCATGTTTGCCTATCCCGACGCAGCGCGCTATCGCCTGGGCACAAACTACCAGCAGCTGCCCACCAACCGGGCCCACGCGCCGGTATACTGCCCGTTCCAGCGTGACGGCTTCATGAACTTCTCCGACAACTATGGCGATGATCCCAACTATGTCGGCTCGATGCTGAAACCGACGGCCTTCAAGGCAACCAACAACAGCACCACCACCCTGACCCAGCATGAGAAATGGGTAGGAGAGGCCGTAAGCTTCTGTACCATCATGGAGCCGCGGGACTATGAACAAGCCGCCGCGCTGTGGAAGGTATTAGGCCGCGAGCCAGGCCATCAGGACCGGTTAATTGACAACCTGGCGGACAACGTGCGCCGAGTCACCGACCCGCGACTGCGCAGCAAGGTCTATGGTAGGCCATTCTTCCATTTCTTGCTTCTAGATATTGCCGTGCTAACGCGCCGCAGAGCTGTTCGGCCGGGTCGACCGCGATATGGGAGCTCGACTGTCAGCGGCCACTGAGCCAGCATGTTCGTGACTGCGAAGCGTGTGGTGGAAATGACTAAGCTAGCCTTGGGACACCGGGCCGGCTCTATTCCGGGCTTGGCAGAGAAACTGCTTCGTGCGCTCCCAAATAGTAGCAATTAACATGTAGGGGTAATATAGTTCTGGCGCATTACCTCATTCCTACATGATTCTTCTACAATGGTTGTTAGTTTTACAAGAATACATTCAATTCAATTTTTGGTTTACACGGAAGAATGCGGCCCGCTGATCCGAGTCGCGTGATGAAATTGGTGACTAAGCCATAACTAACTAGTCCCGTTTTGTGCCGGGCCGCCAATGCTCCGGCCCATTGAACCGAGGCTGGTTGCAGACAGGCACAGTTAGGTATCAACAGCTACGGAGTACATGATAACAAATTGGATATCAAGAACAAAATGCATTAAAATCATTTGGATATCAAAAAAAATTAACTAGAGGGAGAAAATAAAAAGACCAATATTCCCGTACAACATCAAACATCTTGCTTCAAGCTCGGTTTTTCTACATCGCAGAAATCCGTCGGCGTCGCACACTCCATCACTCCCATCCTGCGGGCCTCTGCAGGGGTGAATGTCTTGAAGTGGTCCACTTCATCAATCTCACCGATTCCTGGAGGAGGAAACACTTTGTTGAGTAGAGTGTAGATCACAAAAGTAATCGCAAATCCTAGCGGGTATGCTAGGTTGTACAGCCGAGTGCAGCCCTCGGGCACCGAAACGGACTTGTTGACGGCCTTGACGAAGCCCGGCAGCAGCGGAGCAAAGCCAACGACCCACGCGCAGAAGGCGCGCCAGTTCATTCCGTACCAGAAGTAATAGATACCCTCGGGGTGCGGGTGATACAGGTCCGTTAACTTGATTTTGCGAGAGCGCACGATCCAGTATTCGCTCACCATGATGCCACACATCGGGCCAAGAAACACCGAGTATGCCGACAGGACGCTGATGAACGTTCCTGCCGAGGCTAAGAGCTCCCAGGGGCAAAGGATAATGGAGATGATGAGGCCAATGTAGGCACCCCGCCGGATGTTGATGAATTTGGGGAACAGGCCGCTGAGATCCATGCCGGACGAAAAGGCATTGTCAATGGTGTTGATCGCCAGCTGGCACACAACGAGCCCTAGGCCGGCAAAGAAGGCACCGGCGCGAGATTTGGCATTGTAGTCTGTTTCCAGCCATTTCAGGGCAATGTCCGGTGGGTTCCACAGCGGCGTTCCGTAAATCTTGAGAGTAGCCGACGACACCAGGCAGCCAAGCGTGGGCATGATGGTGCCCAGGACGATGATCGAAAAGTACTGGCCAAAGACCTGGTCGCCCGGTTTGGTTGCAAATCGGGAGTAATCGGGCTGATTGGTAAGTCCGACCGCGATGCTGCCAATCACGGTTGTTACGCCGCTCACGATGGACCACCCCAGCTCGCTGGACGAGGTTACAGTCGACGGCTGTTTAAGGAGTGGGCCGGCGCCTTGGGCGGTGACCAAGGCCCAGATTGTCATCGCAAGAAGCGTGAGGAAGGAGACGATGTTCATGACGTAGAAGAGACGCTTGGTCTTTTCCGGGGGGAAGTAAAGGATTGGAATGGTGAGCACATTGTAGATAACCCAGCCGATGAACTGCTTGGTGGTCAGGTTCGACGACGCCGGAAAAGTATTCTGCAGGTTATGGAAGCCCGAGAAGATGGCCCCGAGCATGGCGGTCACGCATAGGCCGCCGGTCCACGACTGCACGGCAAACCACACGACAGACAGCAGAATACGCTGCAACAGGGCCAGATACGAGCCGTATATACCCCAGACCACGCGGGAAAAGACAGGAAAGCCAATGTGCCATTCAGCGCCCACGAAGCCGTTGAACACGGCGACAGCGGCAATGATGAGCTTGCCGATGATCACGGCGATGACGGTCTGCCAGACACTCAGACCGATGGCGACGAGCGACGAGCCGACCTGCCAATTGCTCAGTGCGATCTGGTTGATGGCCCAGAAGGACAGGAAGGCGTAGACATTCCATGTGCGGCGGTGCGGAGGCAGGGGGCGAATGTCATCGTTGATCCAGACGGTCGAGATGGTCTCCTTCGACGTCGGCACGTACAGACGCTCGACGAAGCGTTGAAACGACATGGCAGGGCAAGCGAGCGACGGGGGATGCGCGTGTCGAGGTCCGCCGGACGTCGTTGTCGTCGTTGTTCGTCGTCGTCTCGGTCGGAGGAGACGGCGAAGCGAGCGAGCGAGCGAGGGTTCAGGGGGAGACGGGACAGAAGGAAGATTGCGCGACGGCGCAGGAATTGGGCGGCGCGGCGGGCCGTTATTAATCACACGCGGTCGCCTCTCTGGCCCTGCAGACAGAGAATTTGGCGCTGGAGGCGAATCCCGAGCGTGCGGACGGCAATGCTAATGCTCGTCGTTCCAGCGCAGCACGGCTGGCTGCCGGGTGGGAAAGTCAGATAGCTAACTAGTTAGGCGAACTGTTTCTGAGTTTTGCGGGGGCGGCGGTGTTGTTTCTCGTGGAGATTAGCCGGGAGGTCTATCTGACGGTGTTTTCTATCAGGCCGGCGAGCTAGTGCGCACGGCTTGCTGGCGACGAGACGGCTGGCTTGCACCGTTCTCGCGTGTCGCGAGGCTGGGCCGGGTAGAGAGGGCGCTGTGTTGCCGCAGAGCCGTGGCGCCTGGGGTTCGCGAAGATACCCACGGATGGGCCTCAGCGGCGACGGCGGGCGCGTGTGGGTGGCGCGACACAGCTCCACCGGCGGGCGACGCTCCCGGCGCTGCATGCAAGAGCGCCCGACAAGGCGAGGATGCCCTGGACTGCTCAGTAATAACATATAGTTAGTGCACGCCAACCTGCGGCCGCGCATCCTCATCTTCCTGTGGCCGCAGAATTCTCCGTCGCCGCCTCGCTGCTGCCGTATTTGGCTAGCGCCCGCCGCCCCCCCTGAGCCGCCTCGTGACCCCCCCGTGACCGTGCCGAGCCTCTCCCGCGGCTCCGCACAGCCTCGGCGCAACCCGGCCGGCCGGCGCGCACGTTGACTGGTGGACTCTGGCGGCTGGGCGGGGCTGCGCCCAAGCGCGGGTAGCACGTGCTGGATAGCCAATCGGAGGCGCGCAAGGCCGGGCGCCTGCCTCGTGGTGGCGGCCGCCGTTGGCATCGCATCTGCAGCGTGACGAGCAGCCATGCGCCGGCTGCCCGGTGTCCTCCCCCAAACTGTGTGGCATCTCCGACCACCGCGCACGCCCGATTGGGCCGGATGTGACCGCAGAGGGCGTCGTCTGCCTGCAGCGGGTCCCTTGGTCCGACCCCTGTTGCGGGAAACGGCTGCGCAGTTCCAGCGCAAAAGAGGCGTCGCGGGGCCGACGGTGTCGCAGGCTATAGGCTAAGACTTTATTTTTTTTTATGCTCTGCTGGACGTGCGCATCTACGTGGCCGCCGATCGGGAAACCACCCGCGTAAGCTCAGAGCGGGGGAATCGCCCGTCATAGTATATAGGTAGGCTCTTCCTTGCGGCCGCTTTCTTGGGCGCGACGGTTCTCCTCCCACCTTAACGCCCCCAGCACGGCCGATCGACGCCTCTCCTCCTCGCCCACCATGGCTTCTACGACCCCGTACCGCATCGGGGTGGACGTCGGCGGCACCAACACCGACTCCGTGATCCTCGACACCCGCGCCACGGCCTCGTCCTCGCGTGGTGTCGTCGCCTGGCATAAAACCCCCACCACCAGCCCCAATGTCACCGACGGCATCGAGATCGCCGTCCGCGCCGTGCTGGACCAGTCCTGCGTCGACCGCCACGAGATCGCCTGCTTGACCATCGGCACCACCCACTTCATCAACGCCATCGTCGAGCATGACGCCCGCCGCCTGTCCAAGGTCGCCATCATCCGCCTCTCCCGCTCCTTCACGCGGGAGGTCCCGCCCTTCTCCGACTTCCCCTCCGCTCTCAAGGCCATTATGAATGGCTACTACTGCTATGTCGACGGTGGCCTCCACATTGATGGCTCCCAGGAAGCCCCTGTCAACGAAGCCCAGGTCGTCAAGGAATGCGCCGTCATCCGAGAGAAAGGCCTCGACGCTGTTGTCATATCTGGTGTCTTCTCCCCCATCGACGACCACTTCCGCCAGGAAGACTTCGTGCGACAGATTGTCCGCCGCGAGCTCCCGAACGTCGACATCGTCTGCTCGTCTGAGGTGTCCCAGATCGGCTTCCTCGAACGAGAAAACGCTTCGATATTAAATGCCTCCATTCTGAAGTTTGCCAGAAGAACCATCCGCGGCTTCAAAGATGCCATGAAGCGCTTAAATCTCACCTGCGCCTTATACCTCACCCAGAATGACGGTACTCTCATCGATGCTCCCTCCGCCGCCCGCCTTCCCATCCGTACCTTCTCGTCCGGTCCTACCAATTCCATGCGGGGCGCTGCATATCTTGGGTTGAGTGGTGCATCTGAAGAACAAGGAGAGAAGACAGCGACTATCGTCGTCGATATTGGTGGCACAACTAGCGATGTTGGCGTCCTGCTCCCGTCTGGCTTCCCGCGTCAAGCGTCGGCATATGTCACCGTTGCAGGCGTGCAGATCAACTTCAGCATGCCGCACCTCGAATCCATTGGCCTTGGTGGTGGCTCTATTGTTCGCACCGATGATGGCAAAGTGACTGTCGGCCCTGACTCCGTTGGCCACTATCTCAGCACCAAAGCTAAGGTCTTTGGCGGAGACGTTCTTACTGCAACTGATATTGCAGTGGCTGCCGGCGAGAAAATCGGAAACCCAGACCTCGTGAAGGATATCGATGATACCACTATCGCCAAAGCCAAGGCGCGCATGAAGACCATGCTGGAAGGCGTTGTTGACCTAATGAAAACCTCACCTGCCCCATTGCCTGTACTTCTCGTTGGTGGCGGCTCTGTCATCGCCCCTACAGAGCTAGACGGTGTTTCAAAGGTCATCTGCCCGCCATATCACTCCGTTGCAAACGCTGTAGGAGCAGCAATGTCCAAGGTCGGAGGTACCGTCGATATGATCCAGAGCACTGAAGAGAGAACCATCACGGAGGTAGTGGAGCATGCAAAAGAAATGGCTATAGAGCGAGCCGTGGTATCTGGCGCGCTCCGCGAAACTGTATACCTCGCAGAGGTCGATGCTATCCCCTTACAGTACGTTGCTCATCAAGTGCGTGTCATTGCCCGTGCTGTTGGTGAGCTCTCTCCAGCTGGTGTTCCCATGACGAATGGCGCACACCCCGAGGATGAGAGTACGGAGGATGCTATCTATCAAGAGGAGTCGAAGAGGGACGCCCACGATGATGAAACTGACCCTGCAGCTGTTGATGCCGCATCGTACAGACCTACAGTAATCAAAAACCCCAACACAGGTGTGCAGGAATGGATACTCTCAGAGGTGGACCTTAAGTGGCTCGCAGATGGCTGTTATGTTCTGGGATGTGCGGGCGGCGGCTCACCGTTTGGCGAATATATCCGCCTGAGAGATCAGATAAGAGAGGGCCATAAAATACGGGTAATAGATGCATCGTCGTTGAAAAAAGATGCTGTGATTTACTGTAAGTTTCGAGTCTGTGGTGTCTATCAAGTTTATCCATTGTTAACATCGTGGATAGGGGGCGGCCATATGGGATCTCCAGCTGTCTCTGTGGAGCGTCTAGCTAGTGATGAGACTGAGCAAGCATTCTTGGACCTGATGGAATACCTTCACCATGATTCATTTGACGCTGTAATGGGCCTGGAGATTGGGGGTGCCAATGGGCTGGTTCCATTAGCCCTGGCATCTTCCAAGAACCACGGCTGCCCGATGGTTGACGCAGATTGGATGGGTACGTAGTTCCCGCTTATTAGAAGTTGCCTTTCAACATAGATTACTGACAAACATTGCAGGACGTGCATATCCAACCTACTGGCAAACTACTCTATGTGTCTATGAAGAAAGCCAACTTGTCCCATGCGTTATTGCCTCTGGTGACGGTAGAACCATAATGATGACGAAAACTACGGATGACGAGATAGTCGACAGGGCTCTGCGAGCCTCTTGCTCTGAAATGGGATCAAGAGTCGGCATGGCCGCGAAACCCACCACGGCAGACCGGGTACAAAACTACGGTGTGCTGAATACAGTCTCCCTCGCCTGGCGTATCGGTCGGTGCATTGCTCGCGCGCATGCCAGCAACACCGTCAACACTGTTGCGGAGCAAATGATCGAGGAGGTTGGCTCCAGCGCAGCAAGGGTGCTGTTCCGTGGTAAAATCATTGCCGTTGAACGTCGCCTCTTCAAGGGGCATTCATACGGTGAAATAACGATTCAACAGACACAGCAGTCAGAAGAGGAACAATCGAGCAGCAATAATGCCGATGCCGTGGCCGTTGGCGGCGTCCTCAAAATTCCCTTCAAGAACGAAAACATTTATGCTAAACACATTTCGGAATCAGGTGAAGAGAAGTACATCGCCATGGTGCCGGATCTGATCTCTGTTCTGGACACCCAATCCGGCAAGGCTCTTGGTGTGCCTGAATTCAGGTACGGTGTGATGGTCACAGTGTTGGGCATTACGTGCTCTCCTCGCTGGACGGACACGCCGCGTGGCCTGGAGCTCGGTGGACCCGTGGCGTTTGGCTATAAGAAGATCGAATATAAGCCCCTGGGGACATATGTTGAGCCGAGGAGCGTAGTAATGGAATTTGCAGACCAGAGCGTCTGATATGAGAAAAAAGCGTTTGTTGGTTTCGGATGCTTTCTAAAGATACCCCTGGTATTTATTTGCATTTAATAATAACTATTTTATACCTGTATATATGTACATATTTCTTCAATAGCATAAATACTACCCCTTCATGTTCATGGTAAATGAACTGAGCGACAAGCTTTGTAGTGACCCTCAATAACCAGCCAATTCCAACAACCCCCTATAATTATAGAACACAACTTAGAAGTATAAACAGCACATATTATAGTGAAAGTATACCCCGAAAGATGAGAGCATTAATAGCATAACGATTGCGAATCGAATTATACGAGGGTTTGCAACTCGGCTGAACGGGTAGCTGCCCTTAGCACCGTGTGGTCTAAAAGAAACATCTCTCATGTATGTTGTTCATCAGCTGATAGAAAGGAGAACGGAGAGCGCCGCCCTGAAACGTGCCGTGACAGCCTTCAGAGACCCTCCTACAACGTTGAAAAATCATCGAATGTTCAGTAACGAAATTACTAGCACTCTAGGGTTACTCTGGTACCTCTCCCTTGCTATTAATAGAGCCACTCGACAATGAGTATGGTTGTTAATACTTGGGCTATGGGGGTTTATTATATTGTTGGTCACTGTTAGGTTTAGAAGGGCCAGAGGCGAAGTAGACGTATATCTTGATCATTTTGCTCCATTCTTATATCTTCTTCTAGGGCCTCATTAAGTTACATTCACAATGATCTCAAATTCTTCCAATCCTTTCAATTGATTATAACCGTTTAATAACTAGCGTGCCTAGTATGCTTAATAGATGGTTCCTCCTTCGAGTCCCACAGCTTTGTAGTAGCTGCATCCTCGAAAGTTATATTTCACACAGATAAATCTGTCGCAGTGCTAACCACTTAGCCAAAGGATGATCTGACTGGCAGTGTCAATCATTAATAAATTGAGTGGCGCGTATATGAATTACTGGGTACTTGTCCAAGGAGCGGTTATCCTAAAGAGAGTTTCAACATGTCTCGTGGGCCAGACTGCCAGGGGAATGTAAAATGGAAAATCTGTCCTGTGTTGCTTTGTGAACATTGGACGCGTAATTCGGTGAATGAAGTGCTCGGTGCCCAAGCCTCTCGTAACGAGTTAGCCCCGTACCTTCACTTTCAAAATGTTGTGCATCCCGGGCAAAAGCTGCAGAATTGGTCTGCAGAACTCAGGCTGCATACGACTATCATGAATAATAAAAATAATAAGAGACTATATTCGCTCTTAGTTGACGAATATTATTGTTAGTTCCTGAATTATTTTGTTGAGCGCATATGTAGCCATCCTTTCAAGGGTTGGTATATATTTTTCTGGCCGCTGAACATGAACTTTGTGGAGTCAAATTCTTAAGTTTCAGTAAATCATTAAGTGCAGCCTGTTACTCAAAAAGAAATCCACTTGTGGAAGTGTCACTGTGTATAAGCTGCCATTATACCAGTAGTAGTCTCCAATGTGCTTCTTTCAATTATTCAGGCCATCGCCTCATTCTTCATCAAAATAAGCTTACTATGAAATGCCAATACTACCGAACGGGATCTCTGGCCCATCCACGTGGCATAATTCATTTTGTAACTTGATCTATTTGCTTTGTTCGACGTGTTCAGTGGGTTTGATTGAGAAAGAGACAAAGCGGATTGGATATGGACGGGTCAGATAATTGAAGGCAAGATGAGGGTAACAGTCCTTGTCGCTAAGCAAAAAGGATGACCACTTGAGGATCTTCGGACCTAAATCAGTACTGTTGTTGTTTTCTTGACTGCCAAGTAAGAAAGTTGAGGAAAATGTGTGACGAGGGTAGACTTAGAGGGATGGTGCTGGGGGGATGGAAGAAAGAGGAAAATAAGAAAGGAATATAAGATATGGGAAGTGATGTTACTAGTTATCAGTGACTAGATTGAGAATTGCTCAAAAATTGTCGATTAATGCTATACTCGGCGGGGCTGGCGACTAATCACAACCAGTAGGTAATAGATGAAGGCTATCTGGCCTACCTGTCTTCGCTGTGGACGGTGATAACAGCCCGGTGATATTAAATGTTAAAACGGAGACGGAAAGGAAGAATAAGAACTGTTTAGACATCCGCGGGGTACAGTAGGAGGTATATGGTTAAGCAATATACTTGTCCGTTTGTTACCCCCCCTACCTCTAACCAGGGGTAGGATATTTCGAAGTCGAAGCCCTGAATATCTCTGGGAAATGTTGTACAGCCTCGACCCCGATAAAGTCAAAAGGAGTCTGGACAAAGGTCCATTGGCATGCTATTTTGGGCGGCACATAGACAGGTGAAATTTGAACCCATGCAGTGGATTTCAAACGTTGTGGATCAAATATAGAAAACATGGGAATCCTTGTCCATATTGAGGGAGGGAATGGGATGTCTTTTTCTCCTTTCACACATCCCACGGTTCCAAAATGATATGCAAAGAAGATCCTTTCGAAAGTTTCGCAGACTGATATTCGAGTGGAAACTTTCAGCAGCCGCGTATCCACTCTATCGACGTTTCAGATTATAAATTTAGGCTGGAACACGTTATAACCTGGCTGGGAATTTGTAAAGACCAAGTATGTCTCCCAAAGAACCTCATTTCTGACCCACATTGACTAGGTGGCACGGATGAGTTTCTTGTGCCGGGGCCTACAGGCAACTGGTCGGTATTATGATGTGGTCAGCCTGGAGCTTGATAGGTATTGTGATGCTATGGAGAGAGCGCACGGCTATTGAGAGCAGCCGAGAACATGGAATGGTAGGTTTGTGTTAGAGACGTTAATCAGTAGGGAGCCTACCACTTTCAAAGCATAGAAGATTTTCAGCCCCACAAGCAAGGTGAAACAGCGGCAGACTGCAACTAAGGATTGCCCGTTGTTACCTTTCAATTCTCCGATCAGTTTCAAGAGGACTCTCTGGAGTGAAACAATTCGTCAGTCTCCTGCTGAGGGTAAAGAAGTATATTGAGTCTAGAATGCAAGCTAGTGGAACTGTTTGTATAGTTTTGCCTCTAGCCAAACAATTTCGAGATTACCCACAGCGGCCAAAAGCCGAAAATATCGAGAATTTGAGCAATGCGGTTCGTGAGAGCATGTCGGCCGACGTGATCGACATCCGCGCAGTGAATTTGGTTGAGCTTGGCATCGCTTAGTAACAGGATCTCTGTTTGCCAACGCAAGACTAACTATATTTAGTTTGGACTTTGGGGGTCGAAGCAAATTTTCTGAGGTGACGTCAGCACTCTCGGACCGGATCAACTTTAGTCAGGTACTAAATCCGCGCTAGTATGATACAAGACTAGCGCTATTACTGCCTTGGCACTTCGTTCGTACTCTTGATGATCGCGGTGTGCTGCCACATTCCAATCGCCACGTCACCCCGGGAATATGCCTGATGCTCTCTCGGAGAGCATGACTCGTGCTGGTTACTGGAGGTCCCAGCTCAAAATGGATTGCTTGTGTGTGTTACGTGATAACGATCGGCTCTGGACCAATTGCCCCCCAGCAGAGCCCAGTCTGTGGTATGATTTCGAGCGCAGGTTTTTGGGCTGCTTACACCTGGCTCCGAAATAGCTCCAATGGGCATGGCTGATTATTTCTGATAGCAGCTAGACAATGTGGCGTCTGATCGTTTTGAGTTCCAAACTCGAAACAACTTCTTGCCTGACGTTCAAGGGGCTGCCCCCTAAGCATCAAACAGGTGGCTTTAGTACTCTACTAGTGCACACAGTTTACTTGTAGATCGGAAAAGAAAACGGGCTGGCATCTGACTCTGGATCTTGAGGAAGCTGGCTACGTACGATGTCGCCGATTTTCTTCCTGCAGGACAAAATGAAAGCACTTGGCTGTGAAACACATCGGAAATGCCGAAGTTGGAGTTGCTATCGCCTTCGCAACTTGCGATCCGAGCTGCATATTCCTCGACTCGTGAACTGGGTATCGATTGTTTCCCCGACACGGGGTAGGCCGGCCAGACCATACTAGGACTTGCCATCCAATGCCATTTGGGGCTTGGCTGCCCGTTTCTGTCTAAGACCGTTTGCACCGCGAACCAGCCTACGGGCACTGTTACACAGGGCTTTCAGAACCTCAGAGGGTTGGGGACAAGGTGGAAAGTAGACACCTTCCATTTGGTACATGCAATCGTGATTTTCCAACAACTCCTTGGCATGGCGCGTTGCTTCCGCATACGGAGCGTCGTGTGATCGAGATTTGGAAGGGTATGCAGTGTCAGCTATGCGAGTGCGAGACTCGCCAAATACGAAGTGACAGCTTGAAGTCGCACGCGGACATGGCTGGCGATTTGTCCCAAACATACGGATACGTCGCTCAAAGATCATATCCTTAAGCACGGTACATATCAAGGATGAATTGCCAGTATGCAGACATGTATGTACATATATACCTTTGCTTTCAAGACCCAGGCCCCTGAGCGCGTCGTTATGGACGTCGGTATGGCTTGGACGCCGTTAGGCTCCGCAAGGTCCCACATGCAGCTCCAATGCACCCTGACCGAAATACCTTCGGGTCAACCATGGGGCCATCTACCTTCTACTAGAGGATTTTGAATCAAAGCAAGGAACGTTACACAACTGAGGCACATTTTTTAGCCGAAGGATCAATCACAAGATGGCGCGCAGGGAGCAGCAGGGCCGTGACTCAGCGGGCCTCGAGACTCTCGCGGTTTTCTTGGGAGGAAGAGCACGGTACGCCGCTGGCCGTGACGATACAATGCAGGTTTGAGCAGTAGGCAGGCGGCGTCAAGCCGTCTATCAGGGCTCCAGCCAACCAACGCTCGCCCGCGTAATCGTCAATACCGTTACCGCCGGCATTCTGGCCGGCCGCCCATGGCCCGTAAAATTACGATTAGCCGCGTATGCACGCTGTCTCGCCGCGACGTCCCCCACGCCCTCCGGTGGAGCGCCACCCGTCACGGCTGGTAAGGTGCGGAGAAACCGTATCCCCGCCCCGTCAGCCCTGTTTATCAAGCTCGCCTCCAGTTCGTTATCTCCCTGTTCCGAACACCACGACTCACCCTGGCCTCCTGATAGACGGCCGTCCTCTCGCGACCTTACCCACAGTGCCTACTCTCTGTCTTCGGTGCTGCGTGATGATCCAATGCTCTTGTTTCCGTCAGATCACCCGTCCTGAAGCTTGTCCTTCAACCGCGTGTCAACCCTTATTCATTGCTGGCCGTCCCCGCATCTCTCCCGTGCGACCTTGTTGTTTATTGTTCTAAATATTGCCAGCCGCGGTCTTCTGCGACGTTTGTCTCTGTTCTGATAACCCGAGCTCTGCCCTGGCCGAGGATTCTGTGTTGCCCACAGTCCTCATGAACGGCTCCCCTGTGTTCGTCCTTTGCCACTGAGGGGAGTCCCGCCTTGGGCATTTGTTGCTTTTCCTCTGCCGTTTATTCAATGTCGAGGACCTCCTTCTTCCATTTCGGTTCCTCTCTTCATTCTGGGCATGGAAACTCTCCGAAAACCATCCCCCGCTTCGTTATCGGATCGCGTTTCGGGTCGCGATGTGCCAGGCACAGTTCAAATCCAAAGCTCTGCTCGCCACAGTCCCGTCGAATGTCTCTCAAAACAGAGTAATATCAACGGGGCGAATGCGACGAAGCCAAAGCAGTCTAAGAGCCGTAACGGTGCGTATTCTGTTCTTCGCTCGACAAACCAGTCACCAGTTGTGTAGAGCCGCTTGATTTCGCTGGCTAATATGCGAGTCATGTGTAGGATGTGCGACCTGCAAGTTGAAGAGGTTAAAGTGTGACGAAACTAAGCCTATATGCCAGCAATGCCAAAGACGGAATGTTACTTGCGGGGGCTATAAAAAGGACTATAAATGGAGGTCGTTCGAAGAGTCTAGTTTCACAAATAAAGCAGCAAAAGGGAAGAAAGGTTCGTCTATCCGTGTATTCTATGTCAGCTTCTTTTAATCACTAATTTGATTGCCACTTGTTCTTCAGTACCCATAGTCGCACCGCCAGTTACAGAAAAGAAGGATTTTTTCCCCATATCAGCCTCATCAAGTCCAGAAAATTCAGCATGGACAACTGAACTTAAGAAGGCTCGAGCCAGGATTCCTGTACCGAAGCCTACCGGTCCTAAATCATTGGAGATTATTTCACAAAGCCCGGCCAACTTTATTCCGCCGTTTGTTAACCCTCATGAAATTCTTGCAGATAAATACGATGGGAATTCATTTTCAGCCCCTCCAAATGTTGCAGTGAATTCATCCGAATCCAAAGATAACGCACTTTTTGATACATATACATCATTCGCTCACGACAATCTGACAGACCGACAGCCTAATTTCTCGGCTTATACCAAGAGCAATGACAGTGAGATAGAAGAAATTGTTCAACAGACTGGTTTTGGATATGATGGAATGGGCTGGGTTGATTCTGTATTGCCACATATTAACTCAAGGCCACAATTAGGCCTCACAATGGCGCAGGAACCGACTTTATCACCCGGAAGTTCCGAAATGCTTCTCATGAGCTTCGACCGGAGGACATGTGGCATATTATCCGTGAAAGACGGTGTCTCGGAGAACCCTTGGAGGACGCTGATATGGCCTTTGGCAAAGGAATCACCCGCACTATATCACGCTATCTGCTGTCTTGCAGCCTTTCATTCCAGTAAAGAGGACGCGCAGCTCCGGTATACCGGAATGGACCACATGCGCCAGAGCATTCAATCACTCGCTAGGAATATAAGAACTATGAGAACGGACGCTGCTTTGGCTACCACTCTTGCTCTCACTTTTGCAGAGTCGTGGGACCGACAAGTATCTAATGGTATTCAGCATCTTCGTGGCGCGAAAATCCTTGTCAACCAAGCTCTAGAGGACCAACGGCACGTTTCAATCCGACGTAGTGACTTTGCACGGTTGCGGTTCCTCTACAATGCCTGGATTTATACGACAGTTCTTGCTCGCCTAACCTCGCTTAACGACAGCGGGTTTGATGAAATACCATGGCCTCGTGAGTTATCGCCTACCGCTTGGGTTCATGAAATCGACCCCTTACTCGGCTGTGCGGCTACATTATTTCCTCTTATCAACAAGGTCGCCCACCTTGTGCAGAAAGTCTGTAAAAGCAGAACAAACTCTATTGCCATAATATCAGAGGCCATTGAACTGAAAACCTTAGTTGAACAATGGGAGCCTCCCACGTACTTTGAACCTCCTGAAGATCCAACATCGGATGTCCAACATAGTTTTCAAACAGCCCAAGCGTACCGTTGGGCAACATTGTTACATCTACATCGTGCTGTTCCGGAAATACCTTCAGAATCCGCAAGTGAATTGGCAAAACGCGTTCTTGTACAATTAGCAACAGTGCCTCTGAGCTCCCGGACAATAGTGATTCAAATATATCCTCTGTTGACTGCGAGCTGCGAAGTCGACAGCGAAGAGGATAGAATGTGGGTAAGGGAGCGCTGGGCTGCGATGCAAGCGAGATTGAAGATCGGCAATATTGACCGCTGCTTGGAAGTAATATATGAAGTTTGGTCTCGTCGCGATGACTGTTACCTTGCAGCCCTAAATGGCCAACGCTTTTCGTTTGTTAGACCAGTGGATCCCACCAGAAATGAAAACATCCAAGGGGATGCAATAGAGGATGGCCTTGAAGGTTTAGGCTTTTTTGATCCCCAAACAAGGCCAGAGTCGGTAGTGGAAGCACCAAGCATAGCATTTGGTTCGCCACCCGCGTCATTAGCTTCTCCAGTACGAGGCAGGCGGGAATCCGCCAGTGTGTCCATGAACTCGGATTTCGAAAAAACTGTTAGGGGAAGAACTCATTGGCTGGGAGTGATGAGGGACTGGGACTGGGAAGGTAAGTGATTTGCTCCTGTGACCTCAGTAGTTCTCATTAAACTGATACATTCCAATATTAGTGCTCCTGGGATAGCATCCCGTCAGATCCGTATGCAATTGTGCCTGGCATCTATAGCCTTGGCCATTGGAAATCGCTTTCGGCTTATCTGTGCCAGCGTTGTATATTTGTCATCGCTTTACCTTGCCTGCTTCCAACTTTGATTTATCACAAGGCGTTAGCCCTGCAGCAACTGCCCTGTCATAAAACCCTGTTGTGATACCCCTTTCTTCTCGTATCAACGTCGCCCATGACCAATTCATAATTCTCTAGCTTCTTCGTCGTCATCACAAACATTGTCATCGTTCCGCGGGCACCTCGGCTCCTGGCTTATTATTGCTCAATATACCCAAGATTTTTTAACTGCAATTTGCTTCTTAATTCTGACTGATATCTGTTTGATCTCTCGCTGCCGCTTTTGCATTAGTCCTTCCCTGTACCTACACCTGTACATGTATCACACATCAATAACTCCTTATGCCCTGCAAATTTCTCCCTCTCATGCTGGTTTCTAACTTTGGGTCTTTCGGCTTTGCGTTTATGTATCTGCTTATTTGTGTTATCGATGGAGTTTCTTTCACCTGGGAGCCGTCGGTGCATTGATGGCTGTAATGATGATAGCCCTTGAATTTCTCGAGGATTGGATTTATGCTGTTCTATTTGAAGGATACATTGTTTAATGTTTGCATTTTGGAAGGGTTTGTCTGTTCTTTTTGGTTGTATTTCTGGAACCCAAAAAAAAAATTGACTGTCAAATTGGAAATGAAGAGTAAGAAGAGTTAGAGTGCGTACTGACTTACCGTCCATGACGCAATTGGTTCACCCGAAAAGGATTTCATATTTCACAATTCCTTTATAGGGTTTCTGAATGGCCCTCGAGTGTTTATGAGGTCAGTAGTGAGTCTCTATAGGCAGCAGGTACAGAGCTATATATAAATCAAGAAAGCGCAATACTTTTCTAGCCTGCAAATGTGCATGTCACCCTTGCAGCCGAGCTGGAAGGGTTGTATTTAACTTAATGCATGGGCCTGTGAAGGATTGCCTTGCCTATTACAAGGATATTCCGAAAAGAGGAAAGAGAAACGCAACTACATATATGGGAGTAGATATGTCGTAATCGGGAAGCATGAGCACGACATTGTTTGATATATACTCTGTACTATGGCCGAGACACACCTGGCAGCTGCTTTTCCTGAAGAGTTGCGGGCGGGTGGCCGGCCAGCCTAACAGGATGGGCTGTATTTCGGTTTCTTATGCCGAATATGTCTTTTGCTAGAGCATCCACAGTCGGCATCGGAAAAGGCAAGGTTTTCAAGGGTCATGTATTTATCCGTATACAAACCTAGCCTTTTCTAGAAACAAAAAACCAAGTCCAAGTCATTAAAGCACGGTTTCTAGAAGCGACTCGCTTTCCTTTCACGGCAAACTTATGGCGGTATTAGGAGCATTTTCAAAGTCAAAACGGCGTGGGTTCTTGAGTTAACTAAAATAACCAATCCGAAAGTCCGACGGGCATGCTCCCTATAGGTTTCTCAGGATGTGCGAGCCACCGCGATTGTTTTTGTAACCGGCGGCGCGAGCAGCGAGTTTCAGTGACCTTCAGCCATCGGCGGGTTGATACTGCGATAACCTTCTGGCGACGTCACGTTAACGCAAAGCGGATAAGCTATGCGGCGCTTTACCGGAAGCGGATAATTTATCCCGCGCCGCCTGGAACGTCTCGACTGAGAAAGAAAAGGGAAAAAGGGGGAGAGAGCAAAGAGAAGAAGAACCCATGGGCGAGCTGGCGATGGCTGCTTGTCAATCGCCACGTCAGTGCAGCAGCACTCAGCAGTGCGGAAGACCCAGCATTGAGCCCCGGGGAAGGCGGGGATACACGCCGGCACTGCCCGGGCGGCTTCAAAACTCTCGATATCCAGTCTTCCCCCTCTTTGGAGCATGGGAACCGTGCGGGGAAGCTGGTTTGGCGGGAGCCAGCAATGGTGGCCCGCTAGTACGGCCCTCAGTTCCCAAAAGGCAGTATATATAGGGAGACCGTCCCACTGACGAGACATGCATCTTTGGCCCGTCTAGCGAATCCAACAGCATCGCAACCTAACCTCCAAACTGACACTATCGCGTGGCTGATATATTATATCCTTACCATCAAAACAGTCTCCAGCATCGCCATCATGGCTTCTCCAGTCGCAATGAAACACTATGCCAAAGCTCAGTCTGAATTTAAACTACCGCTGATTGCTAACGACAATGCCTTCCTCGCGGATGTATTTTCCAGGTAACTGTGTGATGTTTGTGCGTTGAACTCCAGCGTGTCCTGATCGCAAGGTGTAGTCAAGCCGAGAACCCAGAGAAGCCGATATCCGCCGGCTTCTTTCGAATCGAAAAAGGAACCCCTTTGGTCTATACCTACACCTACGACGAGATGAAGGTGATCGTGGAGGGTGAGATGGAGATAGCGGATGCTACGGGCCAAAAGGCCTCGGCTCGACCCGGGGATGTTTTCTACTTCCCCAAGGGCACAGTCATCACCTTCACCACTTCGTCGTATGGAGTGGGGTTCTTTGTGAGTTGTTTCCGGGTTCCTGACGTCAACATCTCGCGTCTGACTGATAGCACAGACGGGACAACGAGCAGAAGGCGGCGCATGACGGATCGGGGATATGACCGGGCTCGAGTGCGGGTACCTGGTGCCGTAGACCTGGTTCGCTGCATAGTTACCCGCAAGGTTAGCTTATGACATATAGCACTCTTTAGAACAATAGCAATCTTAAGACAATCTTCCCGTGGGGTACCCGGCTCAAGCCCGGCGACTTGGCCAGGGAATTTCTTTTTCCAGCCTAATTGCCCTCCATCGCCAGATCGCCCGTCAAGCTTGGGCGGCGTGAAAGCGTAATGTCGCGAAAGGTTCGCCGGGGCGGCGCCCACAGCCAGCCCTAGCGCTGACTCAGCGGTGTTGCTGCAGCAACCAGCCCGCCCGACATCATGGCGGCGCCGGCCAGCCAGCCAGCCAGCAACCACACGCCAGACGCTGCATCCTCACCGCGTTCTCTCTGCATATCTTGTCACCGCTATTTGTACATTTCCCACATCTCTCCCTTGCTGATTTGCTACTCTTGACCCTTCTCGCTGCGAGCAACCACGCAACTGTCCCGTGATAGCGGGGTCAACCCCTACACCACTGCTCTCCCCTGGACAGAGGACCGTGAAAGACACGCACACGCGGTAAGACGGGTGCCGGCAGCATGGCTGCGAACACGCGAACACAACCTCCACTCAGAAAACAGGAGTTTAAATCGCAGATACCGTCGCTCATTCACTCGCGATCTAACAATGAGCTCCACGACCAGCCGCACTCGCCGCAACACTATGGGTTTACAAGCCCACTTCACACCCCTCAGGGCAGCCCCAGCAAAAGCCGTCTCCCTCCCGGAGCAACTGACCTTCCCAGTATTTTCGACAATGCAATGAAACTCAATCCATCATCTCCGCCCAAATCGGTTTTCAATCTCACCAACCTACCTCCAGGAAAAGGGCAGATCAGCGGGGTAGAAGAGTTGGAAACATTTACTGAAAGCGTGATTCATAAAACAACTGCTGCATCCTCCAGCCCTACGCGACGACGAAATCAAGAAAACACGCCGCCAGGTGGTTCACGCGCCGGAAAGGAGCCGGCTGTTGACTCAAACAACCCCGCTGCAGTTTCGCGACATGAAGCTTATCAGAGCAAGGTGCAGCGAGAGCGGAAGAATCCAGCTCAGACGCGAGGCCTGACCACAGAAGAGCTTGAAAAATTACAACTACCAAATGTCCAGCGTATTGCTAACGTCACCCAACTATGTGAGTACTTCTATTTATACTTTCTTGCTGTACCTTGTATTTAATTATGCCTTTTGCTTTGTAGATTTCCTCGATCATTATTTTGACCTCCTAAGCTATGTCCATAATCGACAGACGCGTCAAGCCCAATTTAAAACCGCCTATCCTCCTCCTCCTCTCACCTCACGCGCTGAATACGAATCTGCTTTACAGAAATACCTTGGCAGGGAGCGTGCTCATTTGCGCAAAAGAAGAACGAGGCTTCGCCATGCTGATTTTCAAATTCTCACCCAAGTTGGTCAAGGTGGATACGGCCAAGTCTATCTCGCACAGAAAAAAGATACACGCGAGGTGTGTGCCCTAAAGGTTATGAGCAAGAAGCTTCTGTTTAAGCTAGATGAAGTGAGGCATATATTGACTGAACGGGATATTCTTACTGCTGCGAAGAGTGACTGGCTGGTGAAGTTGTTATACGCTTTTCAAGATGACGAGAAGATATATTTGGCAATGGAATATGTTCCAGGAGGTGACTTTCGCACCCTACTCAACAATGCCGGTGTCCTTCATAATCGTCATGCACGCTTCTATATCTCAGAGATGATTCAGTGTGTTGATTCTCTGCATGCGCTTGGCTATATTCACCGAGATCTCAAGCCGGAAAATTTTCTGATTGACTCCACCGGTCATGTGAAGCTGACTGACTTTGGATTGGCGGCTGGGATGCTCAGTCCCGGAAAGATTGAGTCTATGAGGATCAAGCTAGAGGAAGTTGGTAAGACTTCTGTCCCGTTTGGCCGTCCCATGGGTCAACGCACGGCTGCGGAAAGACGAGAGGGATATCGCACGCTCAGAAAGCGTGAAGTTAACTATGCAAAATCGATTGTTGGATCCCCTGATTATATGGCTCCAGAGGTCCTCAAAGGAGAAGAATATGATTTTACAGTTGACTACTGGAGCTTGGGCTGCATGCTGTTCGAAGCTTTAGCTGGATACCCACCTTTTGCCGGTGCCACTGTTGATGAGACTTGGCAGAATCTTAAACAATGGGAGCAAGTTCTTCAGGAACCCGTATACGACGACCCTGCGTATTTTCTATCAAGACGCACATGGGATTTGATCATCCGACTTGTCGCTGCAAAGGAGCGCCGTTTCAAGAATATTAAAGAGATTCATATGCACGAATACTTCCTAGAAGTTGACTTCAACAAGCTGCGTGATATGCACCCTCCATTTGTTCCCGAACTGGATTCTGAAACAGACGCTGGCTACTTCGATGACTTTGGTAGCGAGGCGGACATGGCAAAGTACAAGGAAGTTCACGACAAACAAAAAGCCCTGGAGGATATGGCAGAAAGAGACGATAAAATGAGTAAGAGCTTGTTTGTTGGATTTACTTTTCGGTAAGTGCTGCCGTGCGACGCTTTCACCGTTCCACAACTAATCCTCGCACATAGGCATCGTAAACCCGCAACGGGAACAGAGGGACGAGCCAATAGTCCTCGAAAAGCGATTCCAACAGATGGCTCTTTTGGTACAATTTTTTAAAGCATCTTGTTTCACCTTTCTTTTTTGCCTTGCACGTTCATCCCTTTCCTCTGTTTTTTGATTCATGCATCGCAGTTTTCAAGCCCTCATTCTGATCCCGAGCCGGTTCTCCCCCCTATCTTCAGAAAACAAAAACAAAAATCTCAAATTTCCGTTTTAATCAGTTTTTGCACTCTGCTTTTTCGTCCAGCCATTGATATGAGTATTTTAATGATTTTCGGTCTACACTGCCCCTATTTAACACGCCCGCCTTTCTTCCTAACTGTGGTTCGTCTATGTTGAGTACCTGTCAGAATTACTACGTGTCTGTGTATACCTCACTATTCCTAAAACCATACATCTTCTGTTTCCTTTTCGTTTGTATTCGAATTGGGGGCATAGCAAAGCTCTCATGGTTCTTCCTTCAATATCTATTTCCCTTCCTCCATACCTGCATTCACCCTGTTTTGTTTCGAATCCCGTAAGGTAGACATTAGCATAATATCATGAAAATCGAATGTATCATAAACTATTTGCAGTGTGAAGTGTGGTCAACAACCTGGTCCAGATCTCGTGACGTCATAGTTGACTAGTTGGTGTTATTGGCAGCTTCACCAGGCGACAAACATTAAGGCTTGCTTTGAGTGACCACATCCATCACACTCGCAACGCCCACCATGTTTCGTTTTGTGAGCTGCCTCCCTCCGATAGCATTTTCAACTTAGCACTAACTAAAGCTCATAGCACAAACCGCTTGACGTTGTAACCCTCTTCCACAAACCCTCCCTCCCCACCTCCCTCCGCGCCCTCGCACTCCTCAAGCAAGCATCCGCCAATGCCGCTGAGACTGCCACAACTGACCAGGCGTCTGACCATACGGCGCAAAATCAGCTCGAGCGCAACCGTCGGGAACAATTTGACCTCACGGTCACCGAGGACCCACCAACGCCAGACCAGTTAAAGCTAATTTTTGACTATATGAGGGCGAATGAGAAAAAGGTGGCTCCAAGTGAGCTGGTGGCCGGGGCAAGAGACAGACTAGATGCACTGAAAAGGCTGAAGGAAGATGGATCTACATTTATTAGGCCGGTGGTAAGACACTCGTTCTATTGCTTTCTAGATATGTTGATGGTGGAAGTTGGCTAAATCCCTATTAACAGGTCGTGGATTGGAATAACGGTAAGGCAGGTATGTGTTGTCAGTCTAGTATGACCCATGTCTCTGCCATTGCTAACACTAGTTCTTCTATTCTTTTTTAAGTCTTGGGCACAAACGAGTCTGAAATATTGAGGCTCCTTCGAGAGGAGCCACAGCATACTCCAGATAACACCCCATGAATTTTGTGTATAGCCGGCATTATATTTTAACCTATCTTCTACTTTCTATGTATAATTGATACTCCATTCTGCAATATCAGCTGGTTTTCGGGTTAGTCAGAAATCCCAAGCTGGTATGGTGTCGACGGATCTCTCTTATCTTATTCATATGTATAAGTGGTATACCGGGTATGAATTGCATTGAATACCCTTTTTCAGAGATTTTTCTCTTAGATGATCATGAAATACATATGGATGACTCTAATTTTAACCAGTATCATACAGATCTAGGTGTCTATTACAATCTACAATATATGATACCCATGTCTTATTTTCTATTCCTTTCTTCTTTTATCCTTTTTTCTTCCCTCTCACTATACCGGTCAGCAAAAAGGTCTATATGCCGCCACAACAGAAGAGTATATTTCACGAATTCTTCCATACAATCGACAAGTCGTTCTCTATTACTACTGGGCTTTAGACGCTGACAATCTGGCTGACCCTCGTCGGGAAAATGTGTATATGCTTTTGGAATTGAAGACTGATTAGGAATTGTGAACATTCGCATCCACCGGCCGAGGAGTCGAAGAGAATTCACGGCATTGAATGACTGGGAACCACCGGACACCTGGGCGATGGCAAGGGTACGACCTTGGGTTGGGCGTATACTTCCGGTCGACAACGGTATCCAGTCGATCTGGTTCTTGAAGACGGCTGTCTGGGATGAATGTCAGAGTACAACATCACTCGAACGGGTAGGAGAATTTGGGGAGTCTTACAAGATTTCCATGTTGTTCTGGAGTTACCCATACATGTCCGTCACTCCACATGCTAAGCTTCCGGAGCTCTTGTACCTTGGGGTGATCGTGGTCAACGTCATTCTTAACAGGCAGTCCCTCTGGATTGAAAACACGAACATCACAGTCTAGCCGAAAAAGGATGCGTGCTGCCTCGAAAGCGACCAGGCGTGAATATGATCTTCAGTATTCTCTCAGTTCCGTTCTATACATCGAAATTGGGGGGTTACCTTTTTCTGAGGCTTCCATATAGCACCAAAATTTTCAACCTTTTTCCTTCCGACGAAATCTCCTTTTCTGCTAGATCCATTACATTATCCAGCTCCAGCTGGCTCACCCAGTCCTGTTCAGATTCCGGTAAAATATACGGTCTGTATACTTCGCGGATTCCTGGGTCATCGTCCCTTTCGGCTATACAAAGAGAGCGTACGCTATTCAACGGTGGAGTTGCAGGTCCATTTGGCTCTAAAATTAATGCCCTATCAGTTGAAAAGCCATTTTCGCGGCTGGGATTATTCGTCATATTGACAACTGGAGTAGAATTTGCCATAGGGCTTATATATCTTGAGAGAATGGTCCTCCTTAGTACCCTGGATGTCGTGCGACCACAGCAAATGCGGAGGATTGGGACCATGAGCAATCGGCTTAGCCCCGTCTCTGAAAGGGCTCCCGGGTTATTCACATATTTATTTGCAGAGTGCCCTTGCCTTCACGACGATTGAACAAGATATTCCATGGGCGGCGATGTCACTGGCTCGTATTGATTGGCTGAACCGGGAGGCCCCTGGAGAAAACCTTATCGTTAACTAGGTTGGACCGGCAGGGATGGGCCAGCCGTGGACAATTGAAGAAACAAAGTTCGCCGTGACTTTGTAGTCAAAGTGTGAGCGTAAATAATGGGGCCTTTGGGCGGATGAAGATAGATTAGCATTCGAAGCCATAGCTAGTTAACTTAATCCGCGCAAGGGTTCAGCGCCTTTCTGAAGGCTGGAGAAGCCCTGGGGCTGGAAGAAGAGTAAATAGCGTTGAGACCGAAGTATCTCGGCTCCAGTACGGAGTCACTAGTTAGTTACTCCGTACTCCGTACTCCGTACTCCGTACAGGGTATTCATCAAACTTCAATAATCCATTTGCAAGCTAATTTTCTGGACTGACGTCCTGGCAATAAAATTACTGCATGGTTTTCAGGCCTACATTTCACCCTGCATTCGCAGCATACCACTGTCGAATATGCCGACCTCCAAGCGTCGAGTCAAAGTTGCATGTCAACTCTGCCATGCAAGAAGGGTAAAATGCGACCGAACAGAAGAAACAGCATGCAGCAACTGTCAGCTTACCGGTCAAGAATGTCTTGCTATTGTGTCGCGACGTGGAAAGTATGTTCTTGACGTCGAGAGCGGGCGATGTGCCTGGCACAGCGAACATTGCCTGCTAATCAACGCATCCCAACCTACACAGATATAAACGTCGCCGCAACGGTTCATCTGACTTGTTTCCAGATCTTGTGTCACTGTCGCAGATCGAGGGTGGCGTAATTCAGAGTATAGGAACAATAGCCCAGCAAGAAGATGTTGAGGCCCATCCAATCTCTGACAGCACACTCACACAAACTTCTCCTATGGCAGATTCGGGGTCTAATGAGGGCGCTTTTTATGGAGATAGCTTTAATCTAAAATATGTGTTCCACGAAATATGTGATCCTTTGAATAAGGCACCAGAATTCCTTTCATTGGAAGAAAGCTTCGGACGTCTGCATTTCGAGCATCTTGATGAAACAAGCAAAGCTCGAGTGAATGAGCGCAGAATGCAAGATATGGCTCGCCTCAAGAGTGAAGGTGTCTTTCAAATGCCGCCAAAAAACGTTGCGGATGAGCTAGTACAGCTGTTCTTCCGGAGCTCTTATCCTTTGTCCGCCCTCCTATTTGACCAGGCGGAATTCTACCTCAAGTATGAATGTGGGCGAATATCACCTCTAATTTTACATGCTATTCACTTCGCCTCACTCGTACACTGTGAGGATGAGACCTATAAGGCAGCTGGTTACTCCAGTCGATTCGAAGCAAGTTCGGCATTCTACCACAGAGCAAAAGCTCTGTATGATGCTAATTATGAATCCGATGCTATTACCAATCTTCAAGCTGTTTGTCTTTTGTCTCAGTGGTGGGGAACGCCAACTGAACAAAAGTATACCTGGCACTGGGTAGGAATTGCTGTCAGCCTTGCCCAATCACTAGAGCTACATCGACTGTGCGTGAATTATCTTGTCTATTTTCCTGGAAGTTTGGCTAACAACTAGAATAGGAGAGCATATACCAACTTACCAACAAAAGAAATAAAATTCAGACGAAAGATATGGTGGGGTATCTATGTGAGATTTCTTTGCGGCTTTATGTTCCTCACCTTAGCTGCTTATAATTGAACTATAGACTGCCGATATTCTTGAAGCCTTGATATTAGGCCAAACTCCGCACATCAACGATGCATATTGCGATGTGCCGCCCCTTAATGAAAGTGACTTTGATTGCAATGACGAAAATGGAATAAATGTTGATGAAAACAGAAATCACACCACAGAGTCGAAGCTGTATCTTGTCCAGTTGGCGAATCTTGCCACAAAAAGTATGCGTTTGGAAGTTCCTACCAAGCCCAAGTAAACATGTATGCACTAACGTCCAATATGGTAGCAAGCAAATGCCTCCTAGCAACATTTGGTAATGGTGCAGACGAATCAACAATAGAGAAATCTCTTGAAATCTTTTGCTCCTGGGAGACATCCCTCCCAAAAGAGCTGCAATATACCTCCTCCATGGTTTCTTTAGAGAATGGCTTTTGGACGGCTTTACTGCACTTAAACTTCCAGTGCGTCAACCTTGATTTCAATTCTAACAATCCTCTAACCCAAACCCATTCCCAAGCAATTGCCAAATACTTTTACGTCGAAATGGGTCTCGTCTTCCTGGCAGGATGTCGGTGGGAACCGTACCATTTGATGCAGCTGTTAAGATCGTTAGAATCCTAGAAGACTTGCTTTCATCCGATGCTTTGTCCTTTTCTCCTTTATTTATGTCCGTATACCCTTAGCAGGTTGGCACAACCGGAGCTAATGTCCCACAGACTTGCACCAATATTTGCCTCATTGTCCGTTCACATCGCAAACATGCAAAGTCCGACTTCGAGAATCAGGGACATTTCAGAACACCGGATACATTTATGCATGCTTGTGCTGCACAAACTTCAAGATCGCTGGCCTCCAATCTCTTGGAATTACAGGCTATTCAAGCACCTACTCCCAATAATAAAAGCCCATATCATCGGGAATCACAATAATCCATTTCAAACTCCCAGGACCACGACTCCTTTTCGGCTTTTAGATTCGCCTCCACTTATACACAACCGGGATATATCTGAAGACATATCCGAAAACAGCTCCGCCAGTGCACATTTAATGCTCAATTCTACTTCCCATTCCATTGACCCAAGGGCCATTATGAGCCCCTCATTTGATAGCCTTTTAGCGAGTCTTGATTTTTGCGCCGGTGTGGATCCTGTATGACGACTTCTTACGACAATTGAAAAATCTCCCCTCTTGTTGTACATCATTTACAAAGTCTCATGGTATATCAACTCTAATAGAGCAGCCTTTTTTTTTTCCTATTTTCGATACCACATTCTTGTCGTTCGAGTATTCCTGATTTTTTTCTGAAGCAGAAACACTCCATATAGCAATGCTTCAGCGGTCGGCGGGCATCCTGGAACATATATATTCACCGGGACGATACGGTCCACGCCTCTTAAGACACTATAGCTATAGTGATAATATCCCCCTCCGTTTGCACAGCTACCCATGCTGATGACCCATTTGGGATCTGGCATTTGATCATACAAGAGCCTGAGCGCCGGAGCCATTTTATTTGTCACTGTTCCCGCCACCAACATCACGTCCGATTGTCGAGGGGATGCACGGAAGATGATGCCTAGTCGGTCCTGATCGTAGCGCGGCATTGACGTGGCCATCATCTCAACGCCGCAGCACGCCAGGCCGAAGCTGAGAGGCCAAAGGGAACCTTGACGGGACCAATTTGCAAGCTTATCAACTGATGTTCTTCACCACAAAGCAAAAAGTTAGCTCATACGTTTAGAACGGTAAGCAGGAGGCATCATTACAAAACATATTCAAGAGATGTTCCCTCGCTCCCATCGCTTTTCTGAGTGTTCAATGCGTATTGACTCCAAGTGGAGGACAGACGTGCCTGAGCTTTATTTCGCTTTGCAAGCCCACCGTATTTATTGTAGAGCAGCGGCAAGAGGCATACTTCGTACAAGGCCGACGATACGGGAACGAGTGCTGTTGATATGGTCCTCATTAGGAAGTATGCTGTCTATATTGAAATTAAAAACACCTTGATAAAATAAAAGGATTTTCTTTGCAGCACAAAATAAAATATAAATCCAACACCTTAATACCGAAAGGGTAGCAATTGGTTCTTAGCACCAATGCTCGTATCCCGTTATATCGCCGTTATGCATTGAGTCGGCGATATGGTGTCAGAAACAACCATACCACCGATATGAACCACAAACGATCAGGAACTGCCATAGGCAACTAATATCCCTTCCCAATCTTTATTTAAACATATCCAGCATATTTTAAGAAGATTTAGAGTCCCCTTCATTTCTAAAACGCCCCTCCCTTAGGTGTATGAAAGTAACAAGTGCCCGATGATACCAATAGGAACAGTGTATACAGACAGTAAACCTAATTATTTTTGGTAATCACTTACAAGGCGTATAGTACAATTAGACTGACAGACAATTCCGCGACAGGCTAGATATTGATTGAGAAGGCGATTTAAGGAGTAGCAAAGCCGAGATATCGAAACTCAACCCCTGGGAGACTACTATGGCACCTTTTGGACGCCAGGTATCATGGAGAGTTTGAAGAAGGGCCGAGAATTTCAAACCAAGCCTACAGTTAACGGCTTTACTCTATCCTCTCCTCATATTCTAGCTTCCAACCTCTTTCTATATACCCTATAGAGATGTATTTTTATGAAAGAGAGTTTTTGGAATTGGACGTCTGGGATTCTCATGAATCACATTTCAGCAGTGGAATAAAGATATATTGAAAGGGTCGGAGTGATTAGAGTAAGCGGCTCTTCTAGATATAGGATAGGATTGGCAAGAAAATATAAGCATTGAATCTCTAGTATTGTAGTTTAATAATTCATCGCAGAATCCGGCGAAGGATGAAAATAAAAATCAAAGTAAATAGGGGGGTATAAAGCCGCTCGCCGCCATCCAGTCACAACCCGGACGACGACACTTTCTCCTCTGCGGGGAGGACGTCCGCGAGATAGTTCTCTAGGTCTTGGATCTCCAGCGGATCGCTGGTGTGGCCCATCCCACTGCAGTTGAACAAGGTTAGCAGCAGCACTGGAGAGGCAAGGAGAGCGGCTTTGGATCACACGTACGAGTATTCACGAAATTTCACATCAACACCCATGTCTTCAAGATGCTTGGCGGAATTCTGGCCGAATTCAAACTTGACGACGGCATCGGCGTCGCCATGGGCCATGAACACGGGGGTCTTCAGATTCGGAAAGCCGTCCGGGACCAACTCCTTAAACTTGTGCGACAAGGGCAGGTAGCACGACAGCGCGAAGATGCCGGCAAGCTTTTCCTTGGAGGTGAGACCGGTGATCAAGGCCATGGCGCCGCCCTGGGAAAAGCCGCCGAGCACGATGCGGCCCGGCTTGATGCCCTTGTCGAGCTCGGCCTGGATGAGCGAGTTGAAGTAGTCGCGCGACTTTAAAATGCCAGGCTCATCCTGCTGGCGGAGGAATTCTTCCTGTGAGGCCTGTGCTCATGGTGAGTATCGGCATACGCAAATTGGGAATGCTGGGGGTACGAACGGTGACGGAGAGCGTGGCGATGTCATACCAGCCAGGCATGCTCATACCAAAGTTCTACGGGTGGGAGTCAGCGAAAGGCGCCTGCCAGCAGCTCGAGGGACGCAGTTGACGTACGACGGTGATGGGGATGGAGGGCGCGTTGGGGAAGATGAACGAGACTTCCTCGAACAGGCCCCGTCGGCGCCAGTTGCTGGCCAGCATCATCCTGCGCGGCGGGGGGTCAGTCCAGCCGACGCTGGGCTGCGATAGAGAGAAAGAGAAAGGCAGCATACCATCCTGCACCGCTACCGGACCCGTCAGCACGCCGGGCATGGCTTGTTGGAGCGGGGGGAGCAACTCACGTATCGCCCAGACCGTGGGCCATAATGACGGTGGCGGTGTGCTTTTTCAGCGCGGGGACTACGAAGGGCGCCGCCATCCTGAACATGAGTCGCCTAGGAGTTGGAGGCGGAGATGCTGCTGTGGGAGTGCTGGAGGGAGAGGATGCTGAGGGTAGTTAATTATATGGGCGACGGATTGATGGCGGAGAGGCGGGCGGGGTTGATCCGAGCCGGCCCGCGCAGGCCGAGAAGAGAAATCACGAGGTGAATTGACGGACGATGCGACAACTAAAACTACATGCAGACAGACAGACAGACAGACAGACAACAGCCACAACGCTACGTGCTTGCAACCTGTCCAGAGCTCATTCCAAATGACTGACTATGACTGACCACAGCTCCCGGCTCGTTCTTCGACCAGCGACGACGACGACGACGACAGCGCTTACAGCAGAGCCAAACCACCGGCCACGACGGCGCCCATCACGCCCCACGCGGCCGTGTCCAGCGACGCCGCGCTCGACGACGACGTGGGCCGGGGCGCGCCGCTGCTGGTGCCGCTGCTGCTGCTGCCACCGCCGGACTGTGCCTGGCCGTTGGGCGTCGACACGTTGGCGTTGCGCTGCGCCGCGGCGCCCGAGAATAGCTGCGCGCTGACGCCGGTGCCATTCTTGCACTTGCCGGCGTCGGGTAGGTTGGCGCGCGACGAGAAGAAGATGTCGGCACACTAGCACGGACGGGTTAGTCGGTTACTCTTCCAGGCGATGGGGGCCGCCCGCGAATTCAAATGCTTACGTTGTACAGGCCGCCTTTGGGGTCGCCGTTGGTCACGACCTGGATGGTCGCGTTCATGTTCTCGATGGGGTCGACGCCGAGCACGTCGCGGTCGAGGCTGATCCCGGGTATACAGAAATCACCCAGACCGACCTGGCGGAAGGTCGGCTTAAGGGTGATGTTGAAGTTGGAGCCGGGGTCGGTGCCCAGTGCCATCAGCACCTGCACGGCCGACTGGTCGTGGCCCATCTGGAGGGCGATGTTGACCGTCGGGCGAACCAGCGAGACGTCGTAGCGCTGGCGCGACGGCGCCTGGCCACCGCATGGGAAGTTGACGAGCTGGTCCTCCGAGAAGCCACGGGGCGGCGGGTCCTTGAGGACGAAGTGCGCGGTGGAGCCGGCCGTGAGCGCGGCGAGGATGAGGGCACAGGAGAGCTGCATGGCGGGCGTGTATGGAACTAGGAAAAGAAGGGCAGTTGGATCGCGGTCGGAGCGGGAAGGACGGAGGCTCAAGAACGACGAGCAGCAGCTCCTTAAGCACAAGAAAAAAAAGAGAGATGCGGGGGGCGGCGCCAGGCGGTGGGCTCGCTGGCACCAGCGGCTGGCTCTGAACTTATTCTTATTAACGCTGCCTGCGATGGGGCCGCGAAGGATGCGGGTATCCGCTCAAAAGGGCGCGGCGGGTGGAGGCGAGGTTGGTGGGTTTGAGCGTGTGTTTTGCTCATTCGGCCTCATCGCCGCAGAAAAGCCTGCTTCGCGCCCGCCATCTGCGATACGATATGCGCTGTGCATGCCAGCCTGGTTGCGCGCAGGCTCGCGTGCGCCCGTCCCGCCGCAACGAAACTTGGGCGGCGCCGGCCCGGCATGGCCCCTCGCCCGGCGCGCGGGGGGTAGCTAATGTGCTCAAACCTGCGCGCTCTAGCCAGATCGGGACAAGCGCGGCAATGAAGCTTTGTTGGCGGTGGCAGAATACGGTACAGTACATGCGGTAATCTCGCTAGCCCCTTGCGGCCAAGCCCTAAACCCTAATCCCGTGCCCCCCGCGCCCAGCGCCCCGTGCCGCCCAACCTCAACCCTAACCCTAACCCTAAGCCCTCGCCCCCGATCAGTGCTCGTCCCAGCGGTGCGCAAACCGCCCGACCGCGACGTCGCCCAGGAACACGCCCGCCAGGATGCACAGGAAGTACCCCACGTTCATCGTCATCACCGCCAGCATCCTGCCCCGCGTTAGCCAGCCCGTCCGTCCTTTCGTGCTTCATAGGGGAGCTTACATGAGGTAGCCAACACCAGCCATCAGCGTCACAAACGCCGCGCGCGGCAGGTCCACGCTAAACCGCCACGGCATCACCGGCGGGCCAGCCGTCCGGGTCACTACCTTGACCTTCTCCTCCACGCCGTTCTCCGACAGCAGCGTCATGATTTTGGCGTCCGGGTCGCTGTACGCCCGCTCCGCCTGCGGTGACTGGCCCGCCACGACCACGAAGCGCCGCTGGCGCGCCTGGTTGAGCCAGCGCTGGTCGAGCGCCGCCTTAACCGCGATCAGCCCGCGCCCGATCATCGCGAGCAGCACTAGGAAGATGCACGTGGCCGCGTACGTGCCGCCGGTCTTGGGCGTCCACGTCGTCGTGAACAGCGGCGTCTGGATGAAGTTCTGGAAGACCATCGCCATGATGGCCGACGACGGGTCGCCGCCGCCGGTGCCGTGCGAGTGGCCGCCCGCCGCGGGCTGGGGCGCTGCCGACTCGGGCATCGCGCCGTGACTGTGCGACATGGTGGAGGCGTGTAGAGAATAACAGTTGCAACAACGATGGTGTCTCGCGAGGAGTCAACGCAGATGCTCACGGGGGAGGAGGGAGGAGACTGAGGACCCCGGGTCGAAGCGGAGTAGATGTGATATATAATAAGTCTTTGAAGGGCTCCCGGCCGAGCTGAGACAGGTCTGTGGCAGCCAAGATATTTGTTCGTCTCACGCCGCACAGAATGCGCTCATGTTCACGACACGTCAATGCCGTTTCCCTGCGAGCAGGTATTTATTCTTCTTGTTCGGTGTCGTTGCGCGGGAGGTGGCGCTGGACTGGGACAGCGGTGGTTGTCGCCGGCTAGGATAGCTGCCCAGGGGGGCGTGCTGGCTGCTATATATACAGCGAGTACGGCGGCGTACCAAAAATACCCTCCGGCTCAACGCAAACCCGGGCTCGGCGCCTCTCCGCCGCCGCCGCGGCCGCCAAGCGGCGCCTCGTCGGCAGCGCGTTAGTAATATTCTGCTCAGGCGCTGCTGTGCGAGCAACTCCGCGATCTCAACCACCGCCAGCCAGCCGACCGGCGGGTATCGGTTGTGCTGCTATAATAGCAAGACGTTGGCTGTGCTTCTGCTGCTCGCCGCCCCCTCCTCCCCGCCTGCCCGATCCTGCCAGATACGCCCCAGATGCCGTGACTCTCTACTCTGCACCTGTCCGTGATACCCCCAGAGCCATGGAGCGCCGCCACGACCACGGCGGCGGCGACGTCGCTGTCGCGGGCGTGCCCGGGAACCCGCAGCTGCAGCGCTTATACTATGCCATCGTGGGCGCTGTTGTTGCCGCCGCCGCTCTGGCGAATCTCATGAACAAGATCATTGCTGCGCAACGGTGTGTGGAGACTGAGCCCGTTGTACCGTATAACTAGCGATACGTACGCTGACAATGCATGGACTAGATTCTCCGACCGTACCGCAACCCCCTCGAAGCCCAAGTCGCTCTTCTTCAAAACCTATGCCACGCTTACGGCCACCGCCAGAGAATTCATCTATGCCATTCCAGCCGGCGTGGTGCTGGGGAAAGTCAGGCTCAGCCTCCCGCCGCTGGGCGGACTGGCCATGGTACTGGCCAACCTCGCCGTGGTGATGGTGCTTTGCTTCTACAAGCTGAACACTCTAGATCAATGGAGCTGGGAAACGATCGGCTACCGGACTGGTTCCGTGGCACTAGCCCAGATGCCGCTGATTTTTCTCCTCGCTGCGAAGACCAATATCATCGCCTTCTTTGCCGGTTCCAGCTATGAACGCCTGAACTGGCTGCATCGGTGGACTGCCAGGACACTATGGCTCACCACCACCATTCACATGTGCTTCTGGTTCCGCAGCTGGGGCAGATATAACTACATTCTGGTCAAGCTGAAGTCGGACGCCATCAGCCAGAGAGGACTAGTGGCGTGGTGCATTCTATCGCTTATCGTCATTCTGTCAATAGCTCCCCTGCGCCGCTGGAACTATGAGATATTCGTCGTCTCACATATCCTTACCTTCCTCGGCTTTCTCGTGGCCGTTTGGTATCATTCTCCGCCCGGCCTCAGGATGTGGGTATGGATTCCGATTGCCCTAGTGGTATTCGATCGCGTAATGAGAGTCGTCTTCATGGCCATTGCAAACCTTCCTCTGTTCTCTCGCCGCCAACAAGAGGCACCTACCGGCCCAAGGGCGAAGGTGGGGAACAGTGCTACCTTTACTCCATTGCCCGGAGGCGTTACGCGAATCACGATTCAAGATCCGATCGTTTCGTGGAAACCTGGACAACACGTCTTTCTCTCCTGCCATTCTCTCTTACCACTTCAAAGCCACCCGTTTACGATTGCTTCTATCCCGTCCGATAAAAGGATGGAATTCATAGTGCGTGCCGAAAAAGGAGCTACGAAAAAGATGTTCTCCTATGCGTCCAATAATAGTGTTGCTAAAACCGTGACGATCGATGGTCCATATGGAAGGATACGCCCGTTACGACAATTCGATAGCGTCGTGTTTATTGCTGGGGGCATGGGAGCCACCTTTACCATGCCCCTAGTACGTGATATCGTCGAAGGATGGAAAACTGAAATCCGCGACTCAAAAACATCTGAATCCAAAGCTCTTTCCCGTTCGAACTTTGCGTTAACAAAACGAATCCGGTTTGTCTGGGTTATCCGGGCGTATGCGCAGCTGGAGTGGTTTACGGATCAACTGCAAGAATTAATCCGGGATTTTGACGACTGCGCCGACATCAATCCTATGTTCGGTGAAACAAGGAGCCTTGAGATCAGTGTATATGTTACGTGTGACGCCAACTTATACCCTGAGGCGATCCGCCCTGGATCCTCGTCATCCATCGGATCAGCGCTCGACCAGGATGCGACACTGACCTCACGGGAAAAACAAGCTATTCTTGAAACAATCCCACTGACCCCGATTATCATCCCGGACAAAAGCATCCCGTCGCCATTTGAGCGCGAGTGCAGCTGTACCGTCAAAATCACTAACGAAGCAAACCCCCCCGCCCCATGTACCTGCGCCGGGCCGAGCGGCGAACGCGCTTCATCACCCATATCCGCGTCCACAACGGACACCAAGGCCACCAGCTCGTCGGGCGCCCCGATCTTCTCCCCGACACGCGAGTCGAGGACGTCAGTCGTCACTCAGCGAGTTCCTTTATTATCGGGCCGCCCGGACGTGCGGGCCATCATCCTCGCCGTTTTGGAACGCGCCGAGGGCGAAAGTGGCGTGGTTGTGTGTGGCCCGCCGGGGCTGAATGCGGACGCGAGGCGTAGCGTGGTGTCTCTGAGTGACGAGCGTGCGGTGCATAAAGGAACCGGTGCCCAGGGGATCTATCTGCATGTTGAGGAGTTCAAGAAGTTCTAGGATCGGCGGTTTGGTTTCTGGAAGACGGCGTTTTTTCCTTTTTTCGGTGCGTTTTTTTTTCTTCTTTTGGGCTGGAGTCGTACTGAATTTGACTGAAGAGCCATTGTCTGATGCCCGTTATGAGTACATCTTGGGTTTGAGTCTTGTTCCATACTGGGTAATATTTACATGATGCACATCCGTACATATGCGTGTGTTTGTGTGAATTCATCATTTTTCGTAGGCTCTTATGCAGTCATAGACTATGAAGGGCCACTCTCCATAATCTGGCTTATTTGCAGCATGTCTCATCCTTGATATCTGGTCTCCTGTCACTTCTGTTTAAGTCTCAAACTGTAGCATGTCCAGGGGGTCAAGACCCCTTATTAAGCTTTTCACCAAATTCTCCTATTAGATCATGCTCTCTAGGGAAATCCTCCCAAAATCTAGGATGTAACTGGTATATCTAACCATGGCAAGAATCAACAGAAATCAGAACTAGATGCACAAGGTCACACTAAGACTGATTTTTCCCAATTCCCAGCAGTCAATGACCTTGTCTTCTAGAGAAAATCCCACGCCACCCAGAGAAAGATGCTTCTCTGTCGGTAAAATATCTTTGGGGATAGTGGGATTTGAACCCGCGACCTTCTTTCTCAGGTGGTTGCCGCCCAACAACAGACCATGCCAGAATGATTCCTGCAGACATTTACCAACACGCCATACACTCTCCCCTTCCGTACATATATTTGACATCTGACTTGACTTCCGCTAGATAGTAACTAAACCGCGATATGCGATGGAGCCGACTCATAGGAGCCGTGCCATACAACACCCTTCATACCATTTATCATATGGATTGAACATGTTATAAAAGTTCGCGGGCAGAAGTAACTACAGTACTCCGTAATGGAGTTCCTATTGTGTCATGTGACTGCGCTCTCACGTTGGCCCCACTATCATTAGGCAACCGCGTTGAACCTTATTTAAATCCGCGTCAGACATCAACATGAGTACACAATACTCTATACAAAATAAAGACATCCACTTAGCAAGACTTAACTTAAGCACTCCGACAAGATGGATGATCTAGAGGAACTAAGGAGGCAGCTTCAGGAAGAAAGGCAACTTCGACAGGCTGCAGAGACGCTAGCGTCCGAGGAACGACGGGGGCGAGAGGCCGCAGAGACTCGAGCGTTCGAGGAACGACGGGGGCGAGAGGCCGCAGAGACTCGAGCGTTCGAGGAACGACGGGGGCGAGAGGCCGCAGAGACTCGAGCGTCCGAGGAACGACGGGGGCGAGAGGCTGCGGAGGCTGTTTCCGCCCCGACAGATTTGCGTACATATATCTGGAACTGCCATGACTTATCATTAGCGATCGACGTTGTTACTGAACCCACCGAGACTACAAAAGGAGAGACAGCAAAGGCAACCCGACGCTACTATCCTTCACAAATCATTCCTTGGAAGGGGTTCACACGCCAGCAGTCTTCAATTTGGGAAGTGTTTTATAAACACTCTTCATTCATGTCAACAAAACAATTTGCCAACTCCAATCAGATGGATTATATTCGAGGGATAATTAAACCAATCACGGCGGAGATGGACCTTCGCTATTATGAGCGTGATACTGTGGAGAACCATGTACAGTCAGTGGTGGAGAAGGTCTACGAGGACAATGTCTTGAGGCAGGAATTCCAGATGGTGGGGCCTGTGACATTTGAAAGCCATACCAATCTTGGAGTGTCAAATCAGCGGCCAACCTTGGAAGATAAAATGCAAGAACTGTCCCTTGGATCCAACCAAACTGCTGGCAAAATCAGAAAAGGCAAGGACATTGCCAGAGAGGATACACCACTTGTTGGCCAGGCGGATAGGTTCTGTGTGTATAGGCGAGGAGCAGAAGGAAATATCCCAGCAATTGCCATTGAATACAAGGCACCACATAAACTCACCTGTGATGAGATCATCACTGGACTTTCTGGGGAGATTCAGCCAGCTAGAGATGTGATCGGCAAGGAGGAAAATACTTCTGAATTTTATTCAATGCGTCTAGTCACTGTTGTGATCACCCAGCTCTTCTCATACATGATTGGCAAGAACCTGCAATATGGCTATGTGTGTACGGGGGAGGCTTTTATTTTTCTTCACATTCCAGAGGATCCCTCTATCGCTGAATATGCCTTGTGCGTCCCAAATCAGAATGTCCAGGCAGGATGTGAAGAAGATCTTGAGAGTACTGCAGTCGCACGAGTAGTTTCATTTACCCTACAGGCACTCGCCAGCACATCTCCATCTCAGAAATGGCGCAACACCTCGAAAGAACTTGGAATTTGGCCCGTTGAGTACGAACAGATCCTTGAGCAGACCCCGCGTGAAAAACGACTGAAAGGTCGCAAAGCTCTCTCCCCAATTTACCGTGGCAGGAAGCCTGACGTCCCTCCGTTCCGGATGACACTACGTTCATGCCGGCCAACGGAAAATCGGCCAAATAGATCTCCAACTCCACCGCCTCCGGATTCCCCTTCTCCCGCATCAAGAGCTCGCGGAAGGGGTTCCGCCAGCCTGCCGACTCAAACCCGAGGTGCAAACTCCAACCGTCGTGGGGGCCGAGGCCGCGGCGGACGTGGTGGTGCCAAACAAAGTACAAGTTCTACGATTAACATACGAGATCGCCCATACTGTTCTCAGAAATGCCTTCTTGGTTTAAGGGATGGAAGCTATCGCGACCCACTGTGCCCAAATTTCAAGGACCATTGTGGAAAACCCATTCCCTCTCGCGATTTTCGAAAACTTGTCCGAACGCAGCTTGCCATTGATCTCGGCAATGATGCTGACTGCTACCCACTCCACAGGTCTGGAAGTTATGGCACCCTTTTCAAAATACGCCTCTCTTCCCATGGGTTCACATTTGTAGCCAAGGGAGCGTGTTATGAGAATTGGAAGCTCTTACTGCATGAACAAAAGGTGTATCAGAAGCTGCGTAACATTCAGGGTGATCATGTCCCAGTATGTTTGGGTGCCATAACATTGGATAAAAAGTGTCCATACTACTTTCAGGAAGGTATATATACTCACATGATCCTTCTAAGCTGGGCAGGGGCGCCCATTACTAGAAGACTCACAGCCGAGCCACAGATGCACATGATGATTCGGCGCTCCCTTCAGGCAATTCACAATCAAGGTGTTCTTCATGGGGATGCTGAACCGCGGAATATTTTGTGGAATGACCAGTGTCATCGCCCGATGATAGTTGATTTCGGACGATCATCCTTCAAGGAGCCTCTGGGCACAATCAGCCCAAATACCATGCGCAAGAACCCCAAAGACCCGAAGAACAAAGATCCTTTTATTTTAGAACAGCAAACCATGCAACATGGCCTTGAGAGTGTTGGTATACTAGAGAATGAGATTCGGCTGCCAAGACACTATCAAGATTGGGTACTAGGAGTATGAGAGCAGCTATATCATTCAGACGACGAATACCATATATATATCACCACAGCCAAATGAATAGCTTTATAGCTGAGCTGAAAAATTGCTGTAGGGGGAATACCAGTTCTAGTTCAAGCCACCTTTGCTTCAGAGCACAGCACTTCTACAGCATTAGGCACTTCAGCCTCTTGTTTTTCTTTTACAATATGCCTTTCTTACCTTTCTTCAACACCCTTAAACGTGCTCATTGGCACTACTGTGATATTCTTGTCAGAGATGGCGTCTTTCTGCTTTATAGACCATCAAAGACAAGAAAGTCCTGTTGCAGTTTAATTCTAATAACTTTATTGATTTTTTTTTTTTTTTCAACTTTTCACTTATTAGCTTTTTTCGGGAATAGATTACCAATATTCACTGAGTCATATTAGTATGCACACTCAAAAGAATAGCAAAGATATATTGAAATAAGTACTAAATGAGATAGAAAAGTTGACTTCAAAAAGCAATATGTAAAATAGAAAGAGCTTCCTGTTTTGGCTGCAATAGATGACCATCTACTCTGCATGGAGTATGAAGTATTTTACATTCATGGCAAATGCTCCCCTAATGATATGTATGTTAGGGTGGCCAGCACCCATAATAACTAACCGCGTCTCGCGCCCTTATAAGGGCTTAGCTGGCCACCGCCGCCGGCCAAATTCCAAGCCATCTCGACGCCCACGCCTTCCTGTTGGCTATCTCGCGCTGCCTAGAAAGTACTCTAGTTATTTTGTATTCTCAAGAGAAAGTCAACTAGCCATGGCATTTGCTCCTGATCCGACAAACCCTGCACTGCTGATGCAGTTATATTAAAGAGCTTGCTCCACTGACCTTTGCTATAACAAATAATGTTCTTGCTTCAACATCAGTCATCTTTAGAGAATTTCTTAGACCTCTCCCCACAATTCTTACTAAATCCTCAATATCATGAAGCAGCAACAACTCTTGTCAGGAGCCTCATCCAGCTTTATGGAATTGAGCAGACTATCTGCCATGGCGATAAATTAGCATTTCTTATTCAGGCCATAATTCAGTATATTCAAGCAAAAGATTTGTTCCTTCTGTTCTTTTTCTCATTTTTGTATGAAAGCCTCTGCCCTGACATAACAGGCACAGCAGAGCCAGAAATCATGGATTCTTGTACATCTTGTTCTGATTTCTATTGGTTCTTGTCATGTTTAGAGTACCAGTTAGACCCTAGATTTTGGGAGGTAGTTATGATCTAATAGGAGAATTTGGTGAAAAGATGAATAAGGGGTCTTCGCCCCCCCTAGACATGCCAGATATCAAGCATAACAGATGCTGTAACTAAGCCAGATGAAGGAGAGTGACTGTCCATGGTCTAAGACTGCATAAGAGCCTAGGAAAAATAATGAATAACACACAGAGGACTCTGTATGGAGTAACTATATATTGACTAACTACTTCGTACTCCGTACAGTTAACTTATTAGCCCCAGCTAAGGTTTGAGATAGTTGTTAGTCGTCACAAACAACCTCTCCATCTGAGATGGCTACTGACAATAGTCCACAGAGCGATGGCCACCAGGTTTGGATGCTCCTGAGACAGCCATTGACTTGCCGGCTGCTGCTCACTTCATTGGCCTGCCAATTGTCTACATCCTGAACGCATCATGGCTGAAGGCAAGGGCAACAACGTCGCCGCGACCCCATTGAACCCAGATGCGCAAAATACGCCGTCTGTTCTCCAGGGCCTTCTGGCTCTGGGAACTCCCCTGTCGCGCTTCGCACTCTTCCCAGGGGAGCAGATCAAGCTACTGTGCTCGAATATCCGCCAGATGATGGGCCGGAAATTCGACCCCGAGAAGGACATCGTCGACCAGAGTGGCAAGGTCCTTCTGATCACTGGAGGTATGCGAGGGCCAGAAAAAATCACTTATCTTGCAGAGCTTTTAAATACTTATTGCATCCCCAGGAAACGCTGGTCTGGGCAAAGAGGCCGTTTTACAGCTAGCAAAGCACCATCCCGACCGCATCTACCTCGCGGCGCGCAACCCAGACAAGGCACGCGCCGCCATTGAGGAGATCCAGAAGACCCTTCCACAACCGGCAGATATTCGATATCTGCCTCTTGATCTCTCCTCGTTCCCCTCTGTACGCCGCGCCGCGCAGCAGTTCGTATCCGATAGCGACCGTCTCGATACTCTCATCCTCAATGCCGGCATAATTGCTCCCCAACCCAGCACGGCGGAGTCCGGCCACGAACTCAACCTCTGCACAAACCATCTCGGCCATTTCCTGCTCACGAAACTCCTCCTGCCCACGCTGGTAAAAACCGCCGAACGCGAGAATGCAGACGTGCGAGTTATCACAATCGGGTCAATGGCGTGGCAAATGGCACCTCCGCTGTCATCGATACTCTCTACGAACACCCTTCTATCCGAAAACCAATACGTCCGCTACGGCGCATCCAAAGCCGCTAATATGGTCTTCGCCGCTGAGCTTGCGCGCCGCTATCCCCAGCTCGTATCCGTCTCGCTACATCCGGGCGTGATATTCACGGGACTGTATGATGCCACAAGCGCTCTGAACCCGGTGATAGGGATGAGCGCGAAGGTGCTGAAGCTTGTCACAACTAGCGAGCAGCAAGGTACCTTGAACCATCTGTGGGCTGCGGGGTCGAAAATTGGTACTTTGAAGAGCGGCGAGTACTATACGCCCGTTGGTGTCGGCGGGTGGAAGAACAAGTGGGTAGAGGATAAAGAGGCGGGAAAGAAGTTGTGGGAGTGGTCTGAAGAGGCGGTGTCTGAATACCAAAAGGACTAAATATGATTAGAAGCCTGGAAGAAGGGCTGGCTCCTTCATCAAGTATCAAGTTGATATTTTGAAGATCTCTGCAGAATCTTGAAAATCAATCTGGAATGTTGGCAGGGTTGTTAAATTATATAGCGTACATAAAGCGCGCTCAGGCTTTGTAAGTATTTAAATTATTGTATTTACTATCATTGTGTCAGAAGCCCTGAACGGTAAAAGATACTTCTTCTTGTCTCGTGCAATAACCGGGGAGAGAAAGGCACCGTCATATCGTTCCTACATGATCATATTTGGAATGACATCGATATGGCATCGTGATAGGTCAAAAATTAAATCACAGACTCCGTTCTTCATACCACTCTTTTACTCGACCTTGGACTCGAATGTCTCTCCAACAAGATCTGGGATATCCTCATCATCTTCGTCATCCTTCTTGCCTTCCTCCTTCTTTTGCATGTTCTGGTAGCTTTCTGCCAGTTTACGGAGAGATGCGAGGGAGTCGGGGCCGAGCTGGTTAAGGATTCCAGGTACGAGTTCAGTAAGTTCTTTCTCTTCGCCGTTGCCGTAGATGGCGAAGGTGTTGCTAGGAACGGATGCTTGCACTGTTACAATAATACGAATTAGCGCTAATGTCTCCTTGCGGTGCTACCAGTCTCTACAATGAGGATCAAAGCTAGGTATACCTTTGGGGGCAGCGAAGTGAATCACGTTTCCATCCTCCTTAAACATGTTCACCTCCTCAATGGCCTGAATAGGCTGAACATTGAGCTTCTTCAGTGAAGTTTGCAGCTTCTTGTCATCGGTGCCGGACGACTTGTGAACCTTCTTTGTCTTGCGGCGTGGAGTACCTTTGCCTCTGGAAACGATATATCGTTAGTAAGTAATTCAGCAAAGTGTCGACGACCCATTGCGCTCCAAAAAAGTGCTTTGGGACAACCCAATCATCCAGATGTAATCGTAGATCCAAGGGCTAAAATTGTTTCACGTACCCTATGAAAATCACCAATTATTAGCAAAATCTCAACAGCACGAAGCTCTGTTTTATTGATGGTCAAGTAACAGAATATCGGAAGGCAATTCAATTGTTTCTAAGAAACTGCGTTCATTCTAAAATAAAGGAAAAAAGAACATACCAATCCGCACACTCTGTTGCAATCTAGCCAATTTCGCCGCATCCATGATTCCTACTGTATCGATATATCAAGCGTTCGAGTAACCGAGCGGTTCCCGAACAATCTTTCTAAATCCTTGAAATAAACCGCCCAATTGGCCGAATTCAATCGTTCAATAATCGTTAGACGGCGGGCGAAGGTGATTTGCACAAGCTATACAGCAGTTGCAAAGAAAAGATTAGCTTATACGCAAACTCCCATTTGAAACGATCGCGATTTATTTGTGGGGTTATTGTGTGGACAAAAGACAAGGAGGAAATCCACGCAGCGCCCCTCGACTCAGAGGCGTCGTGATGACCTTGGAAAAAGGTCCGATAAAATGGAGCCATACCAACCAAATAAAAGAATCGAAAATACCTTTGACGGACAGGAGTCTCTCGCAATGAAGGCGTTGAAGTTGGAATTCCCTTGTTCGCCTTTCGCGGTGCGGATGCTCTTTTCGGCCTAGCGGTAGAAAAGATGATGTAAGCATGCCGCTGGTGATCTTCAAAGCCCTAACTGCCGGATTCGGATGCTTAGGCTTCATTATCTATAATGATTCAAAAAGCAAGTATAATATCTCTATCGTTGGACAAGGTACATTTACTTTTGGTTAGCCCACACAAAACACCAGCGCTAGTAATATACAGAGTAGATGCCGGAACATAGTAGTCAGTAAATCAACATCATAAACCATGCGTATTGAACAAAAAAGTAATTAATATCGGCCTTCCCCTTGGGAACAGGGGCGCAGTATATTTGAAGAATTCTAAAGTTCGATTAAACTAGTGATCGATAATCAATTTCCAGCTAGTCGGAAGGGTTAACAACTAGTAGTAATGATGGGAGTCCGCATTTCAAAGGCATCGCCGGAGTTTGGAGTTTGGATGAATTGGGGTAAAAAGGTATGACCTGTTTGGTTGAGTTGCAATGGGTTTCTGCTCGGGTTTCACGTAGTAAAGTCTTTGATTTAATAATCGAATGATTAGGAGTCTTCTTTCAACCCACAGAGATCGGTTCTCAATATTTTATCAACCATATACCAGAAGCGCCAGTAAAGATTCGACTTGTCGTGGTCAAAAGTTCCATCGTCCTTAAGAACAGGGCCATCACCCACGATATCGCCGCTGAACCAGCTGAGTATGGGAATCGAACGAATAATGCGTTCACCTAGAGAAGGCTGTGGGGGCAACGCTTCTGATGCTGGCCGAAGAATGGCTCGCCGCACTGTGGGAATGTGAGTCATGAATTCGGATTTGGAGTTTTGTGGGGCTCGCGAGCGAAGAGTGGTATCAACAGGCGGAAGTGCCGTGACGGTAGCCGAGCTCGCAGTTACTGAGGAAATTTGAGATGTCACATCGTCATTAATAAGTCTATCAAATTTTGAGGTGGGATTAAAGGGTCGAAAATCGTTCATTTGGTCAAACTCTTCCGTTTTTTCACTATTATCAACCCCTGAATTGCCGACTAAAACTGCCTTCATTTGCTTCTTCCGACCCGATTCAAGGGAAGCATGTAGTAGAGGCACGTCTTCCTTAGGCCCATGGCCATGGTATAATTCACAGCGAACAGAGTAGCCGTCAATGACTTGCGGTGAGAAGTGGCAAGCGCGGTCAGCGGCACTAAACGAGTCGAATGTCACCTTGATCCAATGTCGACCACCGGCGTATTTTTTTGACTTTCTGTTTGCGTCGGCAGAAAGATTTTTATGTACCATGAGATCGTCAGCACTGAGTAGCTGTGGGTATTTTGGCGCAATATCAGGATCAGTGCGGGGATAATCTTCATAAATGGAGCCTTGTGAAATGCGCACAAATCGATCGATGACTTTCCATTCACAGGTGCGATCCTTGTAGCCATAGAAAATGCATTCAGTAGCAACAGCATCAGCAGATTTGCGAGAGTTCTCAACGGCGGAGGACGTCGTGGCGGACGGTAAAAGCTTGTTGCGGGCTTGCTCTTCCTCTTGCTGAAGCGCGAACAGTCTGCCAAATTCTGCTACATTCAGATTCTCACGTCTAGCAGGTGTGCCTGTCCGAGTTCCAGAGCGTGTAGAATTGTATCGGGCATTTCTTCGTTTGCCAAAGGAACCGGTCTCTTCGGGAGGTCTTCGCGGATTTCGGGATTCGCTGTAATTATCAGTAAATACCTTAATACCAAGAAGAAAAGGACAGAGGCACCGCTCATGAAAGCAGCCTTTTTGAGACGACAATATTGGCACTTACTCTTTATAAACATGCCCGAAAGGGAGAAGATTTCCTTTCGAATCTCTCGAGCGCTCTTCAAGAGGAACGGAGTGATATTCCATTGTGATGAAGGAGAGCTACAAGATTAAATTCTTTGGGGACGAGGACTAAATGACGTGAGAATGAGCCGCGAGCGACAGTTAATTCACTACTCCGTAGTTCACTAGCGAAGCCGAGCGCCGCGTTGGCTGGGAGAATCGGCGGGCGATCAACAGGGCGGTTGCCCGGCGCAAAATTGGCTGTTTATGGCATGACGTGAGGTTAGTCAGCATTGTGCACGTGAAGCATCTTGGCCTTTTCTCTTCTCGTTCGTCAGCGAACGCACGACGAGGCGGCGAGCAAGCAACTGGCCTGCAGTCGAGCTGGGCGACCTGGGGTAGCGATCGGAAGGCTTTCAACGTCTGTTCTAAAGATACGATGAGCACTCATTCAATAGTACACTAGCTACACGTCGATATTCCGACTCCACCCTCCTTGCATGAAGTTTCTGCCGTTCTCAGCTCCGCTAACCCCATACTATCATATATTAATATCAGAGAGGAGAAATTCCTCGTCACCATTGAGCATTTTCACAGAAATAAGCTCCAAGGACTGTTATCGGACCCTTAGGGCAGAATATGCTTCACCCAGGCTGCTCCTCTCGATAGCCTTGCGCCTTGTAAGAGTTCCATTCCCACTCTCCCTACCCATCCATTCCCAGAAACTTGCCAGGATTACGCCCACAAAACCCTCTCACTTGTGCGGCTTAGCTATGGCCATCTCAGCGAGATGGCTGAGTATTGTCGTCGCCTGTAGGGTCTGTCGGGTGGGTAGTGGTAGTGGTAGCCATGCCGGGGTCCGGCAGAGTGCTAGCCATCGCAGGCATTGTCGGCACTGTCCCGGTATTTGCACCAGCTTCAGCGACTGAAAGCTGCTGGATCCTATTTGAGAGTATCCTATCTACCGCAGGAGTCCTTGGGCCAAGATCTGGCAGGGGTATTAAGGCAGGCACTGGGGTGGGCTGAAGTTGAGAAGGCCAAGTTCTTGTGGGAATGCCGCTCCCCTGCATTGGCCGGGCTTCGCCGTGGTTGTTAGGATTTGAGCTCGAAGCCGCAGGTGCTTCTTGGCCCCTTCTCTGTCGAAGCGCCGCTGAAAAGGCCAAGTCAAAGACGTTCGTGTTCGGATCCGTAACATCCGGCAAGTCTCCCACGAGTAGAGAGTTGTTATTCGTACCATCGCCATTATCATGTTCGCCCCCTCCTTGGCCCAGTTCCTGCCCATTGGACGCTGGTATACAGTTAACATCAAACCATTCTTTCTCAGCAGGGGATAATATATACAGGACTGTACTCACCATGACCATTTGCTCGTGGTGCATCCGTCCCAGTGGTGCTTTGGCGCGAGGATGGATTGCCCGTGCGGTTAGGCATCTTACAAATGTAAGATTGTCGAAAATACCCTGCCCGAGGTGCAACTAGATGAAAGTATCAGGCATACAAACAAGGCCAAAATCGCAGGTAACACTCCAATGGCCGTTTTGTGTGAGTAGTAAGAAAGAGCAACCAAAGTGCGCAAGCTGGAGCGACTTTATATTTGGAAGCAGCAAAGCCTCGTTTCGTCTTGCATTTTTATATTACCTGGCTCTCGAAGATACCGCAAGACAAGTCCTGCCACCTTGCAAAGCGCGATATTCTGTCGAAGCTGCTTATATTTGACATGCTTCTCATTAAACTAATATTCCCTTTAAGTAAACAGATTTGGGAGATCGCTTTATACGGTCTGGACTCGCCCTTCGCGATGTTTTGCTATACCGAAAGTCTATTGTTGCGCCCATTCTCACAGACCCATTTCCTAAGGGTGATCTATTTCGGTTTCTAATATCTATGCAAAGCTATCACTGCTCTATTGCCTCAGAAAAGATATGCTTGCTTTTTTGCCTTTCTCTAGACCACACACGCTCTCAAATTCCCCTACTTGTTTGCCACGTACCCGCACCCGCTCCCCAAACTCCGCCAGAGAACAGCTTGCGCCTGGGCCAGAACGACACCCTGGCAGTGGGACAATACCGTCGTTGATATTAATCCGTAGAAAACTAGAAGTGCTGTCATCAGAAGAGGCCGTTCTCTTGCTTTCTTCGACTCTGCATCTCAGACGTTCAAATATGACCCTTCCACCCATCGGCATTACCTGCGACGTTTTCCACTTGCGGTTCCATGCGATGTGTGTTGTTGGCAAGGGCTCTGCATCGTTGAATATCTCTAGTGCAGCGAGCATTGGAGCAATATCTCCATCGTGGACGCTGCAGACTTCAGTGAGCAATGCACCTATTTAGGAGAGAGAGAAAACGCACAAACTTAGGAACATGTTGCCGGTGTTCGAAGACTGCAGTAGCAACTCGGCTGTTTTGTTCAGCCACAGCCATCCCATTGCAGCAGCGTATGGATTGCCTGGTCCCGCACGATAGTAATGCAACAAATCTCTTGCATATTCAAAATGATCCCAATCTTCTCGTGTGAAAACGTCACACCAGGGGCTCGAGCCTCGTGTCATTGTTTCAAACCCACACATCTCATGCATGCTATAGACTTCTGAGTTTGTGAATTTTATATTTGGATTATCTTTCATTATCCGGATAGAAATGGGGGGAATATAAGCCTCCTGAAACCTCGCTAGCATGTTGATACCTTTATCATGGCCATGTTCTGGATCGTCTAGGTAGTTAATACATGTATCTCCAGGAGTTAAGGTGTCTGCCGCACGGTCTGCTGTTTCAGGAATGATTTCTAGGTCTGCCAGGTTCCCCGTTTCCCAATTCCACCCGAACATTCCGGACGCAAAATACCGTGCCGAATCAATAACTCTTTTGCAGTCGCTAGCCCAGAAACGAATGCGCTTCTTGAGTGAAAGAAGATGGGAATACCGTGTTCGAAGCCTCATTCCAGTAGTAAACGCTTGCAGGGTTCCGGCATACGGCCCATGGCTGATTAATTGGTCGAAGTGAACTTCAGGTGATTGAGTTATGTACGTCCAGTTGTGCAGGAAAGCAAGGGTACCATTCATTGGAAGGCCTAAAGCTTTTATTCGCGAAAGAAGCAAGAGATGTCCTTTGTCATCGTGAGACTCAAAGTCATATATCAAATATAGGTTTCCAGAATGTCAGGAATGTCACATACTTCCACCAGCACTCGTTGTGGGGTATCGCTCTCCGTGCCTTGATAGCTAAACGCATCAGAAATCATGTCTTAGTATCAATCTCATCAGGAGCAGAAATGAATCGTCATGGTGCTCCTGTCGGGTGAATTGTGATGTTTGTAGTGCTGGAATAAAGGCGGAAAAAGAAATCCAGTACCATATGCACGCTGTCCACTGTACACCCCGCTGGAGGGGCGACGCCATTTCCGCTCTCTAGTACATCATCCACCTTCTCAATCCACGGACCAATTCCTCCAAAATGATAGAACAAATTCCAATCTTTTGACTGCTGTTGGGCGTGAGTCACGACGGAGCCCGGATGCCACCAGCTATTCCAGCTGGCGGTGTGAGGCGTAGGATGAAGAAGTAAAAATCGAGAAATAGGCTTGGAAGCATATAGGATATCGTAGAAAAAGCGAAATGATGCGTTGTCGGCAAGAGGGAAAACGGGCAGCCATATGGCGAACCCTAGGATCAAAAACGCTGGAATAAATAATCGAGGGGTTGCCATTGTCGATTAAGCATTCCTTTTTACTTATAATCAGATTCTCAAATTAGCCTCACGTCTTCCAGCTTCAAAAGCGACCTGGTGCCGGCGAGCTGAGACGAATGACGTTCAATGGAGTTTGCTTGGCAACGCGGTTCTTAGAAACCAACCCAACGTCAAAAAGATCGGCCATCAGATTTTCTGGCAGTCGAAACAAATGCAATATTTCAGGTAATTTTAAACACTATTGCTTCAATAGGTGCTGCGTCTTCTCTCATAAATACCAGTTCTCGCAAGACAACATCGAGGCTCAAGCCCGCGAATTCTGTTTTGAATCTTCTATATAGAGTATAACGAATTTAAGTGTGGAGTTTTCTTCTACGGGTGTGTTATAATGAGAGGTTTACATAGAAGATGAGAATAAGCTGCTTGAATCAATTGAAATTCAAATCATGCGACGCATTATTCGACACAAAATGCAAACTACAGTGGCTGTGTGAGAGCGCTACTCAGGTATAGGGTGACCATCCTCAGGTCTTTTGGCCAACGTCCCTACCCGTATGTTACTCGCTCACTGATACGCCGGGGTCAAATAGTTCAGGGTCGATCTTGGGATACCAGTTCTCTTACGGCCAAGCACAATGCTTGATATTTTGTGCTTCTCTAAATATATTATAGATCTACATACATAATGCATACAGAGCACGTGTATTTACTTTCGTAATAGTACCCCATTGACTATTAATGTAAAATGTACTGTCAAGCTCCGATAGACCCTTGGATGATCCTCGATTTATCTCAACTCATGCTGATACTTGATATTAGCCAAAACATGACAACTACTTTAGCTATCTGACTGATCGCTCCTCCGTGTGCGGCCATTCATGAGGGCTTTCGGATTGACATCTCGCCCGTAACGAGGCTCAAGTCCGGCCGATAAGCCGCCCCACCCGAGCCACGAGAAAGTTCAATCGGGCCCCACACCGCTCATCTTGGCGCTGCGGGTTGCCCGCGCGCTCGCTCGGAGTGCTGGAGCCAGGTCCTGCCGCGGCCAGTCAGCCATTGGATTTCAACTATGTCAGCATCTGTCATCAAGCAACTCGGCCCGAGTAGGAGCGGAGAAATAGTTCCACAGCAGACCGGGGCTCGAATGCTTCAGACGGTCGAGTACATCCCATTTCTCAGCATCGCCAAAGCATCCCCTCATCCAATGCCCCTGTGATTCAATATCTCTCCACTAAATTACCTCAGGTCGCTCCACGCTTTTGCTTGCCTGCTGTGGGATCCAATCCGTGTCACAGAATTATCAGTATCCAAGCTCACGAAACGAAGTCTATACTAGTCAAACTCTATCCCCAGACATATGCTATCCAGTTCCTGGAGGCCCTGTTTCTCTTTCCTGGAGAAAACTTCCGTTTGTGTCGATAGGAGCTCCTCGAGGCAGTATTATACCAAGCAAGGTGCCGGCAAATACACCTATTTATTTCTCTTCTCCTTGAACATAAACTGAGAGGGGGCTGCACATAGAAAATACTGGCCTCAAACCATGCCTGTTTTCACCGAATTCGCAACCTCAAGTCGCCAACTGCGTGTTCTGCCTTCATTTGCAGATCCGCTACCCCGTCTGAGCCCTGCATTTGAGAAAAGCGAAGACAAATATGAAGTGGTTATTGTGGGAGTGAGTATATTTACCTTTTTCTTTCAACATCCCAACAGGGCGCCTTCCGAACTTGACTGATCTAGTTCTAAGGGCGGGCCTGCAGGACTCATGCTCAATCTCCTACTAGCACGCTATGGGCTGGGGGATGACTCTCTGATATGCATCGATTCAAAGTCAAGCACGCTGTTATCCGGGCAAGCTGACGGGCTGCAACCCAGAACCCTCGAGGTCTTAAAGAGCTTAGGTGTCGTTGACGAGCTCTTGAATGATGGATGCCAGATGCATCAAATCGCTTTTTGGAACCCTTCAAACAATGGTGGGATTGAACGTACCTCCACTGTACCGGATATTGCCATTAGGGCAAGATACCCACATGAAATTACGATTCACCAAGGTAGGATAGAGCGTATCTTGGAGACCGATCTTCTTCGATATTCAAAACGCGGCGTAATGCGATCCACGAATTTGCTGAGTGTAAAGATCGATGAGGAGGGCGACCCAAAGTTTCCAGTTGCTGCAGAAATTGAGACTGCTCAAGGCCGTAAAGTGATCAGGGCAAAACACTTAGTCGGGGCTGATGGTGCTCACTCGATCGTTCGTCGTAGCATGGGCCTTAAACTAGTGGGTGAATCCTCAGATCATATCTGGGGAGTTGTGGATTTTGTTGCTGTGACCGACTTCCCAGATATTCGAAAACGATGCGCCATCCACTCCGAATCCGGATCTGTCATGGTGATCCCACGTGAGCGCATACAGTCGGGGGAATATTTGACACGCCTATACGTCCAAGTGCCGGGAGTTGTGAAGCCAGATGACGATTCCACAAACACCAGCATCGTGCCGGAGTGTGCCAAACTAGAAGCAAAAAACAGACGAGCAGAAGTAACTGCGGAAAGCATTTTTGAACAAGCAAGTCAGGCATTCAAGCCCTATACTATCAAGATGCGGGACGACAAAGCCCTCGATTGGTGGGCTGCATATCAGATTGGCCAGCGAATGACGAGCGACTTTTCAGTGAAAGATTCACGTGGAATAGAAAGGGTCTTCATTGTCGGAGATGGTAAGATTTATCTAAGACTTAATCAACCATTCCCACCACTAACTTGTGCTTTGTATCAGCATGTCATACACATAGTCCAAAGGTATGTTGCTAGGATAGGGCTCAGGCCATTTACCCCTTGCCCCAAGACAAATAAATATCTGATGCAATATCTAGGCTGGCCAAGGAATGAATGTTTCAATGATGGACTCATACAACTTAGCCTGGAAACTGGCTTATTCGATATTTGGCTTGACACCCGATGCAAAAGATGCGCCTAATAAATCAGACCGAATTCTTGAAACCTACCAGTCAGAGCGGCAGACAGTCGCCCAGCAGTTAATAGATTTTGACAAGGCCTTTGCCAGCATGTTCTCTGGCAAAATCAAAACCGAGGAGGACAGTGGCCTGACTCATGAGGAATTCCTGAATGTTTTCCTGACGGGAAATGGCTTTTCTAGCGGGTGTGGAGTAGAATATATCGAAGGAGTACTTGTAGACAAGGACTCCCGGGGTGTTATTGAGGGAACGGACTATCTTTTAGGGGCCTTGCAACCTGGAAGACGTCTTCCCGACGTCAAGGTGCTGCGACATGCTGATGCCAATCCTAGGAGCATCCAGGACGGTATTGACCTCCCCACCTGAGAATTTTCATGTACTAATATCCTACAAGATTTTCTCTCAAATGGTCGCTTTCGAGTGCTTTGCCTTGCATCGAACGACCTTCTCAGCCCTGATGGTATGTCTGCCAGAGCCTTTAGCGGAATCGGCGAAATATTATCCAAATTCCCGGCTCGAGTTATTGAGCTGGTTGGCGTCTACCCACCACAGCTGCCTGACTTTTACTGGCAAGAGATCCCAAGTGTCATCAAACAGCTTGCTGAAATGCGGTTTCATGCAGCGTCGATTGACGATACGTATAAAATTTATGGTGTATCTGTCGAGAAGGGAGCATTGGTGGTGGTTCGACCGGATGGATATGTCGGCTGCATTGCACCACTTTCAGAGCTCCAAACTGTGGAGGAATATCTTTCGCGTGTTGTATGCAAGAAAATTTAGTCAAGGGCCCTTCAGGGTCTGATCTAGAGCAGCATGAGCACAGTACAACGTCGTTATTCCTTAATTGTTCAATGTAAGTTAAAGTGCCCTGTCAAGTAGGAAATACACCAGGAGCACATTACCAAGATATATTTTGCTTCAACATTGCGATAGCTAGGAGCCCATGACTCTCTTCAGTAATAGAAGGAATTCCCGCTCGTAAGGCCGCCACAATGTTGCTCCTCGTGAGAAAGGCAATTTGCGGTCCCAAGACTCGGGCTTGGTTGGCTGGCTGGGAAGCTGCAAATTTCGGGCAGGAACAACTTTCTTACGTCGCCAAGCATTGGTTATGTAACTAGGGTCACGAAGTGCTAACCCTAGGTTTCGCCCGTCGAGATGCAACCTCTGTCCATGCTCTACATTTAAGCCAGCGACGCAGATATCGTCTCAATTCTATGTGTGAGCGGATTGTTATTCATATTCGAATCGCCTTTTGTCTCTAACTCTGTTATTTCGAACAGGCACCGATTAATCCTGCCTTGCCCAATGTTGCAAGAGGTACGCATTGCTTTGCTCCAAGGTGTTAAAACCAAGTACGCCGATAGAGCTTTCAATCAGACGGCAACTACGTGTATACATCTGTTTATCTTCTTTCATTTTTCTTAGCTGTTATTCAGAACATCTCCGTCTCTTATGCCTCCATACCTTTTGTTATTTCCCTGGTGAATTATATGATATCTGGGCCGTCCACCCGGTTTATTTCCCCTTGGAAGGATATAGTAAAATCCTTCCACATCAAGATAGTCTCAACTCGCTCTATTCAAATCAGAGCCCATGCTCTGGCAACATCTGTTTAGTGAGATGTTCACTCTTCTGCACACTTTCTCTTAACATACCTGGCTATTACTCTTAATTCTGATCAAACTCCTACTATCAGTTTTAGCCTCTGCATATGTATATTTCTTAAATGCTCACATTTCTAACAGCCATGGTAAACATGCACTTCGCCCGCTCATTTTGCCAGCAGTCTAGAAAGGGACTACTTTCCCCACACTCTGATCCCCTTTTACTTGCTTTTCTGGCGCCTCCTAAATTCCTATGAAGCATGTCCTAAAGCCAAATTTAAGGGAGCTGGGTTCTTTTCCCCAAGTATTACATGCCCCTCTCTATACTAAAAAGTTGGGAAGTTACGGGTATAATGTTGCAATGCGTCTATCAATATCAACTCACCCAACATTCATTCCCTATGGGAATAAAGCTACTACATTTGATGAGCAAAAGTCTAGCAATGTTGGAAATTTCACTTTACAAGTATAGCTGATCAATTAAGGGTCAAGTAGTATTAGTCCGTGCCTTTGACACTTGATTTTGGAGATTTTGTAGGTAGGAACCCGGGTATTCTTTGTTTTTAAAGTGCTTATTGCTTACTAGTAAGGTTCTTCTTCACTTTTTCTTTTCGAAAATTCCTCCATTATGACTGGGAGTGGACTTCTAATCAGCCCGTCTGTTATAACCAGCCTTCTATTAACATCCTACACCATTCCCGGTACTAAAGGTCAAATCTATGGAATATTCTTTCCCCGGCTTCAAATGAATATAACAAACTGCATGTTACCAGTAGCAATGTCAACGAGACTGATATTCTCATATCCAATATGGTTGAAAATTTATTTCTTATTCTCACTCTCCGTCTTGGACTTTGGAGTATGAAGTCTACACGTACTCATCATGATCCTAGTCAGTGTTAAAGACATACTCTGCTATCCAATTAGCAAGAATAACCACAGAGAGGTTACTCCTGAATGAAAAATTTTTTGTCATAAAAATGGCAATTTTGCGCGTATTAGCGGAATACTTGGAATAGTTAACAGTGCATGTAAAAGATTTACTTCTTGAAAGCTTTTATCTTTGCAGATGTTCAACTTCCTCCGGACCAATCTTTTGCTCCCTAAACTATTATCAATCTCAGCTTTACTCCAGTTGTGATGTTTAAGTGTCTGATATTTTCTATCAAAACCTGCGTCAGGTTTGGTTAACTGTCTATTGACTTTGATGTTCAGATATTCTTTACCAATTGCTTTTTTATAAATTCTTTAGTAGAATTCAACTCAACACAGGTGGCACTCACACGTTTATTACGGCTATATCTGCATTTCTGAATTCTGATCGTTGCATCCTAGACGTTCCCATATCCTCCACTTCTCATGGAGGGCGAATAAATCAAATCACATCTGAAAAGTCAACTATGAGTTATACAAAGTGGAAATTGACTATTGCTACACGCTATAGTATTGCCGAATAAAGATGGAATTATCCGAAAGAAAACGAAGATTCTGTATCCTACAACCTTCTTTTTCCCTTTAGAGCACTCCAATCTTTACCAAGACGCAAAACAGAGGAGTATTCGGACATCTGATGGCTCTCTTATTTGGTTGAACGGGCTCTTTAGGGAATATAGATAAATCGGATGTGTTTTGGTTGCCTAATGGGCATAATACATCACACTTTGATGCTCTTAATGTTACGCCAAAGAAGACTACTAAGAAAAACTGAGCAATAAGCGCTGGAGTTGTGCAAGCTGTGTGAAGTACGGACAACCTTCGTTCCAAATAAAATACACCCTTATTTCCATCATGTACAAATAATCTGACGAACTGGGTACCAGGACTTGAACAATTATTCTAGAACAGACCAGCTCCATACAGAAAAGCTAATCCAATCTACGTGATCCAGACTATCTATCCACTTCAAGTTCTTTGTCACTGAAAATTAGATAAAAGAATGCCAATATCACAAGATTAAAATTAAGCGAAATCGAGAGTGCCTGTTGCCCGTTAGTAGTATATATAGAATCGGGAAAAGAGATATCTTAAGGCTAAGGAGCTTTCACGTCAAGACCCCATACAATAACCTGCCTCTTCCTAGCTTGTATTGTGAAATAATATCATAAGAAGGGTAGGGAAAAGAGTCGCAAGGTAGGTGAATCGTGCCGAGTAAGGTACCTAGAAATGAACCGGGCTTCGAATCCAAGCAGGTTTGGAATCAGCATTATGAAAATTCTTCTTTCACTATTATTCATCCAGTTAAATTCTTCGGTCATAGAAAACATATGCACCTAGGGACGAATTCCTGCTGCCCACGGTCTCCCAGGGTCCGTTCCCCCATCAGTGTTTGCTTAGTGCTTATTTATCAAATCAGAATGTCCTGTGAGCTCACACGCCATCATAATGAAAAGTCCAAGCACACAAGTGCTCGCCCAAATACTCCCGCGCCGTTTGGGGGGCCGCGAATAAACTGACAGGGTATAGGGTATATGTTGGAACTTTCTAGCGAAGTGAGCTGAGGAAGGCATCGTTGCTAGTGTTCAGACGGCCGCTTGGGGTCTGCTGTGCTATTGGTATCATATTTTCGGTTCAAACCCCCAACTGTGGGGGCGAATTGGGGTAACTAAGCTATTTATTTTGTATGGTAAGATGTTAAGAGTACTATTGTACTGTACTTACAAGAGGGTTTCCGGGAAATAGCAAAGGAGAACACTCCAGTCCGTCGATCTACTCTTCCTCTAATCAACTCCGTACGAATGCTTGGGGCATGCCGCCCGTAGGGATGGAAGGCAGCGTATGATCATCTTTAGGTCTTTCTAGGATCTTCTCAAACAGCGACCTGCAATTCGAATTACGTATGTAGATTCGTCGTAAGCACGCGTCGTCTGAACACCGTGCCCTGCTTGCCACACTAAGTAACTCACTATGACTAGTCAGCTTGGTGGGCGGTGGTAGGATCGCCCGCATGCCGCTTGTCAGAAAGCGGAGGCATGGCCATTTTTTATCGTAGTCGCATCCAGCATTTTTTGCTTGGCGGTGCCGGGGCTAATCTGCTGAGCAAAGAAAGGCCAGAGAATGCCAGTGATGGGCGGGCGACGAAGGAGAGGATGTGCTGCTTCTTCGTAGGCAGATGGAACGCGAAATTGGCCTCCGCGCCAAAATCAACGAAGTTAAGACGCCTGAGTGTCTTGGGAATGGCTTTGTCGCCTCTATGATGTACTCCGCATGAGCGCAGAGCAAGTCTTGAAAAGAACCCCCAAACTCAAAAAGAGAAAAATAAAAAACGAAAACAGACACGTCTCCGCGGCTCGAGAATAAAGCAGTTGGGGTTTCAGCTCTGCTGTCAAACACGCAGATCCTGTCCTTGCAGTTCGATCTCGCGTGTCAGCCGATGGCATGTACTCCGTAGAGACGGCGGCTTGGTCTGAATCACCAATCAGTAAGTAGATGGATGGTTTGCAGTCTCCAGTCAAAGGACTCCAGAGGTGTTGGCCTCGGTAGATCGTCGGGAACTAGAGCGCCCGCCCTTGCGGAGATCTAGAAGAAATCCTACCTCGTAGCCCTCGACTGCTCGGAGATGGCCGTAGGGGTCAAACAGGGTTCATAAATACGTACTTCGTACACCGTGCACATTGTTGGTCAGAATTGCTGGCATTCAAAAGCGGATGTTTACCAACTCTGATGCTTAGAAGTATTGGGCAACTTTCATCGAGGTCGCTCTATTGTCGCAGAAATCCAGTTCAGGATTTGTATGTAGTCACCGCTTGCGATATCGGCGGCCTTGATCAATGTGGCGATTCTTAGCAATTTGCGGTAGTAGTAGACAATTAGTTAGAGGAGAACGGCCCAGGGTAAAAATAGATGATCGACAACGTGTCATTTTATTTCTACGAATAGAAAACCTAGCCTCAGCGGCTGTCCCCGCAACCCACTGGCATTCTATTGAAATTCACATGCCCTGGCCCTGTTACGTTGCGAGAAACTGGACTGGTGGAGTTGATATCGATTGCCTGTCTGTTATGGATATCAATAATATTCCAGCGACACGGAGGTTCTCAAAGAAACAAACAGATGCTCAAAAATTCGCTTCTGATCTTTAGAATGAGGCAATTCATGTTTTAATCGCCAAAACTCTGGACGATTGGGGCGGATGCCCACACGGAAAGGGCGTAAATAGGCGACATTTCGCAGAATCGC